AGCTGAATTATGAACACGAAGTGTTTACTTTTGAAAAAGCAAATATTGTTTAAACTTCAAATGTGGACTTATTGGGAGCTGAGGGGGAGTTGTTTTGGGAATGTTGGTTCTAACAGAGGTGCTATTTCACTGATCTTTGAAGTTCTCAAGACTATGAGATGAGACTTTGTTTAGCTGATGGGATCATGCCCATAAATGATCATTGCTGATTATGTCAGTCACTGGTGTATAATATAAGCATTGTCACATAGGAGTCCGTGACTAAGTCACTTGTGCATGTGGCAATCTCAGCAGCAAATGAGGTGCTGGATTGAGAATAACAATTACCAAGCCAGCTCCAGTAGGAATTGCCAGCTATAGAAGTGCAATTTGATGGGGAAATTCCTGCCTCCCTTGCAGCAAAGCTGCTCAGGGCTCATTTCCCCTTCCTTCCAAACAAACAAACCAAACCAGTCACAGCTGCAAAGTTAATAGTTTTATCAAAGTACCAAGAGGACCCATTGTGCACCCAACAGCAAACAGATGCTTTCCCTCAGCTGCTGGAACAAAAGAAGTGGATTTTAAAAGGCAACACAATACCACAAAACAATGAGCATAGGACAGGTGGGAGCTGTAATCGATAGTACACTGTGTACAGTGGGAAGTTGCCTGGTGGAATTTGAGAACATCAGTCGATACTGAGGTGTCATCCCCTTCCTAAGGGGATGCGGGTGGCGCTGTGGTCTAAACCTCTGAGCCTCTTGGGCTTGCCGATCGGAAAGTCAGCAGTTCGAATCCCCGCGACAGAGCGAGCTCCCGTTGCTCTGTCCCAGCTCCTGCCAACCTAGCAGCTTGAATGCAACACCAGTGCAAGTAGATAAATAGGTACCGCTCCAGCAGGAAGATAAACGGCTTTTCTGTGCGCTCTGGCTTATGTCACGGTGTTCCATTTTGCCAGAAGTGGTTTAGTCCTGCTGGCCATATAACCCGAAAAGCTGTCTGTGGACAAACACCAGTTCCCTTGGTCTGAAAAGCGAGATGAGCGCCGCACCCCATAGTGACCTTTGACATGACTTAACTATCCAAAAGAATTGATGCCGAAGAATTCTGGTGCTGGAGGAGACTCTTGAGAGTCCCATGGACTGCAAGAAGAACAAACCTATCCATTCTTAGTGAAATCAGCCCTGAGTGCTCACTGGAAGGACAGATCGTGAAGCTGAGGCTCCAAGACTTTGGCCACCTCATGAGAAGAGAAGACTCCCTGGAAAAGACCCTGATGTTCGGAAAGATGGAGGGCACAAGGAGAAGGAGACGACAGAGGACGAGATCGTGGGACAGTGTTCCCGAAGTGACCAGCATGAGTTTGACCAAACTGGGGGAGGCAGTGGAAGACAGGAGGGCCTGGCGTGCTCTAGTCCAGGGGGTCACAAAGAGGCGGACACCACTAAACGACTAAACAACAACAACAACAACCATCCAGGGGTCCTTTCCCTTTTACCTCTCCTAAGCCTGTACATGTCCTGCTTTATATATTATGCAACCTTACACATTTACCTGTGTAAACCTTGGAAATGGGATTTTTGGGTAGAAATAAAAGTGGAGAGTTTACTGGCTGCTGCAGTTAGATTCCCATGTGTGCTTGGTCATATTTGTCATGAGTCTTTTACCATTTACTCTCTAGTCACTGGTCTACCCTTACATGGTTCTTCAGAATACCAAGGAGCTGACAGGTGGGTCACGGGTGTTTGCCCACAGGTGGGCCGTGATTTAATAATAATAATAATAATAATAATAATAATATATTTATACCCCACACACCCAGCTGGGTTTCCCCAGCCACTCTGTGCAGCTGTATTGACAGCCCAGGGCATCTGCCCATGACCCAAGGCCTTAGGTGGAAATCCCCCCCCATCTCAGAAAACAATCATAATTGATAACAGTGATATACCGCTTAATATGCAAAATGCAACAAATACTGTACAAATAAATACATCATTAGAAACAGAGAAGCCATCAATAAAATATTCAGTTAAGCACAAATAAGTAATGAAACACAATAATGTGATGCAACCCAGGAGCCCCGCAAATCCCTGCTTCCATACATGGGTCATAGAAGTGTTCAAGGCTAGGATAGCCTTTCTGACTCCTCTCAAGCCTAGTCTGGGGGCTGTCCGAAGAAACCTGCTGGATTCAACGGGGAGAGGCAGATAATGGCACTGGCTGGAGCATCTCGCGGGAGATGGGGAGAAAGAAAGTTCCCTGGACTCTTCTGGTGGAGAGATCTCTCAAGGGACTAACTCGCAGCAGCAGCAGCAGCAGCAGCAAAACATCTCTCCAGCCCTCATGCGGCTGAAATGAAGGCGATGGATTGGAAACGGGGGGGGGGGGGGTACCCGGGAGGTATTTTGCTTTGTTTTGCGGAGTCTTCAAAACTGGACTCGGGGGCCTCTGATTCCCCAGCGGGGTCCCCTTTTCGGCTGGTGATCTCGGGGTGGCAGCAGCAGCAGCAGCCCAAGTTTGGATCTGGGTGCGCGGGAGGCGCACGCACTTCCATTCTGCTCTGGACCAGGAACCCGCTTCCAGCTCGTCTTGTGCAGTGCAGCCGAGGTTGCCACCCCCCCAGCCACCCCCCCCGTCCCCTCCCTTGCTTGGAAGAAGCGGCCGTCCTCCTTTCCACCGATTCTTCCTCCTGCGACCCGCTCCCTGGCCGGAGGTTTCCATCTCTGGTGCGCCCTCGAAGCGCGCGGCGGGGCTGCTTGGGGAAAGCTGCGCACCTGCCGCCCAACCAGGTAAGAAGGACGGACTTTTCTTGCGCTGCCTGGTCGAGGGTGGAGGGCGGAGGAGGAATGACCATCTTTAGCCTGGATAAAAGAGGAGATATGATAGCCGTCTTCCAATATTTCAAGGGGCGCACTGCGCACATGGAAATGGCAGCAAGCTTGTTTTCTCCTGCTCCAGAGCGTAGGACTCGAACCCATGGCTTCAGGAGTTTCCGACTCAACATCAGGAAGAACTTTCTGACAGCAAAAGCTGTTTGGACTCCCTTGGAGGGTGGTGGGCTCTTCTTCCTTGGTGGTTTTTAAGCAGAGGTTGGGTGGCCATCTGTCCCGGATGCTTGAGTTGAGATGCCTGCATTGCAAGGGGGTTGGACTAGATGACCCCTGGGTCCTTTCCAACTCTAAGATTCTGTGACCATGCTCACCTTCGTGCGCACCCTGACCCTTCGCGGCTGGTGGGGCTCCAGGAGGATCTGCAGAACTCCTTGCCGCATGACTTTCATTCACCTTCTCCCATGAAACAGGGATATTACTCCCCACCTAATTGGCTCCAATGACCTCATCAGTAGTGGGGAAGGCTTTTCTCACCTGGATCAATAACTGGCCTGCCTAGTAAGGGTTAATGTATGTATGGCATGATGGACCTTTCAGGAAGGGATGGGGGGGCATACCTGCTCCATTCCCTCTTCCAAATTTAGATGCACCACAACCCTGTGGTGTAGGTTAGACTGAGAGAGAGCTACCCATCCAAGGTCATCCAGAAGTTTGAACCCAGGTCTCTCCCCTCCAAGTTAGGTACTCTGACCACTACGCCAGGCTGGTTGTAAGCATCAGTTTCTCTCAAGGTAGATGGCTGGTGCCTTGCTGCCTACCTCACAGGGCTGTTGTGAGATGGGGAAAACATTATATTCTGCGCTCTCCCCCTGCCCCTTATGTACCATGACAACGGAAGAGGGCACAACTTTCTCCCCTTCTTTCTTTTCCAATAATGGAAGTCCAGGTGTGAGGCATGGCCAGTCTTGAGTGCACGTTACCTGGCCAAAGCTGTCCAATGGAACTGGTCCAAATCTTCTCCATCTCACCCCTCAAATAGTAATTTAAACCTTTGGTGGCTTTTTGATATAAAGCACTTGAGTCTGCTTTGACTTGGACACTCCTTTTGTCCAACCAGAATTTACTCTTAGGGTCAGCTAGTTGCTTGTGTCTTGATGAATTTCGGTTATTGTAACAAAATAAAAAAATTCCTTTCAGTAGCACCTTAGAGACCAACTAAGTTTGTTATTGGTATGAGCTTTTGTGTGCATGCACACTTCTTCAGATACACACGAAAGCTCATACCAATAACAAACTTAGTTGGTCTCTAAGGTGCTACTGGAAGGAATTTTTTTATTTTGTTTCGACTACGGCAGACCAACATGGCTACCTACCTGTAACTTCGGTTATTGTAGACTGAGATCTTGACAGTGTGCTGGGAGGAGCACTGCTGCCTGTTGCCTCTGTGCTTGACCATTGTCCATTTTGGCTTATTACACAAGGCCAGTTAATGCTTTGCACACACACACACACACAGAGAGAGAGAGAGAGAGAGAGAGAGAGAGAGAGAGAGAGAGAGAGCTTTGAAAGAGGCAAACATGAAAGACCACTCCTAAACAATTCTTCCCTGGACCAAGACTTTTTGAAAAGAAGCATAAAGACATGGCGTGTGTTTGTGTGGAACAGAGGCTGTAGCTCAGTGCCAGAGCACATGCATAGCATACAGAAAGGTCCAGGATCTATCCCTGGTGTCCTCCTCCCTGGGACTGAAGCTGAGGGAGGCTGACCTCAGGCCAATGAAGGAGTGCAGGGCAGCAGTGGCATGTGGTCATTGGACCAGGGGAACTGGGCGAGTTGTCTAAATGTTCCCCTGGCGCCACCTTCCCAAAGCCCAGGAAGCTTCTGCATGGCTTAGGGAGGGAGATGCAACGCTCCGATGGGTCCAAGAGCCTTCCTGCTACCTTCCCAAAACCTGGAAAGCTTCTGCCCAGCTTGGAGTGGGAGGTTTGATGCTTATACATCAGGACATCACGTGCACGACGTCCCCGTCCCCCACAGCGCTCACAAGCTGACACCTCTGGCCCTAACTGTCCCCCTATGAAAAATGTCACCGCACACCTCTGCATGGCAGAGATCCCAGAAACACAGAATTGCAGAGTTGGAAGGGACCACGAGGATCATCTAGTCCAACCCCCTGCGATGCAGGAATATTTTGCCCAATTTGGGGCTCAAATCCATGACCCTGAGATCAAGAGTCTCGTGCTCCGCTGGCTGAGCTACCAGGTGGGCAAGTCAGAGACCTCCTCCTTCATGCCTCAGCCAGGCCACTCCGCCAGTTCCTGAGTGAGCCACAATCTATACAACGACCGCCTGCCTGGACACACGTAGCTGGGAGAAACGACAAATGCTACCGCCACCCTGATTCACACGATAATTATGGTATATCATCAGAGTTGGTGAGACGTAGCAAAGAGTTCCAAACCAAGGTTCAAATTGGCTCCCATGAGCAAGTTGACTTTGATTGTTAACTTAATTGCTGCCATGTTTCTGTCACTGTTTTGCTTGTGATCAACCCTCCCTCCCCCTTTTCAGGACACCCGAGAGGGGAGGAATTTGTTGCACATCTTGCTTGCTGCCACTGGATATACCCGATCTTGAGTTTCTTGGGACTGCGACATGGGAAATTGCACTGCCCAGACAATGTGGTTGAACGAAGGCTTACAATGCGCCGTGGAAACGGGATTCAATTACTCTAACCAGTGCAATAACACCCAGAAACAACAGCAGAAGACCCTGCAGGACCTCTGTACTATAACAATTGTGGGTAAATGTATAAGGAAAGAGTTACAACTTTTAATGTTATTTGAAGTAAATGTATGCCAGTTTAAACTGTGTGGGGTTTTTGGATTCTTATAATGTTAGGGTGGAAGAGCACTTTAAGCTGGACCCAGAGGCAAGCAACTTTATCCCCAAAGTGGGTGACTTCTAACATATATCAAAACATTATTAAACATTTAAAAACTTCCCTAGACAAGGCTGCCCTCAGATGGCTCGGGGGTTGGATAACTCCATACCCTCCAACATTTCTCCGATGAAAATAGGGATGCCCTCAGGAAAAGCGGGACATTCTGGGATCAAATGAGAAACCAAGATGGTTTCTGTAAATCCAGGATTGTCCCTGGAAAATAGGGACATTTGAGGGTGTGCATTCTGTTTGTGGATATTAATTATTTCTGGTTTTCCTGAGATGGCCAGTATAGCTCTTAAACTATGCACTTCAAGTTAAGTAGGTCCCCCCCCCCATCTGTCTTTGAGACAAAGGGGTCCTTACTATCTCCCATCTGTCTTTCCTCAGACATCCTCTGACAGCAGCTGTAAGAACTCCCCGTTTTCAGCAGCCATCTTGGGCATTGCATGGGTCTTTCTTACCAGTGGAGTCCTCCTCAGTTTCTTCTTTCTCATCTTCACAATTCACTTCAGAAAGAACAGGTAAGGCCAGAAATATATTGTGGTCATGTTTTCAGTAACTGGGCATACTGCTCTAAGGCTCCATTATTCCAGAGAAATCTTTTGCTATCATATACAGAATAGAAAGGCATTTTTTTCTCGAACATTTGAAAATTAGCTCTAAAAAGAGCAGAATATGTCATGTTGTGCAAACTGCATGATTGTCTACATTTACACTGCAGATATTTAACAACAAATATTCCCAAGGTTGCCACAGGTTAATAAAACTGTTTTTAAGTCAGCAATGAATGAAGAAACAATGAATATAAAACAGTTTAGAACAAATTCAGAACAAGCAACAGAAAAATGCTTCCATTTGATGGCTGGAGGTCTGGGAGGAATGAAAAGGTGTTTACGTGTCTCCAAAAGGACAACTTCAGACACAAAATGTGAAAACTTTGCAAAGAGGTTTAGGTGTGTCTTCTGCTGTGCAGGAGCTGAAGTTCAGGAACTTCTTCTTATTCTCTATTGAATTTATATACTGCCGTAAACCCAGAGGTCTCAGGGCGGTTCACAGAAAAGATCAACATAAACTTACTAAGAATCCTCATCCTAGGGACTTCCTACGAAAAAGGGGGACATTCTGGGATCAAATCAGAAACCGGGCTGGGTCCTGTAAATCCGGGTCTGTCCCTGGAAAATAGGGACACCTGGAGGGCCTGGAAGGGTTTGTGGTGATTTTATGTGTTCCTTTCTGGTGGGGAGAGGCCCCCTATTTTGGAAGCTGCACCTGAGCCCCCAACCCAGCCGTGCTACTGAGTGATGTCACTTGGGAATTTCAAGCGCAGTGTCACCATTATGCCGTATCAGTGTGGTGACAACACCCAAAGGTACATCTTCTTTTCATCAATGATGCTGTGGAAGAGATGAACCAGTGCCTTGGACCAGTAAAGGGATGGTTGAAGGCCAACCAGCTAAAGCTCAATCCTGGGAAGATGGAGATGTTTTGGTTTCAGAGATAGTACTGGGCCTCCTTTGGATGACGTTGCCAACTTTCTTAGGGATCAGGCCTGCGGTCTGAGGTGCTATTAGACCCAGCCCCCTAGCTCTGGAGGCCCCTATTGTCTTCAGTGGCAAAAGCACTGGGGAGCATTGAAAAAGGATTTCTCAGATAAAGCAGAGCAAGAGGGGGAAATTATTGCATTACATGGGTTGTAAGAGTGGGGCAAGCCTAACTTCTCTATCCACTTGGTTAGCTCACTTGGTTAGAACATGGTGCTGATAACTCCAAGGTTGCAGGTTCCATCCCTGTATGAGACAGCTGCATATTCCTGTGTTGCAAGGGGTTGCACTAAATGATCCTCAGGGTCCCTTCCAACTCTACAATTCTATTTGCTGTTGTTGTTTAGTCATTTAGTTGTGTCCGACTCTTCGTGACCCCATGGACCAGAGCACGCCAGGCCCTCCTGTCTTCCACTGCCACCCGCAGTTTGGTCAAACTCATGCTGGTAGCTTCGAGAACACTGTCCCACCATCTCGTCCTCTGTCGTCCCCTTCTCCTTGTGCCCTCCATCTTTACAACAACAACAACAAAATAATAATAATAATAATAATAATAATAATAATAATAATTTATTATTTGTACCCTGCCCATCTGGGCAGCTCCCACAGAAACCAAAAATACACATCAGGGTCTTTTCCAGGGAGTCTTCTCTTCTCATGAGGTGGCCAAAGTCTTGGAGCCTCAGCTTCAGGATCTGTCCTTCCAGTGAGCACTCAGGGCTGATTTCCTTCAGAATGGATCGGTTGGATCTTCTTGCAGTCCATGGGACTCTCAAGAGTCTCCTCCAGCACCAGAATTCAAAAGCATCAATTCTTCGGTGATCAGCCTTCTTTATGGCTCAGCTCTCACTTCCATACATCACTACTGGGAAAACCATAGCTTTAACGATACGGACCTTTGTTGGCAAGGTGATGTCTCTGCTTTTGAAGATGCTGTCGAGGTTTGTCATTGCTTTCCTTCCAAGAAGCAGGCGTCTTTTAATTTCGTGGCTGCTGTCACCATCTGCAGTGATCATGGAGCCCAAGAAAGTAAAATATCTCACTGCCTCCATTTCTTCCCCTTCTATTTGCCAGGAGGTGATGGGCCCAGTGGTCAGGATCTTCGTTTTTTTGATGTTGAGCTTCAAAATTCTATGGTTCCTCTTTCATAACCCTTCCCTCCATGTTTTCTTATCTCCCTTGTCTGCTGGAGGATTGTGAAAATGTCCAGTCCTAACCTGAACATAGTGACCCTGCTGGGCAGTGGCTTGACCTACAGTAGCGCTTACCTCTTTGGAGTTGAAATACATAATTCATTGACCAGACCATCCCTGGAGATGCTGGTTCAGGTGGGTGAAAGCCAGAGGTGTGGCTCACGGGGCATTGCTCTTGTGGGGACATTTTTATATTGCAAATTAGGCAGAATTCAAAGGGGTATGTGGACAAATGATGCATGCGCACACAGATCAATCCTGCCCCATAGCTCCCCTTCAGAAAGAACTCTTCCACAATGTCCAAACTGTTCTTTCAACTCCTAAAGTGTAACATTCCAAGGCATGGACTGAAGGAATGTGATGCAATAACCTTGCAGAAACTAAGCAGGCTTGGTTCTATTGGCATCTTCTGCCTGGGAATCCTATGTAGCCTATGTTGAGATAAATATCTGAGAGATGTAATAAATAGTTTTTGAGAGCCAGTCCAATGTAGGGAATAGACTCAGACTGGGGTTATAATCCTCATTCAGCCATGAAACCCACATTTCAACACCTTCCATTACATGAAATCTTGAATAATATCTACTATGCCAAAAATAATAATGACATGCGCAGCTCAGTATCTTAAAACCAAACAGTCTGAATATTCCTAAAATAAGTCCATGAAAACAACTCTCTTTGTATATACTTGTGCTAGTGTGATCCCAATGGAACTCCGACAAAAAGATACCCAGATTTCAATCTCTGTTTTTGAAAAGAGCAGACTGCCGTTCTAAGGCTGGAGCTGACCTGTTTGGCGGAGCGTTAATTGCCATTGTATCGTTCCTTTTCGGTCCAACCAGAAGAAGAGTTACGAAACAGAGACTGAAATCAGGGTATCTTGTTGTTATTTTGGCATTGTATATATTATTTAAGATTTCATGGAATAGAAGTTGTTGAAATGTCATACATTATTGTTAACGAATTTTTGTAGATCAGCATACAGAGTTGTTTAGTTTGTGATTTATCTCTTTGTATTCCTTGGGTGTGGGACTGAGCTCAACAGTCGTTCCCCAGCACCAGGCTCCTGAAATTGGCTCCCAAGATGTGAACAGGACCAGGATAACATTGTTAGTGGCACTGAAGAGAATGAGTGGGATCACGCTTCTTCTGTCCTTGTGGCAGAGTGGCTGCCATTATTTTTAAAAGGAGATCTTGATTACAAATATCCCATGTTTCTCTTGAAACTTAGCTTTACGGACCTCTGTGTTTTTATTTCTCTCCCCTCCTCCTTCTCCTCCACAACCCAACACGTACCCCTACAGGTGAGAATCAGCTTGTTGTGTATTGGGGTCTCTCTGGCTTTCGGCCCCATTCTAGGGAAAAGTTGGCGGTTGTATAAGGTGTTCAGTCGGCAAGTTCCAGACAAGAGAGTGGTGAGTTCTTACAATGTACATTCAGCTGTCAGAAACAAATAAGACTGGGCCACAGTTATTGGGACTGAAATATACATGTTGGAAGCCGTCACCATGTATGGGGCCGGATTCAGTGGCCCCTGGACAAAGTGCCCTCAGTGAGACCTGCTACCTGGCGGCAGAAGGCCTCACCTAGGGATGCCCCCTCCCTCCTGTCAGTGGAACTTTCCTTCAGCAGTGCTGGGCTCAGAACATGGCAGGTGGTTGTAGAGGCTGGCAGTATTTTCAGATTGGTTGGCCTTTCCTTGAATTCCCATACAGCTTTCAGCCTCGTGCCGGGAAGCTGTACTGACCACTCAAAGTAGATAAGTAAAGGTAAAGGACCCTTGGACAGTTACGTCCAGTCAAAGGCAACTATGGTGTTGTGGCGCTTATCTCGCTTTCAGGCCGAGGAACCCAGTGTTTGTCCACAGACAGCTTTCTGGGTCATGTGGCCAGAAGGACTAAATTGCTTCTGGCACAGCAGAACACTGTGATGAGTGCCAGAGCGCACCGAAATGCCATTTACCTTCCTGCCGCAGCGGTACCTATTTATCTACTTGCGCTGTGGTGTCTTTAGGATATATGATTTATTTGCACATATAAAGCCTGAGCCTGATGGAGGGGCGGCCAGGATTCTGTCCCTCCCACGGCTGCTGCTGACTTGGATTCAAACTGGCAGCCCACATTACTCTGACCGGACCCCACCTTTCTCCAGCTTGCAAACTGCAACTATCTTTTCCTTTTGCTTACATCAGGCAAAACTGCAATCCCAAAAACTCTACCACTGACCTTGATCTTCTACCTAACTCTGAGGTCAGGGAAGGGCTTCACCCATTTTCCTGCTGGTGCAGTTTTAGCTTTGCTGACGACTCCCTTAATGGGCCATCACCCTCCCCTTTGTGCTCTTTTAATGGTCCATCTTGCCAGGCAATTACTTCATCAGGAAGCCAGTCTGGCTTATATTTTAACATGGCTTATATTTTAACATGCTAAATTCAGCATCTGGCACTCAGAAATTAGAAGGGGAGTCCAGGCACGATAAAGAATTTGTTTTCTGTGGTGTTATTTTGTCATCTCACTCTTTTTGGTATTTGATAACAAAGGAAAGATTAGCTGGTCCTGATTTCTGGCTATGTTCTCTAGTCTTGTTTATCTCAGTACTGTACAGTGGTACCTCGGGTTACATACGCTTCAGGTTACAGACTCTGCTAACCCAGAAATATTACCTCAGGTTAAGAACTTTGCTTCAGGATGAGAACAGAAATTGTGCTCTGGCAGCGTGGCAGCGGGAGGCCCCATTAGCTAAAGTGGTGCTTCAGGTTAAGAACAGTTTCAGGTTAAGAACGGACCTCCGGAACGAATTAAGTACTTAACCCGAGGTACCACTGTATATGGTTTTGGGGATAACTCCTCTGTGTGCACAAAAGATGAACTGTGATATTGACACAGCCGATGACAAAGTGAGCAAGTTGGGCGTCTCTTTTACAGATTATCAAAGATTTCCAGCTGCTGGTGATGGTGTCTGTGTTAGTGTTGGCGGACATTATCCTGCTCTTGATATGGATGTTCGTGGATCCAGTCCAGTGTCTCCAAAGTCTCAATGCAGATCTGAAGGTAAGAGGAGGAGGGAGTGCAGATTGGATGTCTGGACATAAATTGTGAACATGGGTGCATCACTAAGAGAAAGCTGTGCACCCTCCAACTTTTAAAATATGAAAACAAGGAAAACTCTGCCCCCATATTATACAGCACTTGGGTGAGGTCAGGTTGGAGCTTAATGATATGGGGCTGGGGGAGCTTTGAGTTTGAAGATAGAGCCAATGCAATCATTGCTGTAAATGTGCTATAAATGAGAACTTAAGGCAGACCTTGAGCAGATAATTCCCTAGGCAAACCTCAGATTATTGAGTTAGTCAAACATGTAACAAAACACACATGTAACCCATTGCTGTGGAATTTAGCTTGTATAATTAGGTATTTTAGGACACACTTATCTTTTGTTGTTGTTATAGAACAGTGACTATCAGAGAGAAGGGACTACTAGCCAAGCTGCTTAGTAAATCCATGCCAGAGAATTATTACACGCAAACTTCAACAGGCTTTTGTACAGCACTGTTCCCATTTTACAGCTCGGGAATATAGAGGCTGAAAGATTAAAAATGCTGGCTAATTAGTAGATTCATCACACAGAAGGAGCCTAATGAGGACCATTCCCTTTTACAAATGGGAAACAAGGAGGCTAAAGAAAGCAGTGATTGAAGTGGGTGTGATTGTGGTTGCTTTCAAACTTGTTGTTCAATACGCACTCAGCTTGGGGAGATTTTGGTAATGTGCATCAAAGCAGGTGTTATCTGGCTTGACAGTGCATTTCCCCGTCACTTTTCTTATCGCAAAATGCATTATCTTTCGGGGAAGCAGGTTTGTTGTGTAAAAGCTCCAAATATGCTTTAATAGCGCAGCCTGAATTTGCCAGGATATGATTGAATCCCACCTGAAAATAGTGACAATGTAGATGTTGCCAATGATTGCAGAAAGCAAGCAAACAATTCCCGCATATCCATGTGAATCCATTATTTATTCCAAGTCTGATTTCAGTACTGAAGTGCAATCAGAAGCAGACATTTCAATTCTGTGGCATCCTGGGCGTTTTGCAGATGGGAAGAAGCCTTCTGTTTTGTGTTTCAATTCTCTGCTAGGTGACAGAGAGAGGTTTGACTTGCACAGTGAGCCAAGGGTACTTCTGCACATCAGTTTACTCTGATCTTTGGCTTCTTCTCTTTCTGGGATTTAAGGTATGAAATTGGTCCCAGTTTCTCATTGATCATGGCTATTTATTTTTAGAAAATCAACCAGGCAAGGGCAAAGTGTGTGACAAATGCCATATCTCATTTGGAGATATCCCCTCATACCTCCACATTTCGCAGACGAACTTTTATAACACTTGTAACTCATTGTCATACCCAGGGCCTCTTGCTGAACATTGGCCCCTCTGCTGGTACACATTGTAAAAGCCCTTCTCTAAGTTGTATTATGGATGCAGGTGGCGCTGTGGTCTAAACCACTGAGCCCCTTGGGCTTGCTGATTGGAAGGTCGGCAGTTCGAATCCCCGCGATGGGGTGAGTTCCCATTGCTCTGTCCCAGCTCCTGCCAACCTAGCAGTTCAAAAGCACACCAGTGCGAGTAGATAAATAGGTACCGCTGTGGCAGGAAGGTAAATGAATTTTCTGTGCGCTCTGACTTCCGTCATGGTGTTCCGTTGCGCCAGAAGCGGTCTAATCATGCTGACTGCATGACCTGGAAAGCTGTCTGTGGACAAACGCTAGCTCCCTCGGCCTAAAAGCGAGAGGAGCGCCGCAACCCCATAGTCGCCTTTGACTGGACTATACTGTCCAGGGGTCCTTTACCTTTTTAAAAACCTATTATTTTATAGCAGGGCTGGTGAACCCTACTGCCTTTCCAGAGGTCTTCCAACTCCCACTGTTTCCAGCCACGATGGCCAATGGTCAAGACAAATGGAAATTGTAGTCTTGCAACATCTAGAGAACCTCAGGTTTCCCATACCTGCCTTGCTTCTCTTATTGTAGAGGCGCTTCCTTGCCTCTTCTGTATTTAATGCTTGCTAATTATCTGGTAAGACTGCATGGTTGGAGGGTTCTTGGTGGGTGGCCTAATTCTGACTCTCTCCTTTCCCAAGACATTGTTGCTTTCAACTTTCCCTTGAAATCTGCAAGGGAGGAACAGATTTTTGAAGGCAATTGCTAGATCATATTGGCTGAACAAATTTTAGTTTAAATCAACAGTAAAGGTGCTGACCCTGCAACAAATATGTGTTTGAATCTGATTAGGTTTCTGCAACATGTTATACATGGGGCTGCCTCTGAAGATGGTTTGGAAACTTCAGCCAGTGCAGAATTTGGCCGCTAGTTTGCTCACCGGGGCAAGATGGTTTGAGCATCTTACACCGATCCTGGCTCAACTGCACTGGCTGCCAATTAGTTTCTGGGCCCGATTCAAAGTGCTTGTTTTGACCTATAAAGCCTTAAACAATACCTCCCCCCCCCCCACTCCACACAAGTAGTTTAAAAGGCTGTAGATTGTTTAATTAGCCAAAGGAGGAATGTTTTTGCCTGGTGTCTTAAATATAAGTAAAGCAGGAAAGTCTTCCACAAGCACGGAGCCATTGGAGAAAATGTTCTTGAGTCGCCCCCCTCCATAAGAACAGCCTCACATGATGATCCCAGGGTCCAGACTGGTTCGTATGGGGAGAGGCGGTCCTTCAGGTATGGCCGGTCTGAGCCCTTGAAGGCTTTATAGATCAAAACCAGCACCTTGAATTGGGCCCAGAAACATTATTTTTGTGTTTTTATATTGAAGACCACCCTGTGATCCTCAGAGGAAGGGTGGTATATTAATTTAATAAATACTGTAATGAAAATAATAATAAGGGGGTGGTTAATTGGAAGACGACGCCTTACTAAAATACCCACATTCTGCAAAATGCTAGAAGTCTTTTTCCTGAATTAACGCTTCTATAACCATGTGTTGTTGTTTTGTTTCACCGCAGGGCATCCTCTTGATCTATGGGGCCTACCTTGCTGGCCTGACGGATGATCTCAGCTGTTCACCTGTCAATCAGTCCCTGACCCTCATCATTGGAATAGCCATTATTTTCCTCTCAACGGGTGTTACGCTCCTGGTGAATCGTTTTTTCCACTTGTGGCGCAACCTGGTCTTTGGATTTACCTCAGGAGGAATCTTTGTCTGCACATCTACAATCAATTGTTTAATCTTTATTCCACAGGTAAGAAACTGGAGAGGAGGAAGAAGTCACCCAAATCATTGCTAACTGCCCTCTGCCTCCCAGAAAAGCTTAATACGTTTCCCCAAAAATGAAATTTGTAAAGGATAGCTGAGGTGCCGGCAGTGAGCTGGGAATGCGTTACTGAGATAATGTAGCCTCAAATATGTATAAGATGGCACTTACCTGTTTGTTAATCAACCAGTGGATAGAAACAGCCTGTATTGTATTGTATTGTATTGTATTGTATTGTATTGTATTGTATGTAGCCAACTTTAGGGAATCTTCTGGATTGATAGGCAGGGTAGAAGTTAAATATATACAGTGGTACCTCGGTTTTCGAACATCTCTGTTGAAAAACATTTCGGTTTTCGAACGTCATAAACCCGGAAGTAAATGCTTTGGTTTTTGAACACGCCTCAGAAGTCGAACATGCCATGCAGCTTCCGCTGAGTGCATGATCCCGAGGCCTAGCTGCCAGCTGTTGAGTTTTTGGTTTTTGAACGTTTCAGAACTCGAACGGTCTTCCAGAATGGATTACATTCGGAAACCAAGGTACCACTGTCCTGGAAGTCCATTCCAAAACCAAAGCGTTCCAAAATCAAGGCGTGCTTTCCCATAGATTAATCTGTTCCAGGCTTTTAAAAACTACCCCAAAAACAGCAATTTAACATAGATTTTACTATCTAACGAGACCATTGATCCATAAAATGAAAGCAATAAACAATGTACTGCAATCATACAATCAATCAATCAATAGCTGAACTGGGTTCCACACAGTCACAAAAACAAAAAAAGCCGCAAAAACGCAAAATAAATAGCAAGAGAAGGTAGACCTCAGCATAACACTCAGAATGGAAGGGTGGCACTAAAAATGGAGCATGTTCAGCTTCTGAAAAAAGTTCACAAACCAGAACACTTATTTCCGAGTTTGCAGCGTTTGGGTTCCAGGTTGTTCAACTTCTAAGCCATTTGAGAACCAAGGTACCACTGTATAGGATAAGAAACTTATCTGCATGAGCAATGCCTTTTCATATTAGGAAAAAAACGAGAAAAGGGTTCAAATATGGCATTAGCTTCAGGTATGTGTTGTGTTTACAGACAGAGGCCTAAGCCTATAATGCAGCTTCAGGGATAAATGTTTTTGTTTTCTTAATGTTAACTTGTTTTTTCCTCTTTCCATCTTCGTCATCTTTCAGTTTTCCTCTAATACAACTAATTTATAGGTCTACAATATACTTTAATGTTCAGCAGGTCAGAAAATGGAAGGCTTTTGAGAAACAGAAAGATGACGTCAACAATATGGCCAAGTATTTTACCAGCTCAAGCAAGAACTTCCACTCTACCATGTACAGTGATGAAGAGATCTACCAGCTGCTGGGGGAAAAGAATTCCATGATGAAGCAGCTTGTAGAGGTGAGAAACTTCCACTCAGTTGTGGCGGCAAACAGTTGCTAGCAGATAACAACACCTTGTCTAGGGGATTTTTACTGGCTGCCAGTATGCTACCAAGCCAAGTTCAAGGTTTTTGGGTACTAAAATATCACTCACTCAATCAAGCTCCTTTATTGGCATAAGAAAAGTGCATCGTATACATGGATCAGAACACAACACAGTTAATGAAACATAGTAGGAGATAAAGATAAAGGGTAAGGGACCCCTGACCATTAGGTCCAGTCGTGACTGACTCTGGGGTTGCGGCGCTCATCTCGCTTTACTGGCCGAGGGAGCCGGCGTACAGCTTCCGGGTCATGTGGAAAGCATGACTAAGCCTGTACTGGTCCCGGGGGTAAGGTACCTTGGGTGTAGCAGAGTCCACACGAAGAGGGGCAAGGTCCGAGGCAGAGAGCCGGGCGGGGAACAGGAATGCTGGAACAGGAGGCTGTGCAGGGAACAGGAACACCGGATGGTCGGGAACAGGAGGCCGAGCAGGGAACAGGAGTACCGGATAGTCAGGAACAGGAAGCCGAGCAGGGATCAGGAACACAGGAAGGTCCGGCCAACAACGACGTTGCTCCCGCAACCTGGGGCCGGGCTGACTGGGCTTTTATCCTCTTCTAAGGCCAGGGCGGTCCCGGTCCCCAGGAGCCCCGCCTCCTCTGGCCTTAAGGCGAGCACTCCTCCTGGGGGCAACCAGTTCCCTTCCTGCCCTAAGCCTCTGCAGATCAGGAGAGGCCGAAGGGTTACTGGGCCCTGGAGGAGGCTCACCTGTGGCCACTGAGTCATCAAGCCCCTCTGGGGCCCGAAGGGCTTCACCTGGGGCCAGCTCCTGATGCACTGCCACAGGTGCAGGCTCTTCAGCATCAAGGCCTTGCCCCAGTTCAGCCGGCCCTGGAGGCGGGGACTCCTGTGCAGGCCGGGATTCCTCTGTTTCATCCTCCGAATCGGAATCCCAGGCCATCACAAAGCCGCTTCTGGCGAACCAGAGCAGCGCATGGAAACGCCGTTTACCTTCCCGCCGGAGCGGTACCTATTTATCTACTTGCACTTTGACGTGCTTTCGAACTGCTAGATGGGCAGGAGCAGGGACTGAGCAATGGGAGCTCACCCCGTCGGGGGGATTCGAACCGCCAACCTTCTGATCAGCAAGTCCTAGGCTCTGTGGTTTAACCCACAGCGCCACCCACGTCCCATAGTAGGAGATACTTTAGGATAAAACTGTCTAGACATTGTGAGGTACGAAAATAGTTCTTAGGACCGATGGTGACGTAATGTCACAAGAACAAACAACTTGCCCTGTTTGTGAGCTTTCCAGGGGTGTTCAGTTCACTGAATGTTGGATTTGACAGGCAGGTAGGTAGTTTGATTCAGTGGAGCAGTTTCTATGAGAGAATATCCTTTTGTTTAAATGAAGAGATGCTCACAACATTCTGTCAGAAAACTAGCCTATCTTTGAGAAGAAGCCATAAATGAGTATTGCAGCTGCTGTGTGTGTCTGAACGCACATGCATGTCCAGCACCTTTGTGCATTCCTACACACACTACCAAGAGGTTTCGAATGTGCAACCGTTCTGAATATGTGCTTACCCTTAACTTTATGCCCCAAGAAGTTTTTTCACCCAATGATGTAAGGTGGGTGGCAAAATGCAGAGCTTATTTATTTAATTACATATTTATAATCCACACTTCTCTAAAAATATATATAAAGATGGTATACAACTCATCAGAATAAAATCAGCAAAAAGCAACAACATAAAACCATCAGTAAGTACTGATTGGTTAAAATGAAGAAAGGGAGGGATATAGAAGCTCTGCTGGTAGGGAGTTTTATGGGGCAGGACCTGCCACAGTAAAGGCTTGCTCCCTTCTGAACCTCAGACTGTGGGGAACCACCCAGAGTGTCCCATCAGAGGACCTCGGTTATCCAGGGGGAGCATAAGGAATCAGAGAGTCCTTAAGGTTCTTTGGCCGCAAGTTCTCCTCCATGGTTGCACCCCATCTATAGAAACATTGTTGTTTATTTGTTGTTAGGTTGTGCGTGGGAGAGTCATTGTTTTGTTTTCCTTCTTATTTTTTTTAAATTATGTATTGTGTTTTTATCTTGTATTCTTATGCCGTGAATTGGATTTCATAAATACATAAATAATTTTTTTATTGCCAGACAACAATTTCCAGGCTTTTAGGATCTAATGAGATTTCAGTATTCAGTTGGATATTCTGGTTTTATTTTGCTTATTTTTTATGTCTATGTGCTTGTAACTTGTACAGTCGTACCTTGGAACCCAAACGCCTTGGTACTCGTCTGTTTTGGCTCCCGAATGCCGCAAACCCGGAAGTGAGTGTTCTGGTTTGCAAATGTTATTTGGAAGCCAAACGTCCAATGCAGCTTACGCAGCTTTCAATTGAGTGCAGGAAATCCTGCAGCCAATCGGAGTCCATGCCTTGGTTGTCGAATGTTTTTGGAAGTCGAACAGACTTCTGGAACGGATTCTGTTTGACAACCAAGGTACGACTGTACTTGTAAAGGGCATAGATAATTTACTTTGGAAGTATATGTTAAATAACTGCATATCTATTCATTCTTTCTGAATTATTCTACCTCAGTTCTTCTGTATGGGTAACTAGGCCTAGCTTCTGTTTTTTCCCTGCACACTCTCGCTTTTCTGACAAATTTTACCTTGGTTTATTCAATATAGAAAGATACAGCAATTGCAACTCTTCAAGAGCAAGTGAATAATGCTAAGAAGAAGCTGATGAGACTTGTGACTGCAGAGGAAAAATACAATGCGATTGACTCTCCATTTCCTTCTTCTTCCTATTCTGCAGCCAATTGTTCTTATGCAGCAGTTGAAAACCCAATGAGTTCTCCCTTTTCACCTGGTCAGGGGCTAAACTCAAGGCAGCACCCTAGGCTCTCACATTCACAGTGCAAACCAGGATTGCTTAGTAAAAAAGATTCCACTGATGATCTGGAACGCACAAATCAACACCAGCAGAAAATACTGCCAGAAATTGCTGTTGGGTACAGACCTCTGAATGGATGCAAGAATGTCGCTGGTCATTCAAGTGACCAGGATCAATGGTTCACCCAATATACCACCACACTTAGTATGGGCCCCCTGCAGGACCCACTCGAGCAGAGTTTTTCCACACCGAGGGAGGAAGCAAAGCCGCCATGTATGCCTCAGAGGCAGCTTCCAGGGACCAGCTATGTGAGCAGTGAAAAGCTTCAGGAAATATTGCAAGAGCTAAGTATGAACCACGTTGCTATTGCCCAGATGTCTCCCAGGGGACCTGAGCCAAGTGTCGATTGCAACATGTGCACATTATGGGAGCCAGAGGAGATCCAGGCAGGAGAGTCTATGAAGCTTAGTCCTTGTAAGTCAAGACAGGGGAGGAAAACCCCCAGCTCCACGGCTCCTGATACTTGGCATATTGTGGACAAGGCAACCAGCAGAAGGCAAAGACGTTTCAGTGGATTAGCAGAATTTCATCAGGCTGCAGCAGGAGACACGGAGGACAGATGTTCCCTGCATCAGCCACCCTCTTTGTCATCACCAGTGATTAAGAAAATGCTTAACTACAAGGCTGAAAACTGGTCCAAGCATTCAAGCAACGATGGGCGTGGGTGGCTGTTAGACAAGTGCCAAGGGAAGAATGGCGTGTCCACTCTTTATCTTAGCAGATCCAGGAATCTCCGTCATCATCAGAATTTCCTGACACACACAGTGCTCGGCGCTGTCCCTTCTCAGCACTTTTATCCTGATTCTGATTCTGGCAGCAGTTCCTCTGGGAGGCTGACCCATTGCGACCCCAGGCAGCGCTGTGAAGTTTGCCACGACCGCCTGTCTTCCTCTAGTGATAGCTGCATCACTGATACAGATCCCGAGTTTGGTGTGGCCCTGGACTACTGTGAAAAGCTTTATGGCAAGCGTCAACCAGTTGTGAACTTCATTGAGGATTTGGAGCCCACCTATGTGTAGGGGTTGTCAAGTCAAGAGCCCCCCACCTCCCAGACCCTGATATTTCAGGGTGGAAACCTGAGACCCAGGGGTGGCCCCTGGTGGTATCCTGGTGTGCAGGCCTTCCTCTGCTACCTTGTGGGGGTCAGGCAAACCTTGAGACCAGGTCAGCCGTGGAGGTCTGGCAGGGATGGCAGTGGCTTGCCGGGGGGGGGGGGAGGGTGTGGTCCCAGGTGCCTTTTTTTTAAAGGGATTTAAGAAGCTGCCTCCCAACAAGCTCTCTCATCGAGGACAGAGACTTCTGCAGCCAAGCTGGTGCCAAATGTCTTGCTCTGTTTTCCTTTGGACCACATCAGCGAGACCAAGGTGTGTGCGCGCTCTTGTCATCTGGGCAGCCCAGAACCTCCAGACACACTGCCCAGACTTGCACCCCAGAGAGCAGTGGAGTTGTCCTTTTTTTAAAAAAAGGACTTTAAAAATGGTTGTCTGTGTTGCCATCTAGTGGCAATAAATCAAGAGAAACAGCTTTGTATGAAAATGGAAGGCAATTGTGGGCATCATTGTGGGCTTACTGAACGTGAATCCATGCCTATCCAAATACAGTGGTACCTCGGGTTACATACGCTTCAGGTTACATACGCTTCAGGTTACAGACTCCGCTAACCCAGAAATATTACCTCGGGTTAAGAACTTTGCTTCAGGATGAGAAGAGAAATCGTGCTCTGGCGGCGCAGCAGCAGCAGGAGGCTCCATTAGCTAAAGTGGTGCTTCAGGTTAAGAACAGTTTCAGGTTAAGAACGGACCTCCGGAACGAATTAAGTACTTAACCCGAGGTACCACTGTACAGTTTTCTGTGTGGCATTTTATTAACCATGTTACATAAGAAAACTTGCTGGATAGGTACATCCTACAGCCCTGCTATGTCATTGGCTAATGTGGAGGAACTAACACTGACATAATGTAGCTGTGATCCTAACTGCAGTGTTTACTGGATAGCATCATTTGTGAAGCAAGCTCTGACAGCAACATGGGGGGATGGGGCTACCAACTTTTCATTTTTGTAGATCCCCTGTGCCTTTCACAGCTGAAGCAACGCAACTTTCCCAATCAGCCACATGCCAATGGTGGGCAGCACAGAGGTGCCAACCTTGAATAAAATATTCGGGGAGGCCGGGTACATCACACACACACATCACATGGTGCAAAGCACACACCATTTGAATGGCAATGTCCATCAACTTGGGGGGGGGGCAGCCCCCTTAAATATTTTATTGGGGGTGCCAAAGGGCCTCAGCCCCTAGAAGTTGGCTGCTATGTGGCGGCAGCTGTTATGTTTGTCTGCAAAGCACTCTGGAAGTCCCAGGAGCCCCGTAAGGGCCGACTAAGTGGCAGCCTTCAGATAGGTTTCCAAATGGTCATTGCTGGTATAGCTATTGCTTGACCTACACATCACTGAGAGTAAAGAACGTATTCTGTCTCTAGTGACTGATCTGTTTCACGTGCCTTGGCTTTGATCTTGCAATTAAAAAAATGAGTCATTTTTTTGAGTTAAGTTGAGTTCTCCTTGTTTACCAACAAAAATAGCTTGGCTTCTCATTCCTTTCATTAGTACATGACGATATTTTTTTCCAAATGAGAACCTCCTGATCTAATTGTCTGCAGCAACTTGGGGGAAGCTAGCCAGGTCTATAAATTTGGAACAATCTAGTGAAGAGGCTCATTCCATAAGTGGGGCCCCAGCTATTGAAGCATCTCAGTCCTAGTGATGAAGCAGCGAGCCAAGGTAGCAGGCATCTGAGTGACTAGAAGGTAAACACCATTCATTCATTCATTAAATGCATAACATTAAACTAAAGTAAGGGCACTGTGTGTTAGGAACTAATAACACATGAGCTAAATTCTAGGGGTGAGAAGCCTGCAGAACCATTTTTTTTAGCTCTACCCTAGCAGGGAGGTCTTTGAGGGGCTACTGCAAACCAGAAACCTATATTAAATTCTAGTTTTGGAGACCAAAAAAAGCAAATAAGTGCTCCTGATTCTTCCTTTGCAGCCGTGGCTTGAACTTTTTTTGCACCTGCTCCAATATATAGGACACAGGGTGTAGAAACTGTGGGTGTGGCTTGTCAAAAATAGGTCAGTAGGCCAGCCTCTGAGTCCTGACAGGCCATCAGTGCGTAGGCAATCGCACACCACTGCCATAGATCTTTGGGTTTTCTACACACCAGCTGTTAAGTTCTTCACTTGACAGTATCAACTCACTTTTTGTAGGTCTGTATACTTTTGAATGAGCATCTATCAGGAACAAACCTCTTTTCCCAAATAGGGGCTGGAAAAGACTGAAGCTGTCCTGATTCAAGAGTGTGTGTGCTCTGCTGGAAACTGCTGATATACGTTAGGGGCAGGGCTTGACCACCTTTTCCAGATCTTCCAGATATGGCCACCTTACTTAACTATTGAATTGAATAAAGTTTTCTTCTGGGTAATCCTAGGTTGTGTGTCATGTAATTCCATCAGAAATTTCTGAGGAGAGACAACCACTTACATGCCTCACAAAATACAGCTATCCTCTATCCTTAATTTGATATGTCTGGTCTAAAAAAGCCCAAGATCTCCTAAGAAGCAATGCATTACCCTAGACAGGAGAAATTCCTGCTCTGCACATCTTATTTTGGAAGCATTTACTGGGGTATGTTCCAGACGTTCCAATGTAGGGGCGAAGCCTGAGACTGGTAGATCATTCAGCTTTCCCATGCTGACTGCCCAGTTGGTAAATGATCTTGTAAGCTGCTAAAGCCGAATGATGTAGCTGAGTTGCTATCATGATTTTCAGTGCATTTGTTCCCTTAAAATAATAGTCCAACTAAAGGTTCTGTTGCAATGGTGAAATGTTTTCCATAGATACTGGTGACATTTCAGTATCTAGACTCTCTTTTCCCATCTAATAGCCCTGTTCTGGTTTATTTAAAGGTAAAGGGACCTCTGCAAGCTTGACTGGTGTCATGTACCACCTGTATATCATTTTCATAATATTCTCTCTTAGGGCATTACATGCCGTAAATTTCATACCTGTGGTCCACAACTGTTCCCAGTCAGCAAACATAATATTATGTCCAAGATCTTGTGCCCATTTAATCATAGCAGATTTCACCATTTCATCCTGAGTATTCCATTTCAACAGCAAGTTATACATTTTTGACAAAATCTTAGTTTTGGGTTCTAACAGTTCTGTTTCCAATTTTGATTTTTCCACCTGGAAGCCAATTTTCTTATCCAAATTGTATGCCTCCATTATCTGATAATAATGAAGCCAGTCTCGCACTTTGTCTTTTAATTTCTCAAAACTCTGCAATTTCAATTTGTCTCCTTGTTCCAAAATTTCCCAATATTTCGGCCATTTGGCCTCCATACTGAGCCTTTTCTGAGCCTTTGCTCCCATCGGTGACAACCACCTTGGGGTTTTGTTTTCAAGTAAGTCCTTATATCTTATCCAGACATTTAACAATGCTTTCCTGACAATATGGTTTTTAAATGCTTTATGTGCTTTAACCTTGTCATACCACAAATATGCATGCCACCCAAAAACATTATTAAAACCTTCTAAATCCAAAATGTCAGTGTTCTCAAGAAGCAGCCATTCTTTCAACCAGCAGAATGCTGCTGATTCATAATAAAGTTTAAGGTCTGGCAGGGCAAATCCACCTCTATCCTTTGCATCGGTTAATATTTTAAATTTTATTCTAGGCTTCTTGCCCTGCCAGACAAATCTAGAAATGTCTCTCTGCCACTTCTTGAAACAGTCCATTTTGTCCAAAATCCATTTTGTCCAATGGAATCTGTTCCACTGGCAGATGGACACCAGAGTATTTCATCTATAGTTCTACTGACAGTGCCTGCTATTTTGTCTGTGTTAGATAAAATCATGTTTAAATGGTTTATATAAAAGCTAGTAATAATATTGAGCCAATGAGCTAAAAGGGATGTAAACATCTTGATTCAGGAGGATGATAAGGACCAACCAGGATCCTGTGAATGGGCCCAAAATATTTATGATTTTTTAAAAAAATGCAGGAAAGCCATCTCGACCCAAGATTTTATCACTCTTCAATACTTTTATAATGGACTCTCATTGGCAGCATTGCCCTTTCTAAGAACTCTCTGTGAGCTGTTAATGGTTTGGGTAAAGTAGATCGCAGAAATGCTGCAATATCTTCTTCCCTTGGCTTTTCCCAGTGACACATAGTAAACAGCAAACGTACTAGCTATTTCTAGAGTGTTAAATAGCTATCAATGGTAGAGGATTTAACTGTAGAGACAATTATTGTATTAGTCTTTTGGAGAGCCCTTAAGCAAAGAGCCTATCTGCCCTTGTTCCTTTTTCATGGTAATCTTGCTTTAGAAAAAGGACTTTGGAGATACTATTATTTTCTATAATACTTTTAAAATCATACTGTTTGTATGGCTATACTTCTCTTCCAAATTTTCAGTTTTACTCATCCTTTGCGATCTGTTGTTTTCTTTCTTGTTTTTTCACGCTGTTATACAGATACATTTGCCTCTGATTATTTAAATGCATCCCATTCTATTAAAAAAACAATCGGGGTAGAGCATAGCAAGCAAAGCATGGAGAGTGGGGCTGGCTGCTGTTTTGGCTTTGTGTGTATGTCTACTTATAGTATCTCATGACTTCTTTTTTGCCTGTGCCTCAGGGCATTTTGGGGGTGAATCTGCATGCATGATGAAGGTGAGTTGCCCCAGGCTCTCTGGGCGGCTTCCAACCTTTTTGCAGCTGGATGTTGGGCTCATGGACAGTTCTGAATGGATTTAGTTCTTATAGAGTTTTGTTTTACAGTGGTACCTCGGAACTCGAACAGCTCCGTTCTCGAATGTTTTGGCTCCCGAATGCCGAAAACCCAGAAGGAAACGCTTCCGTTTTTTTGGAACCCAAATGTGTGATGCGGCTTCCACTGAGTGCATGAATCTCTTGCAACCAATGGGAAGCTGCGCCTCGGTTTTGAAACGTTTCGGAAGCTGAACGGCCTTCCGGAACAGATTTCGTTCGAGAACCAAGTTACCACTATATTGAATATCCTTTATAGTTTGATTTTACCTTCTAAAGCTTGTGAGGCTCCCATTTAAAATGTTTCCCTCTATTTTCCCCAAACTTATTTCCAATTTGGACCATTCTGGGTCCTATATATTGGGTTCTAGATACATCTTCCTCAGCTTTCCCCATCAGTCCACAGAAACCAGTTCCTTGGACCCCTGCTTGGATTGGTAGCTATAATCCCTTCCCTCCTTCTTTAGTCTTTAAGTTAAACTGCTATAAGACTGGGAATTTAGTAAGCTTTTAGTTTTAGGAGGGCTTAATAATATATATGCTTTATTGGCAGCTGTTTGGTTAATTCTAATTATTTGCCAATTGCAGTGAAACCCTCGCAGGGGTTATGTCTTGGCACAAGCTCAACCATAGCCAATTTTCATGGCTGCCCTGAGTGTCAGTGTTAAGAGGTATAAATATGGGAGAGGAAGCCTTCATAGCATGCTATAGCCCCACCCTAGCAGTAAAAGAATTGGGTGCTGCAAATGGGTGAGCAAAACATCAAAGGAGGAATTCAATGTAGCACTATGATCTCCCCATTCCTCCTCCCACATGTTTTGGGGCACATGGGGTAGGGCTGCCATACATCCAGAATTTCCCAGATGTTCACCAAAAATAGTGTCTGGGGGGAATTTTCAGAATTTGGTTAAAATGTCCAGGAAAATATTTGGCATATGGTAGCCCATAGTGTTGATTTTTGGGTGAGTTTCCTAAAAAATAGCTCAACAACTTTTGTGTCCAGATTTTCACTTTTTGAAATACGACAACCCCAGCATGGGGGACGAGCGGGAGGGGAGGGAAGCCCTGCTGCCTTAGCAGAAATTCTTGTGCTAGAAATTCTGCTAGAAGGACTCATTAGCTGAATCTGGCCCCAATATTTAACTGTATGAATGTGAGAATATTTTAGCAGTATTTCATGCTCCCCAAGGAAGCCTAATATTTCTTTTAGCTGCATGCTAGTAATTCTACTTTTTTCAGTGAGATTGTTTAAACCCAGAGCCGTAGCTACGGGGAGGGGGTGTCTAGCCAGGTTTCTTACCCTGAGTGAAACCTCCAGAGGGGTGCCATTGCGGCTCCCAGCTTGTGATTATGCAAATGTGACCCAGGTGAAATAAAGCCTAGTTTCACCTCTGTTTAAACCTCTGAAGTTTAGAGACTGTACAGCCCCCAGTTATCCATAGAGTGAATGGCTAGTTTGCAAGAGCTCCATCAGGGATATTATGAAAACAATGAGTGATCCCTTCAGCTTTTTCACAGTAAAGAGTGCAAGGGTAGTTCCAAACTTGTAACCCAGGGGAATGGCATAAGCAAAGAATGTGAACACTACATCATGGAGGAATAAGACTGAAATCCTAGCCACATTACTTGGGAGTAAGTTCAGTAGGATTTGCTTTAGAGTAAGCTTGCATTAGATCAGATTCCACATTACTGTATATGGTATATACTGTATACGTGGGTGGCCCTGTGTTCTCTAAACCACTGAGCCTCTTGGACTTGCCGATCTGAAGGTCAGCGGTTCGAATCTGCGTGATGGGAGTGAGCTCCTGTTGCTGTCCCAGCCCCTGCCAACCTAGCAGTTCCAAAGTATGCCAGTGCAAGTAGATAAATAGGCACCGCTGTGGCGGGAAGGTAAACGGAGTTTCCATGCACTCTGGTTTTCCATCATGGTGTTCCGTTGTGCCAGAAGCAGTTTAGTCATGCCGGCCACATGACCCGGAAAGCTGTCTGTCGACCAATGCCGGCTCCCTCGGCCTGAAAGCAAGATGAGCGCCACAACCCCAGTCGCCTTTGCCTGGACTTAACCATCCAGGCAAGGGACGCGGGTGGCGCTGTGGGTTAAACCACTGAGCCTAGGGCTTGCCGATCAGAAGGTCGGTGGTTCGAATCCCCGCAACGGGGTGAGCTCCCGTTGCTCAGTCCCTGCTCCTGCCAACCTAGCAGTTCAAAAGCATATCAAAGTGCAAGTAGATAAATAGGCACCGTTCTATCGGGAAGGTACCGTATTTTTTGCCCCATAGGGTGCACCTAGTTTTTTTTTTGGGGGGGGGATAAAGAAAAAAAATTATTTCCCCCCCAGGTGCGGGGCTGGGGAAGCCCAAGCTGGGGCGGGGGAAGCCCCCAGAACAGGCTGCTCTCTGCAAACCTAGGGAGCCCGACGGAAAGTTGCGCCAGCTCCCACGGCTTGCAGAGAGCTGCCTGAAGCCTGGAGAGCGAGAGGGGTTGGTGTGCATCGACCCCTCTCGCTCTCCAGGCTTCAGCGAAAGCCTGCATTCGCCCCATGCCCCATTGGACGCACACACATTTCCCCTTCATTTTTGGAGGGGGAAAAGTGCGTCCTATAGGGCGAAAAATACGGTAAATGGTGTTTCCGTGCGCTGCTCTGGTTTGCCAGAAGCGGCTTAGTCCTGCTGGCCACGTGACCCGGAAGCTGTACGCCGGCTCCCTCGGCCAATGAAGCGAGATGAGCGCCACAACCCCAGAGTCTTCCACGACTGGACCTAATGGTCAGGGGTCCCTTTGCCTTTACCCATCCAGGCCCATAGAGGAGCCTGGTGAAAGGACAGCATTTCCCAGATGTGAGGGCAGCAGGCTGGCATGGGGGGCAGGGCAGGCCTGCTGCCTCTGGCGGCTCCCAGTCCCTCAGCACCTGCCTCACGGTAGGGCCGCCCGGATTAACCTGCTATGTCCTTTTGAATGTGCTTGTGTGGGAAGGGCGGTTCTGGGTTTGTTTTTTGTTCTTCTTATGTATTTTGCTGTCGGGCCCCGAGACCTTCGGCTGAAAGGTGCCCTACGAGTTTCCTTATGGATGGCAGTTCTCTTTTGGGGCAGCCTCTGCCCGGCCGCTGGGAGGAGGAGCCGAGGGCCAAGAAGCGCGCAGCCAGCCCTCCGACGGCGGGGCGGCCCGGGAGGCAGCTGCCATTTGCGGCCGAAGAAAGAAGCTGCGGCCCCTCAGGAGGGAGCAGGCGAGAGAGCCAGGCCAGGCCGCGCCCGTCACAGGAAAGGCAGCTCCGCCAATCGGAGCGCGCCTCAGAGGCGAGAGCGGGCCGGAAAGGAAGCTGGTTGGCGTTCCCAGGCCGCCTCAGCGCGGCCGCCCAATCACAAAACAGCACTTCAGGCGCCAAGAGCCAATCGGAATCCAGCCAAAGCCAAGTCTCCGCCCGAGCCGGGCGAGGCTTTTTCCTTTCCCTTCTTCTGCGCAGGGCGGAGCCGCGCTGGCCTTAGGCCCCACCCATTTTGCATCAGACGGTCTCCGGGCCCGTCCCACTCTCGTGGGAAACATCCTGTCGTCTCATTGGCTCTGCCGCAGCGACAATTTAGGGACACCGGCTTCCTATTGGATCCCGAAAGGGAAGGGACGCGTACACCCTTGGCTTCTTTTCGTAGCTCGTGTGTGATTGGCCGCCCTTGCGGAGCGGAGGAAGTTTCCTGTCGCCGTCGCTGATTGGTGGCGAGGTAGTGCCAGGAGGGAGGGCATTCCGCGGCAGCTCTCGAGGATTGGCGGCCCGAATCCTTTCGGGTCTGGCCAGCTTCGGCCATTCGGTTTGGCATTCACGGAGCACACTTAGCCGGGTTGCGTAAGCGTGAGCAGGCTGCTTCCCCTCCCTCCTCCCCCTTTTTTGGTGTAGTATGGAAGAAAGCGCAGCGGCGCCTCTCGGAGCGGGACGCTCGTTTCGGCATTCTCGAAGGGCACTTAGGAAGGCTGCGTAAGCGCGGCTAGCCCTAGCCGCCCAGAGAGTACGGAAGCCGCCGCCGCCGCCGCCGGAGCAAATCGCGAAGGAGGAACCGCCGCGGCCCCACAGCGCGCAGCGGACAAAGGAGCTCGGGCGAAAAGGCGGCGCCTCAGCCGGCCGGGCCGGGAGGAGCAGCAGCAGCAGCAGCAGCGCCGCCGCCGCCGCCATGGCCCGCCCCGCCGCCCTCGCCGCCCGCCCGCCGCACTGCAGCGCCCTCCGCCTCCGCCGCCCCTCCGGCCGCCGCTCGCCCGCCTGGTGGGCGCTATGAGGAGAAGCAGCGCCAGGCCCGGCCTGTGTCCGCGCTGAGGAGAAAGGGCTCCCCTCACCCGCCGCCGCCGCCTCCCGCCTCTCGTATTCCTCCGCCAGGCGGAGGGGCCAGGAAGAGTCCGCCCTTTCCCCGCGTCTCCCGGCGCCCCCGCCCCGGGGGGCCAGAAGAAGAAAAGGGGCGCCTCTTTTTCCCCTCAGCCGCCGCCGCCGCCGCCGCCTCGTGTGACTGACTTTCCGCCGAGGAAGGACGGGAGGAGCAGCGCCCCGAGCAAGGCCGGCTCCGCTTCTCGCCGTCGGGGGGCGGCGACTGGGTCGGGCAGGGCTGGGCCGCCGCCGCCGCCGGGAAGGCAGGAAGAGGATGGCGGCCCCCTCGCGATAAGGGGGGGGAGAGAGGGTCTTTCTGAGGGGGAGCCCCCCGTACTCGTCTTTCTAAGGGCGGGAGCGGGAGAGCCTGGATCTGCCCGCCCGCCCGCCGCCTTGCTCCTTCCCTTTCGGCACCCGAGGAGGAAGCAGCGGAGCGCCGGGGCGCGAAGGGGAGTTGATCCGGCGCGAGCGGGGGGTGGCGCGGCGAGGAACCATGTCCGGGCGGCCCAGAACCACCTCCTTTGCGGAGAGCTGCAAGCCGGTGCAGCAGCCCTCGGCCTTTGGCAGCATGAAAGTTAGCCGTAAGTATTGATTTGCACCAATCTACGTGGTTCTCCCTCTCCCTTGAACCCCGCATCTCTCGCTGGATGCCTCGGCTTCCTCTTGGTCCCCGGCAGCGCTGCCTCTCGCGAAGTGTCAGAGCCGGAGGAGGCCTGGCGGCGGCTCTTGAGGAGGCGGCTCTTCCTTTCTTGTCTCCGGGCTCCCTCCTCTCCCCACCCCCCCTGCGCGCACCCTTGCACTAGGCCCACCCTCCGCCTTCCATTTAGAAGAAAAAGCCAGCCTTGGCTTCTCTGCATTTCCTCCTAACCTAAAGTATAGCTTGATGCTTCTGCTAGATCCCTCTGTCTAGTTAGACTTCGGATCTGCATAGTGGCTTTGGTCAAGGATGAATTTACTTTGTTCTCACAACCTTTAAGAAGGGATTAGATGTGGATCGACTCTCTTCATATTATTTCAGGTTTTCTTATATTTTTTGCCTTTTTTATGAGGGGTGCCTTCTAATGGCGAGGGCCTTGGTTCCATTCGATCTTATACACCACTGTTTCATACACCTGAACAATGATTGATTTCTTTATGCCTATAGCTAATGGAACTTCCTGGTGAACTATCAGTTCTCAAATCGTTTAAATCAAAATGTGTGTGGTATTGTAAAACTTACTACAAATAGAACTTCAAATTTGTTTTAATCCAGCTGCTTTCAAAGAACTCGTATTTATGGATGTAGCTTGTATTTAAAAGGACTTTGTGGTTAGCTCCATTGTAGGACATGGATTTTATAATAAGGCTCTAATCTGGCTACCTTTTTATGGACCTGAAAAAGTCCCTCCCCACCCCCAAGGCTGCAGTCCTAAAAACACTTGCTTGGGATTTTATCTGAGCATGCAATAATATGGCCTTGTAGTAAGGATTATTGTTTGGCAGAAATTTTATGGAATATTTATCCATTAATTTCTGAAATGTTTGTCACAGCAAATAAATGTGTAAGAATGTTGGACAGGAGGAGGCGGCGGCCTTCAGAACCAAGCCAAAAAAAGCTCACCAGACTGCCAGGTGCCTGACAGCCCTGCAGTTCTTGAAGGACCATGCAACAAGCACAACATGTTTATCAGGCTCTTGGTTTTTTTGTTTGATTGGTTATGAGTTATGAAGACCTGGGCCACGGGTTCAAGTTGTAAACAGTCTTAATTTAATGCCTTGAGTGTCAGTAGTACTTGTAAAAATGTAGAATATAATTGACACATGTTGGGTGCTTTAGATAATATACTTTTGGTGTTACAAAACTTACTTATTTCAGAAATACTAGACACATTGCCTGTGTTTTACTTCTTTTCATGTAAAAAGCATTGAGAGGTTGCAGCCCATTCATCAAACCTTTGTTGACCACATAACTTTTAACTGTGTGACAACACAGCATATTAAGACTTGGAAGTGTTCATTTTTAATTCTGTGGGCGATTCTTTGATTAGTTTTGAGGTATTCTTGGAAGAAATGTTAGTTGACCACAAATTTTAGAATTAAACATTTTTTTTTAAACTATTATTAATCAGTTTGCAGAGCTGTGATGTTGGTTTTTTAGAGTTGCTATATTATTTATTTGGAATCCTAGAACAACATGACAGTAACAGTCAATCCTGTACTGTATGTGTCTATTCAGAAGTAGACCCTATTTGACACATCTAAGAGAGATGGAGAACTTGTGAACCTGCATAATGTTACTGAACCACACCTCCCATCATCCCTGACAGCAGCCATGCTGGCTGGGACTGATTTGAATCGGAATGTGCTTAACAGAATTTATATACTGCTTGGTTATAAATAAAACCTCTAAGTGATTTACAAAATCCAACAACATCTGGAAGGTCACAGGTTTCCAACTCCTAGATTGCGTCGTAAGTTACATACTGATTTTCAAGATTCTTTTAAATTTCACAGTGCTGTATTAAAATTCTCTGGGTAAAACTATACATAAGGCAGACGTGAGGTTCCCTGTATATCTCATCACAGTAATGCAGGCTGGGGTTTGTACATAAGTCATTCCTAGGGAAAAATCAGGATCAGGGGTGTCTAACCTTCCTTGCCATAATTCTTGTCCTGGTTGTGTGTTCTGCAATTCTGTGATAGAGCAGTAGTGGGAAACCTTTGGCCTGTGGGTCTAATTATGCCTGCCAGGCCTTTCACATTTGGCCCATCAGGCTATTTCAACTAAGTCACGTCCACCTGCCCTACCTAACCTGATGTCATGTATGATGTCAGGTCTGGGGCAGGTAAGGGCGGGGCTTGGCAGAAGGGGTGCTTGCAGGCATTACTGATTAGCTCATTGGCAGTGCTTGCCAAGGCTCTTTCACAGTGCAGGGCAAGCTAGCAGTGTCAGTGTGGCTTCTGAAGAATTCTAAAGTGCTATTTTCTGTGGTGCTTTGAATTGGGTTTTGGAAGATCCAACAATCAGCCAATTGTCATATTTTCAGAAGCCCTGCTCAAAGTGCTGTGCAAAATAGCAGGCAACAAAGGTCACCTCGTGTTATTACGATGCCAGGCAATTGACAGGTGAGCTACCTGTCAAACTTGGCCTGTGCAGAGGGGGTCGGGGCGGGGAGAATAACAATCTGGTTCACCAGTCTGGAGTGGTTCCCCATCCTTGTGGCAGAGAGATGCCATCCATTGATGCCCCCCCATTAATGATACTTAGTAAGCATATCAACAAACTAATAGTTCTATTAGTAAGAAAGATTTTTAAACTGTTTGAGCAGCCCAGGTTGTGATGGATGCCTCTTTAAATTGCCACATGCAATTTTTTAAACACTTGCTTTAATATATATTTTTTAAAATTTGCTATGTAATTAATTTGTGACTTTCTTCAAATATATATATTTTTAAAAAGATTAACCTAAGTGATAACCTGGACTGTAATGTTTAATCAAGTTATTCAGTTATTAGTGGGCACCACAAATCTTAGTGGTGTTTTAATTTAAAGCAGAATGGGATTTATATATTGTTGAGCATCCTAGTGAGTCTGGACTTGACTCTCTCTGAGTTTAAGGTTATTCTTTATTCTTTTAGTGCCTTTTATCTAGAAGAACTTGGAAGCACCTAGAGACTTGGAAGCACAGTCACATTGAGGCGACATTGGAGGGTCTAAATCTGCTAAAACCTATTGGCTAACAGATTTTCTGGATCTGGCTGTTATTAATTGATTTCACCCCATGCAGAAATCAGTGGTTTTTGAGGTAGAAAAGAGTAACACTTTATATCACTTTTGACACCAGATAATATGAGGGCCTTGGGATATATCTAGCTCTGTCTTCAGGTGAAATTGGACTACTCCACCTTTTGATACAGTATTTGCCTTTAGTTCTAAAGAGAGGAACATCCCACTTGCTCAGTCACCTACTAGGCTGATCAAAGCACAGCATGGTTTGACCTGTGCCTTTCTATTTCAGTTCTTGTTTAAGAATGAGGAAAATAACTTTCATTTGTGCCATAATCCTATATTTTAGTTACAATTCTGTTCTTTGACTGCTGTTGCTTACATAGCCAAAATGACAACACAGAAGAGGGAGGTATGAACAGATTTGGGGAAACGAAGGTTTGCAGAAGCATAAACAAATCTTTAGAAAAAACCCTCATCCCTTCTCCACCTCCCAAAACAATCTAATGAAGACCGATGATGCTCAATGTCTATGGAATGCTGCCTGACTTGAGGAGTGAGGGAAATTTGAAAACTGGATTTGAGAGCTGCTCAGAGAGATGAAATAAAGAAATCCAATACATTAGCTGAGATTGAGTACTTGTGTACCCCCCCTCCAAAAAACAGCCCAATGAGTCTTGTGCTTGCTCAGTACCCATGGAATGCCGATTGACCATAGAGAAGGAAAAAATGGGTGGGAAGGGAAATGGAATGACTGGGAAAGGAGGGTCAAGGAAGAAACACAAAGATGTATGCTGTAGCAATGGGTTTTCCTGCACCAGCAGGGATTTGGACCAGATGACCTTTGAGGTCTTTTCTAGCTTGATGGTTCTAAATAAATAAAGGTTATAGAAAACAGTCTCATTGTTTGGGTAGGTCATTTCCTGGTTCACAATAAGAAGCTATTTTTAAATGTCTATGGGAGAACTGCACATAGAAATCAATGTAGAAATCCAAGCTTTTATTTTAGTTGGGATCTGACATCTGTGTGTCTAGTCCCCTCCAACCCCTCCCATGAAGCGGGGAAAAGCCCTCAAACCATTGAGGTCTAAGCATACTTGGTGCAGAATGTGAACTGACTGTGGGACATGATGGAGTGGCAGAATGGAATGGCTGAACAGAAGCACTCAACACTGCAGCATTTTCGTTGCAGGATTTTACTGGTGTCAATGCATGGGCAATCCTTCCCTAGCCATCCTATGGCAGATCTGCCTTGGTCCTTATTTCTGATATATCTGGCTCCTACATATTTTTCTTTACCACTTCGTCAGTTAGTTGTTCTCAGTTTTCCTTGATGAGATTTATATAGAAGCTAATGGCTTTCCGTGTACCATGGATCTTCTCTGTAAAATTCTTATTACCTCTTACGCTTTATACAGTCAGTCAGCAAGATATGGTATCTGAAGAAGCGTGCATGCACACGAAAGCTCATACCCATAACGAACTTAGTTGGCCTCTTAAGGTGCTACCCGAAGGATTTTTTTCATTTTGTTTCGACTACGGCAGCAATACAATACATAAAATGTGGATTACCATTCAAGATTTCTTTGTAGTCACTGTATGACTGAATCAGAATAGGTTTCCTTTTTGAGTCTTCAACCAGATCACTTAGGTTTTAGTTGGAGGCATGTTTTCTAAGGTGAGTGGCAGTTGTGTGTGTTGATTTGAACCTCAAATAAATGTCAGACCAAACAATGCAATTATGAATTTAAGATTGTTCTGATAATTCGCATGGCCCTAATACCCAGGATCATTAAGAATAATAGTAATACCAAGTCCCAAAATACATACAAAACTACTGATAATTCCTACCAAATGACAGATCTGAAAGTTCACATAATTCACATATCCAGAATCAAATATCCAAATTCTGTGGCTAAGATTCTTTGTCTGGCATAAAGTTTTAAGTGAATCCTGAGCAGTCTATACGAGTCCCCACATTATAAAGTAAAAGCCAATCTACATGAAAAAAATCTGAACAAATATAAATCGCTTGCAGTTTTAAAATCTTACAAACAAGGAGTCAAACAAAGGAAGCAATCTCAAAAGAACTCAGGTCAGTCTAAATCTGATTTGGTGCCACTAATTTTTTTAAGATATATATTTGGTAACAGAAAGGCTTAAATGTTTTAAAATTAGGTTTGCAGAAACAAATCAGCATATATTCTGTAAATAAATTAAAAGTGCCCTTTTGTCTGTTAATAAACCAAGGGAATAGATCCATTTCTCCTATGTGCAATATGCATTTAATTAGCTGTTTCTGCAATTTCTACTATTGATTTGGTATAAAATGGATTGTCTTAAAAATACTGTATATACTGATAGTATATTACTTTATATTGTGGATAATGTTCTTTTCTGTAACAAAAGCTTTTCATAAATGTAGGAGTGTTGCTTACCACAAAGTCAACGCAGAGCAATCCTGTGCATGTTTTCTTGAAAGCAAGATCCACTGGCTATGATTGTATAGTCTCACATCTCTGCTTATGAATGCATATGAAGGAGCCTTACGGTTGTGCATGCACCCCCTTGTTAGAAAGCATCTTATTCTGATTTGAACTTATGGGTCACTTTTTAAAAAACCCAAAAAGTCACTCAAAGCAACTTAAAGCATACATTAAAAGCAACGTACAACTGAAATGGAGTAAAAGCTAGGGAGTAAGACATCCAATCCACTGAAGGGGGGCACAGATAATTAAAAGTCAAAAGCCCAATGGAAAAGAGTTTTTTGCCTGATGCCTAAAAATGGGTAATGATGGCACCAGGTGTGCTTCCCTGGGGGGAGAGTTCTGTAAATGGGAAGCAACCGTTAAGAAGCCCAGTTCCCATGTTGCTACCCTCTTCACTTCCCTCGGACAAGACACATAGAGAAGGGCCTTAGATTATGAGCATAGAGTCTGTGTTAGTTCATGTGAGGAGAGGTGGCCCCTGAGGTATTGGGGTCCTGTGCTGCATAAGGGTTAACAGGTCAAAACTAGCATCTTGAATTGATCCTGGAAACTAATTAGAAGCCTGTGCAGTTGTGCTAGAACTGGTGTTACATATTTAGACTGTCTGGTCAGCAATTTGGTTGCCAGATTCTGCGCCCATTGCAGTTTCTGAACAGTCTTCAAGGCAACCCATACTTTGGCAAAATAGGAAACCATAGTTAACTGAAAACTTCCTAATTTGTTTGCTGTCTTGCACAAAGTGGTTGCATGTGTGTCCAGAAGTCTCATTCATATTTCAGCAATATATGATATAAATAATCCAATTCTGGCCATTGTGTTCAGTGGAGGTTACAGCTAGGAATATGTAATAAGCATTGTGGCCTTCCTAAGTGTAAATGCTGCCACTGCACTCATTGTTACAAAAAGAGCAATGAAAACCACATGAAATGTCACTATTCAACACGTTCATGTAATTGGTAGGGATGAGCAGTTTTCAGTGCATAAAGTCATAATGTCTCTTCAGTAATGTAATTTGAATGATCCAATTGAATCTCTGAGTCGTCATACACTCCACATTAAATTATTTTCTTACTCATACCTGTTTTATATATTATAAAACTATCATTCATTTTTAGGTTGATATTTTCTGTGAACTGCCCTGAGACCTCCGGGTATAGGGCAATATATAAATTCAATAAAAATAATAATTCAAAATTTATTTGCACTCTTTTTCATACTGAATGTGACTGAATGAAAATAGGCTTTCCTCCTGTGTCTTGCTTGGGATAGACGTTACTGTTGCCACTTTAAAACAGGTCACCTTAGATTATTCTCACGTTAGGAGACATTTCAAGGAGTGGCACACATCTCTGCTGGTCTTCACTAGCCTGGTTGCTTCCTCTGGATTGCCTCATGACTCTTAAATCCTTCAAGTCATTAAGATAAATAGCCATGTATCATCTTGAGGTCTTAAAAGTGGTTTCTCCTATCTGTGAGTGATCTGTATTTCTGCAGGCAAAGAAAGCAACCTGTTCGTCTCTTGTTTTCAGCGCCAATTTATGAATGTTTACTTCGAAGAAAGTTCTACCATGTTTTGGGGGCTTAACTCCCACCTAAGGCTGCATAAGACGGTGGCCTATATTCTCTTGGACCGTTCATTGATACAGCTAGGTCTTCTCACCTTCTACTTCCAAAATCAGCCATGTCTCTCACAGAAACGTTCTAAAATGTATACACTGGCTACCATCTTGTCCTGCTACCCAGCACGCTTGTCTGTACTTCTGAAATCTTTTTATTTGCCCATGCAACCATAATTCTGCTCATATTTCCTGTTACCTCCTTGTGACAGTTGCTCCTTCATTTCTGCCACCTGCAACTACCTGAAAGTTTCCTTTTGTCTTAAATGGTGGTGGCAGGGATGTGAATTATTTCATTCTAAATCAGTTGAGTCACAGGAGAGAAACAGATTCTGGGATTATTGTTGCTGGAAGGGGTGGCTCGCTTTAACTCTTGCTGTCTTCCCCGAGACCCCTTGGCCAGGCAGTCTCAATTTCTCCCTTACCTCAAGGCCAGATTGACAGAAAGGAAACACAAAAGCAGGTGAAATGCCCCTGAGGATGCTGACTTAGCTGTTGATTACGCACTTGGTTTTCCCTTGGAACAGTTGACTGCAAAAGTTCTGATTTTATGGTGACATCTCGCTGCTTACTCTAATTTTGTATTTGGGGTATGAAAAAGTAGACTCTTTCCAGCAGAGTACCCTCTTTTTGTTGTCTAGCTGTGTTTTAAAACATGCTGTGCAGTGCATAGTACTGGCCTCACTCTTGCTTCTTCATTGCGCATGTGGGCGGACAACACTTGGAAGTTGCAGTTGAGTCAATTTTGATATTCCAATCTCTCCACTTCCTTGGGCATAAGTACCACTGAAGTCTGTAAGAATTACTTTGGAGCAAACATGCATAAGATCATGTTAAGAACATTTTTTTAAATCAGTACAGTAAGAGTAGGAAGAATGGGGACGCTCAGTGTTAGAGTGCACACTCTGCATGCTTCTCAGTTTCGGTCCTTGGCGTCTTTGGTTAAAAAGATTAAACAGCAGGTGATGGGAAAGATTTCTGCCTGTGGCCATTAAAAACCACTGCCAGACAAAGTAGACCAGGGAAAGCCAATATGGCACCCTCCAGGTGTTTTGGATTACAACCCATTGGCTCCACCCACCGTGGCCGGTGATCATGGATAATGGTTGTAAGCCAACATGATACCTCCAGATGCTGTGGACATAGCTGGAGTAGGCAGTATTGGGCAGATGGGTTGGGGTCTGACTTGAAAAAAGGCAGCTTCATATATGGGGTAGGAGAGAGAGAAAGTGAGAAATAATGTGATAGCTGTTTGGATTATTAAGTTAACAGGGTTACAACAGAAGCTATCAAATGGGATTTGTCTCCAGGGAGACAATGTATTCCCAAATTATGATGAAATTTGTGTTTTGAAATAATGTATTTGTATTTAGTTTGCATGGAGTGCCATTTCATCACTACAGACTGTCACATCATCCAGCAACCAACTGTTTACACAGGCTTAGGACAGTTTTTGTTTATATTCATTACTTGTTACAATTTTCGCCTTCATTATTAACATTTTGGATTGTATTTTCCTGAGCTTGGAAGAGGTCACTGTTTGCTTATATTACTCTATGCAGGGTTGCTACATAATTATTAATACTTTCAATATAAGCATGCTTACCGTATTTTTCGCTCTATAGGACGCACTTTTTCCCCTCCAAAAATGAAGGGGAAATCTGTGTGTGTCCTATGGGGCGAATGCAGGCTTTCGCTGAAGCCTGGAGAGCGAGAGGGGTCGGTGCGCACAAGGCTTGTGGGCAGCAGCCTGAAACCCACAAGCTCGGGGGATAGCGGGGAGGCGGAGCGCCGCCACCCCGCTATTCCCGGACCTGGTCTTGAGGCTGGCGGGGGGGGGGAGAGAAGCAAGCTTGCTTCCCCACATCGCCAGCCCCACAAGCTCGGGGGACAGTGGGGCAAGCCGCTGCCCCACGGAGGCTAGAGAGGCTGTCCCTGAAGGCAGAAGAGGGAGACGGAGCACTCCGTCTCCCTCTTCTAGCTTGGGGATGGCTGCGCAAACCTGGGGGGAAATAAATTTTTTCCCCTTGATTTCCCCCCCCAAAAAACTAGGTGCGTCCTATGGGCCGATGCGTCCAGTAGGGCGAAAAATAAGGTATATCAAAAACCTTTACAGTTCCTGATGACTTCAAGGTTATTCATTGGTGGAAATGAAAGGTGATATTCAACTAAGTTGTTACATGCATGGAATGATGTTTGCTTGCACGCCTGGGACTTCTTTCCTCTCGTCCCTCTATCTGCCCCCTGTGCCCCCCGTTTGCTCTGGAAGGCTGGGGGAACCCACAGAAAAGGTTTAGGGGACATTCAGCCTTATGGGGGGGAGTCTTGTTGCACGAGTAGACCTCATTATGTGCATGCATTTAGTGTTATGCTGAATGCCACCCTTTATTTTAAAATTAGGGCTGCAGCTTTAATTGATGAATCAAAATGATGAATGAAAGTTCTTGACCCAATTGTTTAAAAAATTTATTCTCCCAGTCCTCCGTTGATGATGCTTTTTTGAGGTGAGCTACTGTAGCCAGGCTACTGCGGGAGGCAGTGGAAGACAGAAGTGCCTGGCGTGCTCTGGTTCATGGGGTCACGAAGAGTCGGACACGACTAAACAACAACAACACTGTAGCCAGGCAACCCCCCCCCCAAATAATCATGAAATGGGAGATTGCAAGGGTCATTAGGGCACTTTCCCATTTCCTATGGGAGGTGTGCCTGGAGGAGGAAGTTGAATGTTAACTCACTTATGCCTGCAGCCACGGGGTCTAAAAAGGAACATATGAACAAAGGTCCATTTAGTCCAACGTTTTGTTCCTGCAGGGGCCAACCAGATGTGTGTGGAAAGCCTGGAGGCAAGACATGAGTGCACAAGCATTCTTCCACTCCTAATCTCCACTCCAGCCATTGGTATACAGAGCCATATAGTCTCCCATAACGGTAGTCACTGATGATAGCTTTATTCTCCATGGATTTGTCTAAACTTGTTTTAAAGCTGTCTAATTTGGTGGCTGTCATTGCATGTTGTGCTAGTGAATTCTATACTATGCTCTGTGTGAAGAAGTATTTCTTTTTTTCTGCCCTCAATCCTCCCACATTTAGCTTCATTGAATGACCCTCAGTTCTAGTATTATTGAGAACATTCTTCACTCTTCCCTTTCTCCACACCTTGCAGAGTTTTATGCATCTTTTATTATGCCCCCTCCCCATTTACTCACATCCCCCCCCCCAAACTAGAACCCCTCCAAATGTAATGTTACAGGAATGTTTTCCCAGCTCCTTGATAATTTCAGTTGCCTTTTGCTGAACTTTCCCAACTTCGCAATAGCCTTTTTTGAGCTGAGGCAGTATATAGTATATAGTATTCCAAGCATTATGATATTGTCTGTTTCCAACGATGGAGAGCATTTGGTATCGACCTTTGGAGCAGTGAGATGTTTGCTGATGGGAAAAGAAGGAGAAAGTGACAGTTTTGACTAAAAAAAATCTGATAATGTGTGGAGAGGAATATCTGGTGACTGCCACTATGTTGACCACCTGAGGTAGGAACCTTGTGTTCAGTACTGGAAAGGAACAGGATTGCCCTTCCTTCTGGGGATATTGTTGCAAAAGTTTCTTTTTAAAAATGCTACAGTATGTGTTGGATCAAGGGAACTCATCACTAAGAGGGCTTAGGCAGAGAAAATGTGGAGTAGACTTCTAATTTCAAAACGCAGGGAAGGGACTTCTACGGTATATGTCTGCCAGTTATGTCAATGGTAGCATCAAGAAGAAGCATTTGAAACTACCATAGCATCCATCCAGGGGTCTGCAAATTTGGACCCTTTTTGTATCATATTGGCTCATCCTTTTCAGTTTTTCCTCCAATGTGCTGGCATTCTACAAATATATGAGTGGGTTGATAAAGCAGTTCAGTTCAGTCCAGTCCAGTCGTGTTGATCATAATGAAAGATCAAGAAACTATAAAGTACTTGTGTGGCAGTGATCACATGTGTTTTACTGTTTGGCCTGACATCAGCATCAAGAATATTCATGACAATCATGGTCACTCATGATACAATATGTAAGGAAGGGATTCATCTGTACTTCTAACTGGATGTCATCCTACTCAGGGCACTGTCAATAAAAGGAGGCTTACTATCTCTCCTCCCTGACAATGAGCCACGTCAAGGGGACAGAGAACATTCAGGTGGACTGGCTGAGCAGACCACTGCTAATGCCTGGGCTGTAGCACCTCTGTAGACAGATATACAAGAAAATGTGGCACAAAATGAAGTGAAACCATTCACATCTGACTCAGACCACCAACTCAGAAGATGCTTCATCAGATTCCCATCCCACATGGTGGAAGGGATGGATGCCTTTCATCTGACCCCCTTACTTGCAAGTTTGCTAAAGAAAACATGGCTGGAGAAGACAGAATTCATTCTAATGGTACCTGCAATGCCTCAGTGCCATTTTAGCCAAGTCAGCTGTGGTTCTCAGATATATTGTGTCTGGCCATAGCGCTACCATGGACTCTGCCAGCACATCAGGAGCTGCTCAAACATCCACTCAGTATGGCTGAACTTGACCATTTGGAAGACCACCGGGAAAAGACTCACAAAGGGGTGGATTTCTGGACTATAATCCCAGCATTTTTTGCCTCCCACAAACCAGTCACCCCTGTGGTTCTACCTGGGAGACCTTCTTATGCTGGTAGAAGAAGAAACACAAAAGCTCTTCCAAAGTGCCACTACCAGAAATTGTACTGTTCCTACAAGATGGGTTCAAATTGGGTCTCAAACCAAACATGTTGAAAAGACAGGTTTCAGCATTGTCCTCGATCCTATCTAGATGTTCATCGGCTCACATCCTTACCTCAAGCAGTCCGTGATACAACATAGGTTCCCAACATGGGATCGACATACTGTCATGATGGTCTTACAACACCTACTGTTCAAGCCCCTGAAGAAGGTGCCACTCTGAATCCTATTGTTCAAAGTGCTGTTCTTGGTTTCTGTGACCTCAGGAAGACTCATGTCTGAACTTGGGACCTTGTCCATCTTAAAAGAATTGTGTATAATCTATAGAGATCTTGTAGTATAATGGACTGATGTTAACCTTTATACCAAAAGTTAACTCCACATTCCACAGGACCTTATAGATCTGACATCATCATCATCATTATTATTAAAATTTGAATACCCTGTTTCATCTGAAGATCACAAAGTGGTTCATAACATAAAATACAAAATGAATACACAGCAAGCCTCTTCATTCATCCCTTTGTGGTATACTGGAATGCTATTCCATTTCAAAAAAATGGAAAACTATGATTGCCAGCTTCAAGACAAGCAAAGATCCTGGGGTTCCCCCCCCCCCAATCAAGTAGACTATAAGCAAACTGTGGTTTGAAATTTGTTTTAAGATTTGGGCTTGTTCCTCAATTGTAGCCCAGACTTAGAAACTCAAATATATATGCTAGGTGCCAAATGATTCCTTAAGCAAGGGTAACAGTTGCAAAAATGGAATGCCTAGTTGCCATTTTTGGGCAAGACATTTTCAGTATGACTTTTTGGTTTCTAAAATTCATTCTGATTGTGCAGATAAAATATAACTGATAGAATTCTCCCGATGGTGGAGATGTCAGGGGCCATCCTGGTGACCAGGCTTCTTCACTTGGTCGCAAGTAGTTGATAGCCAGATGCGCACAGTGGGGGGGGCAGAGAGTAGGTGGGGGCGGGGCTGGCGCGCATCCTGGGGGCGTGACGCGCCGCCCGCAGGGGCGTGGCACGTCGCCTGCAGGGGCATGGCACCCAGTGCGTGGGGCGGGTCAGCCTCAATGGCACCCCACTGGGATCGCGCTGCCGGGGGCGGTGTGCTCCCCCTGCACTCCTCTTCCTCTGCCAGTGGATGCACATCCGCCTGGCGCCTGGCTAATTCCTAACACTGCTGTAGCCACATTTCCCCATAGACAAGCATAGAATTATTAATAATTAGAATATCCCTGGTTTAATCATAGTTTGCCTGAAGAGCAAAAGCCTTGTTCATCTTGTGGATTATTAAGATATGGTTGTCTCAATGAAGCCATAGTCATTTTTTATATATATATATATATATATATATTTATAAGATATTTATTAAGATTTTCAGAATATTACAAGACAAAAAAAGAAAAAAAGAAAAATACAAAATAAAAACAGTTAAAAACAATTCATTCCTTCCGTTACTTAGCCTTCATTTGCTTATTTCCAGGACCTCCTCACACCTCCCTTTTTTGTATTCCAATTCAGTTATTAGTTCAACAAATCCCTCCCCTCTTTATGTATCCTAATCGTTAATCATAAAATATTTGTAATTTTAGATTTTTACCTATTAATAAACCATTTTTTTTCATATTCCCTTATAACATTTCGGCTAAAGACCACTTAGTTTCTATCCGACATCATTCTAACATTCATTAATTTTGCAATATTTCTGTAAATAGTCTTTAAACTTTTTCCAATCTTCTTCCATCGAGTCTTCTCCCTGGTCTCGGATTCTGCCAGTCATTTCCGCCAATTCCATATAGTCCATCACCTTCATCTGCCATTCTTCCAAGGTGGGTAGATCTTGTGTCTTCCAATACTTTGCAATGAGAATTCTTGCTGCTGTAGTAGCATACATAAAAAAAGTTCTGTCCTTCTTTGGCACCAATTGGTCGACTATGCCCAGGAGAAAGGCCTCTGGTTTCTTCAAGAAGGTATATTTAAATACCTTTTTCAATTCGTTATATATCATCTCCCAGAAAGCCTTGATCCTTGGGCATGTCCACCAAAGGTGAAAGAATGTACCTTCATTTTCTTTACATTTCCAACATTTATTATCGGGCAAATGGTAGATTTTTGCAAGCTTGACTGGTGTCATGTACCACCTGTATATCATTTTCATAATATTCTCTCTTAAGGCATTACATGCCGTAAATTTCATACCTGTGGTCCACAACTGTTCCCAGTCAGCAAACATAATATTATGTCCAAGATCTTGTGCCCATTTAATCATAGCAGATTTCACCATTTCATCCTGAGTATTCCATTTCAACAGCAAGTTATACATTTTTGACAAAATCTTAGTTTTGGGTTCTAACAGTTCTGTTTCCAATTTTGATTTTTCCACCTGGAAACCAATTTTCTTATCCAAATTATATGCCTCCATTATCTGATAATAATGAAGCCAGTCTCGCACTTTGTCTTTTAATTTCTCAAAATTCTGCAATTTCAGTTTGTCTCCTTCCTGTTCCAAAATTTCCCAATATTTCGGCCATTTGGCCTCCATATTGAGCCTTTTCTGAGCCTTTGCTTCCATCGGTGACAACCACCTTGGGGTTTTGTTTTCAAGTAAGTCCTTATATCTTATCCAGACATTTAACAATGCTTTCCTGACAATATGGTTTTTAAATGCTTTATGTGCTTTAACCTTGTCATACCACAAATATGCATGCCACCCAAAAACATTATTAAAACCTTCTAAATCCAAAATGTCAGTGTTCTCAAGAAGCAGCCATTCTTTCAACCAGCAGAATGCTGCTGATTCATAATAAAGTTTAAGGTCTGGCAGGGCAAATCCACCTCTATCCTTTGCATCGGTTAATATTTTAAATTTTATTCTGGGCTTCTTGCCCTGCCAGACAAATCTAGAAATGTCTCTCTGCCACTTCTTGAAACAGTCCATCTTGTCCAAGATTTGCAATGATTGAAACAGAAATAACATTCTTGGCAATACATTCATCTTTATAACAGCAATTCGTCCTAACAAGGAAAGCTTCAGGTTTGACCATATCTCTAAATCCTTTTTCACTTCTGACCAACATTTCTCATAATTGTCTTTAAATAGGTTTAAATTCTTAGCAGTCATGTTAACCCCCAAGTATTTTACTTTCTTAACCAATGTTAAACCTGTCTCCTTCTGAAACCTCTCTTTCTCAATCGGTGTTAAATTTTTCTCAAGCACCTTAGTTTTTAACTTGTTCAACTTAAATCCTGCCACATGACCAAATTCCTGAATCAATTCTAATACTCTTTTAGTACTAGATTCTGGCTCCTGTAACGTCAATACTAAATCATCTGCAAAAGCTTTCAATTTGTACTGTTTAGCTCCGACCTGTATACCTTTAATCAGACGGTCCCTTCTGATCATATTTAGCAAAACCTCCAGGACCGAAATAAACAGCAATGGGGAAATTGGGCAGCCTTGTCGTGTCCCTTTATCTTAAATTCCTCTGTCACCACATTGTTAACTATTAGTTTAGCCTTTTGTTCTGAGTAAATTGCACTTATACCATTTTCAAACCATTTTATAATCTATGCTGTTTGCAACAGTTTACTTCACATAAGAAGTGAGTTTTGTTTAGGGATTTTGTTCTGTATTTAGCCTGTAAAAGATGTCAGAATGTCTCATAAAGTATGATCTGAGAATAACTGATCTATATAGATTTGAATCTGAGGAAGTGTAAAACCAACTGCCTTCACTAAAGTGGTTAATTTTGAATAGTGAAATTGCGTGAGTGTGGCCTGAATGGCAGGAATAGGCTGACCCTACAATTTTAGGGTCTGTTTTTTCTCCCTTTCTGGAATTCCCATGATCCATTGATTGGCATGTATTTAAATTTACAAAGCAAAATTTTTTAAGATTTCCTCACAGTTAAAACATAAATTGATCCTGAATATTCATTCAGACCAAAGCCAATCTAGTCCATCTTTTCTCCCACAGTGGCCAGTTAGGTGCTTTTGAGAAGTTCACAAACAGGATTTAATGTTAATAGCACTCCCCTACTGTTTATGTCTGGTGTCTGTTATTGAGGTTCCATTTGGGGCTATTATTGCTATCAATAGCCATTGGTAGGCATATTCAGTAAGGAAAAGCAATTTTTTGAAGTAATCTTAGGGCTAGAAACACATTCTGTTCATCATGAGCCTCTTCTTCCTTCCAACTCCAAAATGGAAATGTGGGGGAGGTTTGTTGAGCCCTGTAGTATTCTGCCTCCCAACTGTTGAAGCAAAGGAAAAGCAGTTCACTGTCAGCATATGACAATAACAACTGCAAGAAGGAAGGAATGTGGTGCTTATGCGTTGTTTTGTAAGTGTCCCAGCAACCAGCATGCACTAGACCTGGAGTCCCCACCACAATGGCAGCAGAAACTGCACTATCATAAACATCTCCCTTGGCACCAAGGCCCTCTGCTTTTCCTAATTTTAAAAAATGTAGATGCTTATTTCTGCATGGAGCTGAGTATGTGCCCAACTAACCATGTTGGGTTAAGCACCTGCTCATATATCTCTGGCACTGAAATCAACAGGTCTTAAACATGCTTAACTTTAGCTTGATAATGTCCCAAGTTTGTAGCCAGTTCTATTAGAACTGTCTTTCTTAAATGGAATGAGAAGGCATGTGTGTAGATAATCCTAGCTACTGAAAAGTGGTTGTGTTACTAATTAGGCAGAATGCCTGTCCATATTACTGGACAGTGCTGCATAAACATAAACCTGCATGTCCACATGCTAAGTATCTTGATAATACTTTTTTGTGAACTGAAAATAATTGCTTTGGGATCTGCCAAGAATACCTAAAAAGTCTGGAAAACCCTTGGTTGCTGATAACCTATTGTAATGGTTCTAGGGGTTGCTCGTGCGTAAGCCAGTGCAAACACCTGGCTGGATTGCCTGAGTGAACCTTTTCTGTCCGGACAGCCACTCACTCGTGGCTGTCTCAATCGTTGGCAGAATCCGTCAGTGGGCGTTTCTTAAACTTCTTCCAGCAAAGAAGCTCTTTGACGCCTAGTTGCCTCCTACTCTCTCTGCGCGGAACCCTTCTGCGCAAGGAGGGCGTAGGCAGCGGAGGACCTCTACTCTCCCCACTCGTCCCCGGCAAGGAGTCATGGGACCGCCTCGCCGCTTCCCCCATCTGCCCCCCTTCTCCACTGGTGCTACGCTGATTCTCTTCCCCAGAGGATGGGCTGCCTCTCCCAATCCCGGGACGCTCTCCGGAATCCCTCTGGATTTTGCTCTCTCCCTCCGGCACTGATGGCAGTTCCCTGACACCTATGTACAAATACTTTTTAATATATTGTCAGGATGCTTTTTTCTGGTGTGTGTGCTGTGCAATACTTGGGAAGCCCAAGAATCTCAATGATACTGTGTAGTCAATGTGCGTGAAAGAGGAAAAAGAAAATTTTGTTTTAGAGCAAGGTTAGGAAACATGATCCGGCCAGTGAGCGAGATGCTTACCTCTCCTTTCACATGCAGGCCACCTGTAAATCACTTGACATCATTGCATAATCTGTTAAAAGTTCAAAGGAGTTTTGTACAATTGTCAATCTGTTGTTTGGTGGTTATAGCAACCCCCTTTGAAGCTGTGCTTTCAGCACCAGTCATCTGTAGGCCTGGGCGAAATATCGATATATTGTCCAAAACCGGTTTGAAGTCCATTTCGTGATATCTGTTTCATAATTTTTGACCTGGCAATATATCGTGAATCATGGTATGTGACTGTGTGCCATGCAAAAAATACAGTGGGAAAAATGTTGAAGCCAGCCAAAGCTTCTCTTGATTCCTGCAGCCCCTGTTAACTCTGCCGACTCAGCTCTCCCCTGCCTCATGCAGGGGGCAGTGAATCACAAGAACAAGTGCTGGCAAAAATCACAATGCAGGAGAAACCTTGAAGTCAGCCAATGCCTCTACATCCTTATTTTGGACATCATGATATGTTGGTATATCACGATGTTTAACTGATGGTATATCACAATGTTGAAAACCAGATACCGCCCAGCCGGGAGCGCACTTTCAAAGAGGGTCCCTGTAAACGTCAGTTAGCTCATCCTTGGTTAAAGAGAGATGTAATGAGTCCCTAGGACACTTCCTGGAGATGGTGGTCTGATGCAGAGGAGGAATGGGGTGGTTTTGGGGGAGTCTGATCTGGCGAGAGCTCTAGTGGGTAGGGGTTTATGGTTATGGCCACCAAGACATGGATGATGTAGGGGAAGGTCCTAGTGGCATTGGATGGGGGGAGATTTGGATCTCCAGGAGGGCTTGAATGAATTATCTGTGGGTCTTCTGGGTGCTTCTGTACCTGCGAGAGAACTGGCTAGAGAGCCCTTTCCTTTCAGGGAGAAGCCTTCCCCCTAGGAGAGGTACCTAGGTAGTTAAGCTACTTTTGGCATCTCAATCTCAAAGGACACAGTGACGCCAGTAGTGGTGCAAGCTGACACTGCATGTTTGGCCAACTCAGAGGAGTGCCTAGCCGGCACAGTGTGGAGTGTACGTTGCTTGTTGAATCAGCAGCTTAGCAATGCCTGGTCATATAACTTAAAGCTCTGTTGTGCCTTATTTTGTCACCTGTAGACCTATGTTTGGGCAGTGTGCTGAATTCCTGAATAAAACCTGGTTGTGGTGAAAGCTCAAGTTCTGAATTTGATGAGTGGAGCCAGGACAGGAGGCGCCTTAAAGTATCTGCAGGGGGGGGGAGAGAATGTTCCTAAAATGGAGCATTTTTGCCTTTCTGGAAAAAACTTCATATAGCTTCCTCTGGAAAGAAAAGAAAACCCTCATTTTTTCTTTCTTTCCAGGGGAAGCTGTTTGCATTCAAAGCATTGGAGGAAGCACTTTGAATACAAACTGCTTTCTGTGCAGCTGATCTCAGATGATGGTTGGGATTTCAGCTGTGCAAGGTTCTTTTCAGGCTCCTACTATCAGCTGATCCTTGGTGCCTGCAGAGAGTCTTTGAAGCACTGACAATCAGCTGATAGTTGAGGCTTCAAAGTTCTCTGCAAATCCCTTTTGACACAGCTGCAACTTTGCCTGCCCCAGTGGTTTTAGTAGGCGTAACTCAAATATGTTGGAGAAATTGCAGTCATAAAGGTGCATACTGTGGTAGGATTAGGAAAGCTTGTTAGTGGCATGCTGTCTGTTAGAGGTTTCTCAGAAAATAGTTCAGATATTGAAATAAAACATTGAGCTTACCCCTCAATTATGTCTATTAAGTATATATGAGCATAGCAATTCAGACATTAAGAGAGTTACTAATATTTCTAATAGCATCCTACCGATAGTTCAAAAATAGAAGAATATGGAATGCCTGGACTTGTCAATGTTGTATCACAATGTATGGGATGTAGCCATTGTGGACAAACTAACACATCAGTTATGAGTAGTTGGGAGCAAGGAAACTCTAGATTAGTTTTTTGCTATTTTCACACCACACCAAACAATAATATGCCCCTTCCTCGGTGAAAACTTGATCTGGATGTTGCATTAAGTGTCTTTTAAGAAACAGATACTCAGGACTCTTTCATAATACAGTTTCTCCTTGTTTCCAGGACCAGCGGGTCTGGACGGAGCAGGGCCGGAGATGAGTGATTAGTGAATTATAAACATTTTTATTTGAATGTATGAGGAATGGATATTTTGTACCTATACTGTATGCATATTGTTGATTTTATGCTTTATTAGGTGGCAACATGTCCACCATCTTTGTCTGTTTTTTAAAATGTAGATTTATTAATAAAATTGGGAAATGACTTAGGAAATAAAGTGGAAAAGAAAATTAAATACTTAGGAGTTTGGATTGCATCTAAAAATCTGAACTTATTTCAAGATAACTATAAAAGTGTGTGGACCGAAATTAAAAAAGACTTTAAAAAATGGGAGCAAATGAATCTGTCATTTTTGGGTAGAATATCTGTAATTAAAATGAATGTTCTCTCCAAAATGATATTTTTATTTCAATCATTACCGGTAATATCCAACTCCAATTGCTTTACACAATGGAAAAAAGACATACTAAACTTTCTATGGCAAAAGAAAATAACAAAGATTAAATATAAAATACTAACAGATGAAAAACATGAAGGGGGGGGTTTGCTTTCCCAGATTTGAAATTATATTATGAAGCAACCTGTTTAAGATGGATGAAAGAGTGGATCAAATTGAAGGGTGTAAATATACTGGTGCTGATCTGATCTATGGGTGGCACGTGTATAAAGGTAAAGGACCCCTGACCATTAGGTGCAGTCATGACTGACTCTGGGGTTGCGGCGCTCATCTTGCTTTATTGGCGGACCGGTCATGTACAGCTTCTGGGTCATGTGGCCAGCATGACTAAGCCGCTTCTGGCGAACCAGAGCAGCGCATGGAAACGCTGTTTACCTTCCCGCTGGAGCGGTACCTATTTATCTACTTGCACTTTGACGTGCTTTCGAACTGCTAGGTTGGCAGGAGCAGGGACTGAGCAACGGGAGCTCACTTCGTCGTGGGGATTTGAACCGCCGACCTTCTGATCGGCAAGCCCTAGGCTCTGTGGCTTAACCCACAGCGACACCCACATCCCTATCTCTGGTATAAGAAAACTAGGGTTCACAAGGGATTTTTAAATCATGTGTCTGTCTAAGGTCTGGATGAGGCATAAATATATTTTAGAAAGTAACACTCCTGGTTGGTGAAAGCGGTTGCAGTAAAAAAGGATAAATATGGATATGATCTGGGAAATGGACAAAGACCTTCTTGAATATAAAATGGCAACATAAAACTAAGAGATACGGAGGAGGTGTCAAAATTGGATACTACTGGTTTCAATACTTCCAAACAAAGCAGATTTTTAAAAAAGATGAAAACGATTTGTACAAGAAGAATCAAAATGTGAAAAAGTGATTTTAGGGTCTAACAAAAAAAAAAATCTCTAAAATATATAAACTATTGCTAGAAAGGGAGACTAAAGATGAACTTATAAAGGAGGCAATAACAAAATGGGCTATTGATATTAGGCATATTATTGAAATTGCTGAGTGGGGAAAAATATGGAATTCAATAATGAACTCTGCATGATTATATAAAAGAAAATATGCCAAAAAAATACAATATAGATGGTATTTGACACCAATCAAACTGACTATAGTGTATAAAAGAAGCTCAAAACTATGCTGTAAATGTCTAGAAGTAGAGGGTACATTTATTCATTTATGGTGTAAATGTAAATGAGCAAATGAATTTTGGGAGATGGTGTACAACAAGTTAAAAAATATATTTAAATTCACATTTCCCAAGAAACCGGAAGCACTCCCTCTAGGCATACTTGGGAATGAGTTACCAAAGAAGGCTCACAGCCTATTTCTATATGCAGCAACAGCTGTGAGGATAGTATAGGCAAGATACTGGAAACAAAGAGAGACCCCAGGGAAAGAACAATGGCTAAATAAATTAACTGAATATGCAGAGCTTGCCAGTATGACATCCAAAATAAGAAATCAAGATGACAAAAAGATGAGGAGTGAGTGAGAATATCTAGGGGAATATTTACAAAAAAAATGTCCTCAAATATAAATTCCAGGTAGGGGATACTTTGTGACCAACAGTAGACAATATAAAAGATACTAAAGTGTGGAAAATAAGATGAAAGAATTGATGCATATGCAGCTGAGCAAGAATTAAAAAGAACTGTCATGGAATGCTGAGTGGGACGTCGAAAAGAACTACTGTATAAGAATGGAAAATGGTGTAATTGTAAAACTGAAAACAAAAAAAGGATGAGTTCTTTCCAGCACAGAGTTTCTGTTTGAGTGCTTCTGCAATGTTAACCTTTCAGTATTGATTTTATTTTTTCAGTGCTCTGCATATTTAAAAGAATATGTTTCTCAAAGAAGCAACCCAGTTGAGTTCAGGTTATTTTCATAGTTGGCCAATATACTCTGTTGTAACTAACACTGAAAAACAATAAGGGAGCCCAAATCTTACTGATATTCTGCCAAATATAATGTAAGAACTTTTGTCTTTTTGTGTTCTTAACCCTGATGCTACCAATAACCTGAATGCCAAATCTTCAAAGTCTTCAGAGAGAAGAAGCTAAAAGGAGAACTGGATAGGAATGCTTTTATCTGCAGAAAAGTAGAAATGTGTTACAGTGGGCATCATGTGTCCCAGATCTCTGACTTTGCACAGCAATGTCCTTTTTTTATCAGGATCTCACCTGAATAGCACTTTACAGGTTTTAGCCAGATACTCAAGATTTATTGCAGTAGTTTCAGTAAAATCAGTAGATCAATATTCATTGGAACAGTATAAGCAATAATAAATATGCCAGCTTATATTTCTCCATCTTATGAAAATAGAAAACTGCAAAAATAAAATATATATATTGTGGAACAAATAAGTAGTTGGAATACTCTTTTTAATAAGGAAAAAAGCTATCTCTCATAACACAGTTTTCTATATGGACATATACCTTGTGTGATATTTTCTTTTGTAATAGATTTTTCCATATTAACTGTCTCACTTTTTGTATATTCCAGGAGACAAAGATGGCAGCAAAGTGACCACAGTGGTAGCAACTCCTGGACAGGGTCCAGACAGGCCTCAAGAAGTTAGTTACACAGACACCAAAGTGATTGGAAATGGATCTTTTGGTGTTGTATATCAAGCCAAACTCTGTGATTCAGGAGAACTGGTTGCCATTAAGAAAGTTCTGCAAGACAAGAGGTTTAAGGTAAGAAGTAAGAAAAGTTAAGAACATTCATGCCACTACTTATTCTGTTCTTATGAGTCAGTCCTTGATGAATGATGTTTCCCTAGGGAGTATATTGTGAGCATTGACACTGTAGTCTTATGATTGTATTTTTGTGCAGGATATATAGGAAGGAAGCTGGAAATTCTGCCTTTGAACTGTAATGCATTTCTTTTGACCTTGTAGTGATGTGATGACATCTCAACAATCAGGTGGAAAGAAAACTACTTTCTTAGTCATTTCATTTTTAAAACTTCAAATTTTTCCAATATATTAAGGTTGGACTGCTTCCTTTAGGCATGCTCACCCCTGGGTAGTTGGAGATTTCCCCTGGGGCAGTCTATTTCTTGCTGGGAGGGTGTCTGGATGAACCAGCAGAATGTGATTCTATTGTGCCCAGTCTTTTTATCTGTTGCCACCAGACACTTCTCCCATCGAGAAATTGGAGATTGCTCCAGCATCTCTGATCAGCAGTGGCTAAAGGACTCAACAGCTCCCTCACTATGCCAGCCTTCAGACCAACTACCAAGTAATAATACATTGAGCCAGTGGGAGATTTGCCCCTGTCACTGCTTCCCAGGGATGGATGAGAATCTGGCTTTACATAGAAGCAGCTGAGTCACTCAACTGCTTATGAACCACACAGCTGGTGCAGTACACCTCTGCTGAGCAGATCAGCCTCCATCCAAGTCAATAACAGGGATGAGCCCCATGACGCAGAGTGAAGCAACACGGAGGCATTTAAATTTCTGGTGATACTGCTGCACAGGGAAGGGGCAAGAAAAAGATGGTGGTTTCAGTCAAAGTTCCTGACCCCTTATAGCTCACCTGGTCCTTAGAAAGGGATCAGAACCAGCTATTAACTGGCCAAAAGAGTGTGAAGGGACAAAGGGAACCTGGGCTTTAGCTTACAACTCAGTGCTTTCCCCAGGCATCCTGAGTGACAGAAGTAAGGACCTGGACAACTCATACACCTACAAACAGAAGACCAAAGTTTGGGATTCACTATGTCCTTAACCCTTCACTTATTAGAAAATAAGCTTCATTGGTGTGCGGGGTCTGGAAGAGTCTTGGTCACTTCCTGAAGTAAAGGAGGGACAAAAAGATTCAGTGGGGGGGAATCAGGCTCTGCGATGTAATATGAGCAATCAAAATTAAAATTAACTCCAAGCAAGAATAGACTGTTTTGTATTTTATTGTGGGGTGCTGTAGGGTTTTATTGTGGAGGGTTTTGAGGTCTGCCTCCTCTCCTTGCTTGACCCAACAACCTCCAAAGCAAATACCATATTTTTCGCTCCATAAGACACACTTTTTCCCTCCTAAAAAGTAAGGGGAAATGCCTGTGCGTCTTATGGAGCGAATGTGTGTTCCCTGGAGCCGCATTGCCCAGGGGCGAAAAGCAGGTCTTGCTTTTTTTTTTTTTTTTAAAGAGGGAAGGGGGGTGTTGAAAGGAAGCTGCTGAGCAGCTGATCGGCAAGCGATCAGGATGGAGATAAGGCTGCGGGTAAAGGAGGTTGCCGGGGGGGGGGGCGTAAAGACCGCAAACTTGCAAGGAGAGGAGACAGGAATACTAAAACAAGCAACGAGGAGAGAAATTAGAAGAAAAGGAGGAGCAAAAAACTGCTCCAGCTAAGGAAGAGATGCTAAAGCAAACAAGAGGGAAGGGGGTGTTGAAACGAAGCCACTGAGCAGCTGATCGGCAAGCGATCAGAAGGGAGATAAGGGATGTTAGCGATAAAGGAGGCTGCCTGGGAGGGGGGGAGGTAACAGCTCGTGGATCCTCGGGATTTTTGCATTGGGTCACCTCAAATTCACTATCAGATCACATATCATGTCCATGGCTACAGCCTGCACCAAAAAAACCATGCATCCACTGTTTCATGGGGCCACAGTGGTGCAAAAATGTGGTTACAAAGCACAGATCCAGATGGATTCTCAGGATTTTTGCATTGGGTCACCCCAAATTCACCATCAGATCACATATCATGTCTGTGGCCACAGCATTAACCACAAAAATCACACATCCACTGTTCACTCAGAATTTTTTTTTTCCTTGTTTTCCTCCTCTAAAAACTAGGTGCATCTTATGGTCAGGTGTGTCTTATGGAGTGAAAAATACGGTACCAGGTTCAGGAGAGATGTTTTCTTTGGAACTGCAACAGAGGAGGAAATCCCTTCTTGGTTTCTGCTCAGATCCTGTTAATTATCAGCCTTCCTTGGCTTTGAAGTTTGCGTTTAAAAAACCAATCCTGTAGGCTAGATAGGAAGATGTGTTTAATGTTACATGTAATTTGGCCCTGAAGTGGATTTGAAAATTATTTGTTGAAAGAGATCAGGGAAGTGGGATACATGGAATTATTCTCATTTTATCCTTGTACAGCCATATGAAGTAGGCTAATCTGCATGATAATGACTTGTTCAAAGCTACTGAGCTACCTTCATAGTTAAGCAGGGATTTAAACCTAGGTTCTCCTGAGGCCCAAATGAACAGTCTAATAGCTATTTTACTATTCTGGCTCACTAATATGGGTTCCGAAAGTTTCATCTGATGACCAGCGTACATGCAGACTCAAGTAAATGTGTTGTTGCATGGAGTACCAAGAAGATATTGAGGAACCAGCTTACTTTAATTGGAATTGACCTAGTTGTGTCCATTTGATTGTCTACCAAACACATATGAATATTTTTTATAAATGGAGGTAGTGTGGAATGTTCTTCTGACTGATACTTTTGCTCAGGTCCAGGTTGTTCCTGGAAGTGGGCTTTGTGAAGGTACTTCTTTTTTAACCGTCTGAAATGTTAATTAGCTATAACTAGTTTAAATGGGCTAAGAGAGAGTAATAGGTCTCTGAAATGGAAGGATGAGCTGGTGCAGAGAAACAGCCTGAAAAATAAGTAACAGGTAATCTTTTTATGTCAAGAGACACCTTTTTGCTTTTGAATTTGGAAGTAAGGATATTGCTTTGGAGCAGGAGAGAGTCCTCTAATGTTGGGCTTTAAGGCTTTAGGAATAGCTTTAACTTGCCTATCTGCCCCCAAACTAAAGCTGGGGTCCCTAGATAGATACTCAAAGGTATCGTGGTGCCCACCAAAGCCTTGTGCCCCTTCAGTTTTTAAATTTTATTTGTGTGTTTTGGTTGGGGTTGTTTGCTTGTTCCATGGATTTGGCCTGTTGTATTTTTTTCTGTGATGGTGGTGGGGGTCCCTGAGTACACCAGTCTTTTCTGTAAAATTGGTGCTTCACTGTTGTGAACTTTCCTTAGATTTTCAAATGTGCCCTCAGGCCCCCCACAGTGGTAGAGTCCTGAACTAGAGAATGACAGAGATTGTAGACTGAGTTTTACTGTCCCAGAGTCAATGCTAGTTTCGGGTGTAGCCTTACTTCTGTAGTGAATTAAAGTGCAAAATTAGATGAATTATGCACAATGGTGTGTGACACTGTCTAAGATTCATAAGCTTTTCTGAAAAGCAAAATATAGGTTAGCCATGCTGAAATGTTCTTGAATCCTTTCCTCATGCCTTCCACATACTAACGTAGTTTGACAAATGGAGCACAGTGGGCAGTTACTAGAAAGAATTCCTTTTTAGTAGTCACACCCCAGTTGTGGAATGCCTTCATCAGATACGATCACTTGACACTTACTTGGGGGGTCTGTTCAGTGCCAGAGAAATACCATTTTAGTTCCCCAGACCATTTAGTCTTAATTATTTTAGTGTGTTTAAAATTCTTTGCACTAATGTAATATTCTGTTTGGTTCTGTCTCATTTTTCATGTTTCTATTTTACTTCTTGAAGTTTTCGGTTTTTACAGTTAACTGTCCAGAAAAACTTGGTTATTGGGAAGTATATAAATATTGTAAATAAACGATTGTGTTTTAATGAGAGATAATTTATAACAAAACAAATGAGTTTAAACTCTTACGTATGAAATTAATCTCCCTGCTGAAATATGAGGAGCTTCACTGGCATACTGCTGACTTGTGAAGACCCACCTGTTTAGAGAAGCATTACCCTCAATTCCTGGCTTGATCTATTTGTTGTAATTTCTGTTTTAACTGTTACTCTATTTTAATTGTCTTAAAATGTACCATTCTAAATGTTTCGATAAAATTATATTACTGTTAATATTAATAATATATTTTTATACTTGGCTGTATACTTGCAAACCATTTAGAAGCCATTTTGACAAGTGAGCAGTATATAAATAAATTAATGCAAAGATTGTGTGCCTTTGTAATATCTGCCAAATATTATTCTCTTTTTCAGAATCGAGAGCTTCAAATCATGAGAAAGCTCGATCATTGTAACATTGTCAGATTGCGCTATTTCTTTTACTCCAGTGGAGAGAAGGTACGTTTTGAGAGGCATGCAGGAAGCAAATCATTTGGGTTTGTGAGATGGTAGCAGCTGAGCAGTGGAATCAGCAGTTGCTGGCAAACTTCAGGCAGTTGTGCATCCTCCTCCTCCTCATTCTTGTCACCATCCTACAAAAGTAGCCCTCAAAGTCAGAAGGTGGAGGAGTGAACCAGCAGTGGCAAGGAGGAGGAATTTAATGAGAACTTGAGCTGGCATCTTCAGCACCCTCTTCTGGACAGGGAGACCACATTAATAGAATCTTTTATAAAGAAAGTAAGAGAAAGATATAGAGAAGCTAAATCAGATGAATAATTGGTTAGAGAGACTCTGGTCAGGAGCTGTAGCATGTGGCAGGGTGGGGCAGTAGTGCTCATCTGATCTTTGGTTGCCCACATCATTGCTGCATAATGGGACGCAGGGGGGGCGGGGGGGGAGCAAGACATGCCCAGCAAAGGCAACCCACCACTTCTGCCAGTGCTTTTGCTCCACGCCATCTTTGCCGCTGCCTGTCCCCTCCCTCTCACCCTCCCAGTGTGCAACAGTGACATCGGAGGCTAGAGCACCAGTGCCCCACCCTGCCTTCTGCTACTATATGCTGATCATTTGGAACGCATATGCCTACAGAGGCAGTATTTTAACTGTACCCTGTAAAATCTCAAATGTGCAAAATATAATTGCAAATGGCACTCATTGGGAAGGAACTGTTACAACCACGTGCCTCATTTAGGACACATTTTGCAGTTTCTAAATTTATTGGTTTCTTCTTTCCAGTCTTCCCATGCCATGCTTCATGGTACCTAGTTCTCATAAACACATCGTCCAGAAAGCCTGCCCTTCAATCTGTTACTAGTACTTGAAGATACCATGACACCATATACTTGCATATGTTTTAAATACAGTTCCTTTTAAACAGATGAATACCTTTTTCAAGGGGTTGAAATATGGGTCAAAGTAATCCTACTACTTGCCTGGCCTCATTTGCACTGAAAAAATGTAATCAGCATGATATGGCATTTACAGACATGGTTGTCTTGTGCTACAAAAGTTAATGCATTTACTGGTATATAGTCTATGGATGTAAACAAGATTGTGTTAAAAAAATATATGGTTTCCCTCCTGTAAAAAGCGCCAAAAAAAATACCATACTTCTGGTTTCATATAATCTTTCTTCTTTCATCCCTGTCTTTTTCCTTTTTCCCATTTCCAGAAAGATGAGGTATACCTTAATTTGGTTCTGGACTATGTTCCTGAAACAGTATACAGAGTTGCCAGGCATTATAGTCGGGCCAAGCAGACACTCCCGATGATATTTGTGAAGGTAGGTAAAATGAAACGATAACCTAGATGGTTGGTTGCTTGGTTGTTACATCAGACATAGGGCAGCAATCAGGTTTAGATGTCCATAGGTAGAAATGGGTCTGCTAATGCCCTTTGTTTCTTTCTAATGGCGGCCTCTTGCACATTGTGTAGTTTTGCTCTGGAGAGCTCCTTGGCAATGGAAACACTTGGCTGGGGAGCGTGCTGCTACTGCAAAGGGGAAGCTCAGGTGTGCCATACGACTGCCCTGTTCTTGAAAGGAAGTGCAGGCTTGTCTGAGTGAGGGTTGATTTAGACATGCTGTCATATCTACATGAGATTTCATAGAATACTTTTTTCAAGGGGTATTGCACATGGTGAGGGAAGTGTACAGATGATACTCGTATGTTTTTATTTATGCAGACGGTTGGGCTAGAGGACCCTTCTGGTCCTTTCCAACTCTACAATTCTATGATTCTGTTAGGTTGCTAGGGGTTACTACCCCTGCTTTCCAGCCCATCTCCCACCTGCCAACCCCTTTCCCCCTCCCTATACACCTTACCAAACTTTTATGTAGTCCCCCCCTCCTTGCTGCATTTTAAAATACAAGCTTCTCTTTATCACAGCAACAGCTGTGGCGGCGGCAGCCATGTTGGGGAGGGAAGAGGAGACTTTATCTCCTTTGTTCCCCTTAATTTTGCAAGCAGTGGCAGCAACAAAGGGTTTATGGGAAGGTTGGAAAATTAAGCCCAACACTGATTCTTTCAAACTCCAATCAGAAAGGAGCGGTGCAGGGCTGCTCTCCCTTTTCCATCTCAGTCTGCTGCAGTTGTGAAGCTGAAGGCTGGCTTAGCCAGTCTACTTGTCTGGCATGCCGATACCCTCGTTGGCCTGGGCCAGGGATGTCCTGCCTCTGTCTTCCTCCTCTGCCTCCGAGCTGCTGTGATGGCCGAGTAGCTTTGAGAGTCTAGTTGAGGCATGTCCAAAGTCCGTTTCAGGGGCCTAATCCGTCCCGTCGGTCGGTTTAATCCGGCCCCTGTGGCAGTTTTTCCTGGGGTAAAATAATAAAAAAGGTTAACAACTTTGGTTGGCCCTTTGGTCAGCCTTCACGGCCCTTCATGTCATCAAATCTGGCCCTCTTTGAAAAAAGTGGTGGCCCCATGAACTGCAGCATGAGGACATTCTTACAATTTTATTACTTATATAGGTATGCAACCCATATGCCAAAATGGCTTCCATTTGCCATATCCAGTGGGTTTCCAGCTTATATAGCAAAGTGCCAAAAAACTAGAAAGGCTGATTCTTGCAATATTTTGGAAGTACTGATAAAAAAAACAAAAACGACAAGGACTGTTTTAGATATTGAGCAGAAATAGCTTTGTTGATTCTCTTCTGATGAATAGCTTCTGCTTGACATGTCCTGGCATGTGTTTGGACAATAAATTAATTGAAATATCTTTAGCACTTGCGTTTTTAATAGCACGCCATTAGCGTTACTGTTGCCTATAACTCTTACAGTACACGGTTCTTAGTTCAGAAGCTGGATTAATGCAGCCTGCTCCTCACTTGGCCTTCCTGTCTGCTGTGACTGAGGCGTCATAGCCTTCACCTTTTCCCTGGGCAGTTCCTTATAAAGAGCAGATTCCAGTCCTCTGCCCCAATGACCCAGATGTAATAAAATTGCTTCAAATTTAGTAAGTAGTCTAATAGAGGTGAACAAACTGGAGAAAGACACTGCTGCCACCCCCCCACCCCAGATCCTCAGTGTGTTTAAAGGGTGTGGATTATGTGTAGATAGTAGAACAGAAAGAGTTAGATTAAAAACCAGCAAAATCCATAGATCTTTTTATTGTAACATATTCTGTTCTACTGTCCCCTTCTTATGAGCCATTCCAGTAATAAAACAAAGCTGTTATATTAGAAATGTGGTGTAATATAATGATAATGCAGAAGGACCCACCTCTTGTTTATTTTATGTTAGTAAAAAAAGGTAAAGCAAGATGATGATGATGATGATGATGATGATGATGATGATAATAATACGCCATCTGGCTGGGTTTCCCCAGCCACTCTGGGCAGCTTCCAACAAAGATAAAAAATACATTAAAATGTCACACGTTAAAAACTTCCCTGAACAGGGCTACCTTCAGATGTCTTCTAAATCTCAGATAATGTCAGATAAGCGATTCCACATTTGAGTTCTTAAATGCTCTCAGGTAGATGCCATCTAGACTTGGTGGCAAAGAAGAGGCTGCAGGATCAGGCCAATGGCTCATCCAGTCCAGTATCCTGTTCTCATAGTGGCCAACCAGAGGCCTGTGGGAAACCTACAGGCAAGACTTCAGCACAAGATTGGACAAGATAATATGTTACGATAGTTTTTACTTGGTCAGTAAGGCCTAGAACAAGGATGGGGAACCCTTTTGGCTCAGCAGGCCAGATAGTTATCTCCCCTCCTCCCCCCGCCCCGGCTAACTTTGACAGATGTTTGGTACCATCCACCTGTCAGTCAGGGTGCCTCACGGGTTTGGGAGAAAGGCTCTTCTCTGCCAACATATTGCCCACAGGGAACATGCTGGCAAAGCAGCACTCAGCAGAATTGAACCCTGCCCATCACCCAGTGGCATCAGCTGTTTAACAGGTATGCCTGGTTTGGAGGAAATGGTTTGGCTCATTGGCCAGAAGTACAAGGACTTTGGCCCTTGTCTCTACAATTTGCCTCAGTTCCTCAGTTTCTTCAAAAGTTCAGGTGTATGGAGTCGCCCTTTATCTTCCATTGTAAAGACAGATGCAGATAAGTCATTCAGTTTCTTCTCACTCTGCTTTTCCTCCTTTTGCACAACTTTAACTCTTTTCATCCTATGATCCAGCCGGTTCCCTGGCCAGTCTCTTGCTACTCATGTATTTAAAGATTTTTGTCGTTGTTTATTCTATTTTTAGCAACGTACTGCTCAGTCTTTTATTTTATTTATGTATCCTTTGTTGTCTGCTTAAATTTCTTTTTGCTAAAAGAGGAAGTTTCCATTTCTGGAGTTAAACGTGACTGAGTTTGATTTTCTTGGCAGTTGTCCACTTACATATATGTTGAATTTGTTTGTACTGTGGTCACTTTTCCTGGCCGGTTTCAAAAGCACAGCTTGCACTAGCTTCTGTGTGTCTGCATGCCACTTAAAATTAAGTTCAGGGCTGACTTCCTTCTGGTTGGTTCCATGACCAGCTAATCTATGGCTCAGTTTTTAAGGATATTTAGACATTTTCCCTCTTCGTCATGCCTGGAATTATCCTCTATGTGAGAATAATTGAAGCCACCCATTAGTAGATGAAATTTAAATTCAAATATCAGGATTTAAATACAACATAAATATAATATAAATACAAATAAAATATAAATTTAAATATCAGGATGGAATGGTTCCATAGAGTTCAGAAGTTGCAATTATGGATTTGAGTAAAACTTAAACAAGCTTATTGTATACCTACCTCTTTCATTTCTCTCTTATATTTTAATGGTAGTAGATCTTGCACCCGTTTCACATTTAGGACAGATAAAATAAAAATCAGAGAATTAGTTAGGAATTTGAAAAGGGGATGGATTTAGATCATTTTAGGTCCCTGGTTTAGTCACTAGTCTGCTTCCCACTTGCTGACTGCAAAAATAGAGTATGCAACTCTCCTTGGAGATCTTTGGATGCTCTTGGTGTGGCTTGAGCCAAACGGCTTTTCTTCCCTGTGTCTCCACAGGTAACAAACAACTAATAAGTCTAATTGGTAAGAAATATTGTCCCATAGCTCTGGAAGAGAGTGAAAGACCCCTCCTATTAATGAGGCAGGGTATTTGTGGGGACTCCAATAAGTTTTTTTAAATGTATTTTGACCCAGTTCTCAGATGACTATCCCCACAGTAGAACTCCATAAAAGAGCTGAGCTCTGTAACTTAATTGTGTGAGAGAGCTCACCCTTCGTAATGCCTCTCTCACTTGTATTCACTTTCTGGACATCATAGAGTCTATACGTGGTCCAGGAAATACTGTATAGAACAGTAACCCAAGGTATTTAATACTCTTTACCTGTTCTGGAGTTTGACCATCCAATAACCATCCTTTTGTGTAGACTTCTTTTCAGAGACTAAGATGGAGCAGTCTTTTATCAACAATGACATTACTCAGTTGCAGCCATAGCTTGTCTCTGGGGGAGCAAATCAAATGCTGCCATAGAACCTGAAATATAACTTGTTCATAATAGATACTAAGCTAATTGTTCTATAATTGTCCCCATTATCAGCCGGGCCTTTCTTAAAAAATATTTTTGTATTTCCTGTTCCCTTCGATTTTCATTCTTTTTTATTGCATGTAAATATTTTCTCAGCTTTCCACAGTACTTGTTTCCATAAAATTTGAAATAGTATTCAGCTTTTCTCTATTTTTATAAATGAGGAGGAAGTGTTAAACCTCTTTGGATTTGATACGGAGTAGTGTTAATTAGTTTAATTGATAAAATAACTGATGAACTAAAATTTGCTATTGTCTAATATTTCTAATAATTTTATACTTCTGTTTTTTATTCTGCTACTGTTTTGATCGTTTCTATTATTAAGCTGCTTTGAATTCTGAAGTGGAAGACAAGTGTGAAAGAAAGAAATAAAACACAGAATACATTTATTATCAAAAAAAAGGACAGTGTTTGGACATTACATCAAGGTGTTGATTTTAACCATATTTTTAGTTGTCAAGCATTATAGAAAAGTTAGTATGTTAAACCTCCTGCCATGTTTTAGTATGGGAGATAATATTTATTTTAAAATCTCTTATTTATGTTCCAGTTATACATGTATCAACTATTCCGAAGTTTAGCCTATATCCATTCCTTTGGAATATGCCATCGGGATATAAAACCACAAAATCTTTTGCTGGACCCTGACACAGCTGTCCTAAAACTTTGTGATTTTGGAAGGTAAGTGTCTCTGGCAAAAATTAGTCCAGTTGAACATAGTGGTGTTTATCCTGAGCTCCATTTCAGTAGTTGTGGTTATTCTGGCTTGCATGACAAGGCCGCTGCCACTTATAACAGTATTACACTTAATTTTGGAAATGAGCAAAGTGTGCGTGATTGCCTCTGCATTAAATTTTCCACGGCTGAGTCATGTCGGATAGGTATGTATATTGAAGTTTATGGTGAAGCAACAGCTAGGCCATTTTGTACCACACATTAAGTCTTTTCGCAATAAATACATTAGTCTTGTGGCAAATCTGGTCAAAGAAAATCTGTCTGAAAGTAAATATTTTAAAGACAGGCAAGCTACACAGCGGCATTATTGTTACAGCATAGAAGTGAAGGGATGCAGGGCCAATATCTGCTTTGCTCAGATGCCAGTTGTCTCTCTCCAGCGGCTGTCACTTGGCAGCAGCCATTCATCAGGCTGCAGGAGAGGATGGAAGAGCGGTTCTGCAGGGCCACTTCATTGCCACGGCTGGGAGTGCAACATTTGACTACCCCTCCTCTTGACCCCAGCAGGTCATTAGGTGGACTTTAGTGCCTAATGGAGTAGTTGAAATTTGTAAGACTTGACAGCATAAGGACATTTCTAATCCAATACAGGACAATAGAAGAATTAATGATTGAAGTGTCTGGGGAATTCATTATTTTATTTTATTTGAACAATTTCTATACCATTTAACTGCAATAGTCTCTAAGCATTTTAAGGGTTTTTTAAATTAATACAAAAACCTTGAACCTGGCCTGGTAATGTACGGGCAGCCAGTACATTTGAGTGCTGCAGACATTTGAGCGCTCCAGACTTTTGAGCGCTGCAGTTATGCTCTGGCGATGGTCTGTCCCCATCAGTAGCCTAGCTGTGATGTGTCTTGTGGGCATGGGAACTACCAACCCAGAGTGTCTCTTTGTTTCCAAAGTTTAAGCTCAGTTTATTGGCCCTCATCCAGTCCAGCAGTGCACCAGAGAATGGCCCAGATCATGCAAAACCCCTTGTGACTCAGGTGTTATGGCGAAGTAGAGCAGGGATGACACTTTGCCCCCAGTTCCTAAGGACTTCATCCATAGACCTTATATAGCTTTAAACAGCATTGGGGACAAGATTGTACCTTGTGGTACATTGTATTGCAAAGACCAGGAAGCTAAAACACAGTTAATGTGTTTCATGATGTCTTAACTCCCTCTGTCTGTTGAATGTGATAGCAGTGGTATCCTTTTCTGAATTAGATTCATAATGAGACAGAATATTTTGATAACACAGCTGTCATGCTGTTGTTAAAGATGTTGGGCCTTTTCTGTAGTTCGGATCCTGTGGTTCTGTTGCCCCTGATCCTAAACATCTGTGCCTTCTCCCAGACTTTGGGAAAGTGAAAAGGTATAATGCAACAGGAGGTCTACGTAGTGAAGAGCTGCAAATGAAGGTTCATCTTAAAGCAAAATAACATTTGTATGTTTAATTGCACTGCATGTTTTTGTTTTAAAAAATAAGGTCTTTCTTTTTCTTTCCTCATGTCTAGTGCAAAACAGCTTGTTCGTGGAGAGCCTAATGTCTCTTATATCTGCTCTCGGTACTATAGGGCACCAGAGTTGATCTTTGGAGCTACAGATTATACCTCCAGTATAGGTATGTGTGTATTTATTTTTAAAATATTTATGTTTTATGTGATCAGAATGGTAGACTACACAATTGCAACTATCCTGAAATACAACAACAACTAAACCGCTTAAAATCTTCCTGTTGAGGAGCTATTATGGAACACTGCACTTCCATCCCCCCCCAAAGCTACAATTCACATGGATAGCCAGTATTTGCAATGAATTGTAGGTGACCCATGCTGTTCCATTATAAAACCAACCTGAAAATCAAGATAAAAGATTCTCATCTGCTGTATTTTCAGCATCCTGTTAAATGGTGCTGAGGCAAATTCTAGTATTCAGGACCTTCCACCTCTATTTCTGTGTGACATCGTGGCATTTTCTGATCTTTTTGTGTGTGTTTTTTGCCATATCAACAATGCCACCTTTGTTTATTTCTGCAGGATGCAAGCTATGCTTTGTAGTGAGACAGCCCAACTATAAAAGGCATAAAGGTTACCCAAAGTCTGCTGCAGGAAAGTTTATGGCATCAGACCCTGGACTGGCATAGAGATTATTGGATTGATTAATTGCATATTTTACAAATCCTGCCAGTCCTCCAGTGAGCTGAGGGCAATGTACATGGCCTTTCTCTCTCAGTTCTTATCCTTGCAACAACACTGTTAAGTAATTAGACTGAGAAATAGCGATGCTGGTCCATAATTATCCAGTGACCTTCATGGATGCTTGAGGATTTGAATCTGGGTCTCTCAGTATAAATCCAGTTTGCTACCATGTTGCGTTTAAAATGAGACAGAAATATAAGAAGCAGAATGTCAGCCATGATCCACCCATTATTTACTACATAAGTGAAATCTTCAGTTTTCTAGCTGATATGGTTAGCTTATGTGGTCACTTGAAAATGCATCGTTAATGAGTCCATTGCCTTATCATTGCTGTTTCCTGAATCATTTTCAGCATGCCACATCAAGCATTCCCTGAACCCTTTCCAGCATAGCAGGATCATTCTTCTAATGCATACTGCTAGCTGAGGCTGATGGGAGTTGTAGTCCAAAACATCTGGAAGGCACCAGATTGGGGACGGCTTTTCTAACATATACCTGGGACTGAAGCAGAGTACTCTACTTGCGATCTTGTCAGTATTGGTAGAGCAGCGCTGTTCTTTCTAAAATATTGGAAACTAGGCTTTTCTTGCAGCCTAAAAAGTGACTTTGGCTTTCTTTGCCACAATACCGTATTGTAGACAATAGTGTTCAGTTGTCTTCTTTGAAGCCAGAATGCACAATGCCTTCCTCCTCTTTTGAGATTTTAGTTTTACATTGTATATATAAACATTTTATTTATTTATTTATATTACATTTATATTCCACTTTTCCTCCAAGGAGCTCAAAGTGACATACATAGTTCTCCTCCCTGACTTTATTCTCACAAAAATCCTGTGAGGTAGGTTAGGCTGAGAGTGTGTACCTGTCCCAAGGTAACCCAGTGAGCTTCCTGATGGGGTGGGCATTTGAACTGTGGTTTTCCAGCTCCTAGTCCAACACTCTAACCAATAATGGCTCTGTGATATTGAGGAATATTTTGTTACTAAAAGCACATTTTTAAAAGAACCACACATGTTGAAATCACCAGGGAAGAGCATTGGGATGTTGTTAGAGAGGAAGGTGGTGAGCCAAGGCCTCAAGGTCTGAAACGGGAGTGAGTGGGAATGTGAGCGGCAGCATGGAGATGCAAATGGAAATATCTATTGAATAGAATGAATTTCATATTAGAGGAGGGGTGTGTGGAAACTGGCAAAATCTGAAAAGAACACCGGCACCGTCTTACTGAGTTACTTTTGTATATAATTTTGCTTTGCAAGTTTAGACCTGGTACAGATTCATATAAGGTACCATTTGTATGAACAATGTCGGTGCTTCTCTGCAGCGGCCTAAATGCTTACCTGGTAAAGTAAGCCTTACTGTTCTGTTTCTATTTCTATTTATACTGTGTGTGTATATATATGTGTGTGTGTGTGCGCGCGTGCATATATATATATATATAGAGTGAGAGAAAATGGATATATGTAACCCACAATATCTTCCTATGTTTCTTCCCCCATCCCCAGATGTTTGGTCTGCAGGCTGTGTATTGGCAGAGCTGTTGCTAGGACAACCAATTTTTCCAGGCGACAGTGGTGTAGATCAGTTGGTGGAAATAATCAAGGTATGAGGGGTTTTTATTATTATTTGGGCATCATTTTAAATTGGAAATGAAATAATAGTAATTTTAATGTAACTTTGGTTTATATAAAACCCTCCTTTTATTTAAAAGTAAATGTGATACTGGCTTTTATTTTCCAGGTAAGTAAATAAGTCATTTTTACCCCTTCTGCACATAGGACACTCAGAGTCGCTTCACTACATTAGAAATGCAAGAAACCCATTTTGTGAATCTTTCTACCATGAAAAGCAGGATATGAATAACCTAAATAAGTAATAAATATAAAACAGAAAACGTATCTAAAAGTGTAAAAATACGTATTGGAATCACTACCAAATGGCCAGACATAATGATTCCTGCTCCCCACACCCCTCACAATGTTCATTGCTCCTTAATTGTGACATGATCCAGTAGCAAGTAGTCTTCCCTAGCTATGGAAAGGAGTGAAATCTTCTGCTTATTTGTGAAGCAGGTGTATTTGCTGCGACTCAGAAGTTTCCTTCAATGTATTTTGACCCAATTCTAAGTTGGTTGTGTATCCCCGCAATCCAACTTCAAAAAACAGAGCCCTGTAACTTACATGTGATAGATATCAGGGCCAGAGAAGTTGTCAAAAGGAATTGCATGCCTGGAATTGAGGAACGTAGAGGATAAGTTGTGAAACTAGGTTGGCTTATATCAGCGACAAGGGGTGGTTTTCAATCTGTAATTGACAGAACAAAATCATTCTCCACAAAATTCAATGGTCAAACTTATATAAATGCACACAGATATATCGTTCTCATGCAGACAAAAATAATAGATTTTGTTCAGTTCATCATATTCAGTTTAGTTCTTCATTTAGATCTCTTGGTGTATATCCATTGAAATTCATTCTGTAGGAGTTTCTGCTACAGCTGTTGTCCTTCAGTGTTCATCTTCTCTTGACAGCAAAATTTTAAGTCTTAACATGTCCACATTGTAGAACATGCTGTGTGCTTTGGCTCCTTATACAACTTTTGTGCTTGCAAATGCAGGTCTGAATAGGTCTCGTAGAATATACATTCTGCGATTGAGTTGCTGTGATCAGATGCTGCAGATAGGGCTGTATCCCCTCAAAGGCAATGTTTTTTAACGGAGCTGGACACAAATCATCCGTCACTCACACACCATGAGGAGAAAAAAAAGGGCATTTCTTATATAGAACGTACTCATATGAAGGTTCTTGTTTTTGTTGGTAGTAAAATAAAGTATGTTTAAGATAGCACTTGGCTTATCTAAAGTGCATTTTGTACAAAATTATCTAAGTGCTTCAGAGATGGTCTGCATAATGTTAATTATGGTGCATAGTCCTACATACATTTGAATTAATTATGTGATCGGTACTCCAGGGAATAGTAAGAGATACAGCCAGTGATTAAAATGTAAACTTGGCCGCAGTTGGAGAGATCACTAGATGTGCAGTTCCTGTTTGCATCCATTCCTTTTACTATAAGTGCTGCGTGCTACAGATGTTGGCTGCAATAGCTATATTGTCTCAAGGTGCTAATAGACCACGTTTTCTATTTTCTAGGTCCTTGGAACTCCTACAAGAGAACAGATTAGAGAAATGAATCCAAACTACACTGAATTTAAATTTCCCCAGATTAAGGCACATCCATGGACTAAGGTGAGAGCCTGTTTGAACTAGTAGTGGGTGCCTGGAGAGGATACGCTGAGGTCCATACATTAATCTTTACAAGTTAATGGGCAAACCAAGGCACTATTCCTCAGTGGTCCTATAAATGTTAATGCGAGTATTTTAATCATGTTCACAATAGTATTTTTGTTACTGTAACTGGAAGACACTTCCAGTCAGGTGGGCTGAAACACATATTTCTCTTTTCAACTGCACCTTCCTTTACATCCCACCCCTCCTACGTATGTGCTGGGAATCCAACCCTTTATTCTTCATAGCCAACTCTTGTGTGTGTGTGAAGTCTTGTGTAAATATGGAAGTTTCAGGGTGCCTTAATACTTGATTAGCTTCACCCTGTTTAACAGGAGATTCAGCTGGTGAATATTGATAGGATTTTAGCTGAAACAAAGTAACTGAGGAACAAGAGGGAGGCTGCAGTATGCTCAGGTTAGCCCCAAGGCTTGTAGACATACGAAACAAATTTAGGAATTAAAGCCCATTGAGGGTTAAGAATGCTCATTGTGGCTCTGGAAAGCTGAGTGTTTTTGGAGGGGGTGAAAGAAAAGTGAGGTGTATAGGGAGAGAAAGGAAAGAAGTATTGACTGGATTCCTCAACAGTAGCACTTCACTATACAAAATTTGGTGATGTTATTATATCACATTTGTCATGAATGTTCTGGCTATTAATCAAAAATAAAAATGAATAGAGATCCTTATCGTTCATGTTTATAGCTGTTGTCCACACCAATAAGGAGACAAGCAGGGCCTGATGTATTGTGAACCTATATGATTCTCTTTCTTTAGGTGAGCGATAGAATTAAAATAGAATCATTTCCTGCCTCACAGGGAAGTATCACAGTACAATTGTAAACAAGCAAAAAACATGCATCCACACACCTCTTAGTACTTGGTTCTCTGTAAAGTGCCAGAAACCAATGTGATCTTCCCTTCAGCTCACTTAGAGCCGGGTGGGGAGAAGCAAGCTCTTCTGCAGTGGATGCCAGGGCAGGCTTTTCTCCCCCTTGCCACATTATTCTTCTGGAGGGAAGGATTGCAGCTGTGAATGGGACAGAGTGTGTTTTCCTCCATATATTTAGTCCTCGGACAACTTAAGCTTAGACATGTCCTCTTAACTGAGAGGGTCTTGCTGAAATCAATTTTGAGGACAAAATTGGAGGGAGAGATGATGGGTAGGCAGCAGGGCTGCAATTCCAGTGACCCTTGGATTATATTTATCTCCATGATCCATATCAATCCAGAATTAGGGCAGAATACAGAATAGAAACTACTTTTGTTGTGGTGGTTTACCATCTGCAACAAAGGTTGTGGGGATTGTACGCTATATGGTTGCTGGAAGCTGTCAGTATTCAGGCTTCACACTCTGATAGTTCCACTCCTGTCTGAGCAAAATTGAGGGTAATATTGAGTGACTGTTGTTCTACCCAGTAGTATTCTTTTGAAATTTGTGGCTGCTGGAAGAGACAAGCACGTTTTGGGATGTGACATTATGAGTATGCTGAAGACGCCCAACTCGTGTTTTTCATTTTCATCTAATCCAGATAGTGAGGGTTTCTTGAATGCCTTTTATTGGCTGGATGGGGGCAATTAAATTGACTTAAGAATTCAGGCAAGGTAGAAATGTTGATGCTTAAGAGGTCAGCTCATTTGGGGACAAACAGGTTCTGTGCTTTCAGTGGGATTATTTTCTCCGGGAAAGAGCTCCTGAAGTGTGAACTGGTTGCACCCTGTCCTCACTAAAAAATGATTTCATGACAATTATCCAACACATTGTGTGTGAAGCCATCCTTGGTAGATAGTTCGTGAGGCTCAACATGGGTATAGGAAACATGTAGCAGGTTCAGTTCAAGGCACTACAATTTTACTTTTAAAGCCCTTAATGGCCCAGTTAATTTTATCTTCAGGTCAGTAGATGGAGTCTTACTCCATGTTTCCTCTGTTACTGTGGCTAGAGCACTGAGAATTCATTGCTATAATTGCTGCAATAACAATTTAGAAGCCTTCTTTGTAGATTTCTGGTAATTTTTGTTGCACAGGGCAATTTTAAAAACACTTGAAAATATAATAGAGAGAAAGGAGAAAAAACAAACAGTTGACTTTGATAATACAAATATTACATCAATCCTAATTTAAATGTATAGATTAATATAAGCAGTTCCTATGTCCAAATAGTTATAAGCCATGTGCTCAGATAAAGGGCAGAGATCTTCAGACCACTGAGTGGTACATAGTGGATGTTTAGCCTTCTAACCTTGCAATATAAGTCTCTTGGTCACCAAAAGGCTCACAGAATTCACTTTTGTTGTCCATCTGTTAGTCACCACACCTCAAGGATATAATTTAAGAGTGTGTGATCATCTGCAAATATCCCAGGCAACTTTAATATGAACAATAGTTTCTGGCCAGAAAGAAGACACCATAGGACCATGACCACATTGTATGCCTCAAAACATTTTTTTCAGTGTTACATCATTTCTTCCTACAAAGGCACGGTGGAGTCCAGCATACCAGAAACATCATGTTCTGTTGACTCAGTTTTGGCTAAAAATTAAAGAAACAGCCAACTAGATGATAAAGCAGTGTTTCATTAATAGAATGAATAAAACACTCTATTAGTTTTCCGTGAAGATCCAGTTATTTATTCCAGCAAAAATAGGAGACATTAAGGCACTCAAAGCTGACATTTCCTAAATAGACACTAAAAGGAGCTGTAGTTGAAGATACGGTGATTCAGCTCTAGTGGTAAGTGGCAGCTAGACTGCAAAATTGAAAATGGCAAATGTTCTCAATCTGATGCTGTTAACTGGTATCTGGCTGTCAACCCAATTCTTTCACTAAGGACTTCCTCTTCATTTTCACATCCAAATTACCCCATAAAGTTACTGTAGAATGAGCATATGGAAGTGTAACTCGAAAGACATTCTACACATAGGAATCTTACTGGGTCGCAGAGGGAGCCAATGAAGTAAATGAACTGATAAATCCACAATCCAGGAGGGCTTGCACCAGCAGGGCATAAGGTTGGGGGAGACAGTAGCAAAGGGAGGCACCATTGGAACAAGCCCACCTGCTAGACCGATAAGAAGGATGCCTTGCTTGGCGGAAATAGGAGTTCATCCAAGAAAGTCTGAACGCTGGTTGAACTGGTCGGGTCAGAACCAAAGTATTCCCTCAGATGACCATGAGTCCAGAGTTCTTCTCATTAGAAAGGTCTCTGACCAGTTGCAGGGTTACCTCTGCTTCCTCCTCCCCACCCCTAGTTTTAAGTTAGGGAAATTGAGGTCCTGTGGCCCTCGGATAACCGTGTGTTCCTAGGGCTTGTATTGTCGAAAACAGATTAATTATTAAGACTCCCAGTAAAAACAAAAAAAATTATCCCAGTCCACAGGGTTTAGGTTCCAGGTAAGTAATTATTGGCCACCCCTAGAAAGTGTTCTAGCTCCTCTTGGAGTATTTAGTGTGGTGCATGGAAGGTAATTATTTACATTTTTCCTGGCAAGTTTTATTTTCAGCAGAATGTTTGGCCTTTCAGCTACTTATTTTATTTGCTGTTGTGTTCCTTGATCTTATTGTTGCAATGACTGTTTTGTTGACTTTAGTTGTTGTTCACAACTTTGGGTATCTCACTCAAAAGGTGGGGCAGAAATGTTTTAAATAAATAAATAAATAAATAAATAAATAGGCTACACCTCAGCCTCTCGTTTTGTAGGTTGGGTAACCTTTGTGTTCTTTAGAAAGCAAAGTGTGCAAGACTTCTGCCACTATGGATTTTTAGCTGCAGGGTGCCTCCCTCCCTCTTCTTAATAGCTGTTACTGTCTAGTCATATAACAGGCACTTCCTTTAGGTTGCCCCACTACCTGAGAGAGAAAGCAAATGAGGCGCCTTCGCACCCTTGCATTCCTCTTCAGGACCTACTGCTTGACATCATGATGTCTCTCCCTGCAATGTTTCAACTATCTGCATTCACCTGCTGCTTCATTCTTCGCCGCTTGGGATTCCTCTGAAAACAGACAGTTGCTACTTCCCATCATATGCATTTGTGGAGACCTTGCCTTCCTCAAAGCAAGTGCCAAACCTTCATTGCATCGGGTCAAAATTCATTTGCCCCATTCATGCAGTCCCAACAGCTGTATTTGATGGCTGGAACCATGTAGAGCAGAAAGCATGTTCTTTTTTCCTATGTTTTCTGCCACCTGCAGAACAGGAGAGATGCAAAAGTTTCATTTTGGGTGTCACACAGATGTGTCCTTAGAACTTCATTTTCCTCCCGTAAAGGGCCAGTCCTGCCACTAGGAGAAGGCCGCCTCTGGCAGCTGATTTTGGGGGGGTGGTGATGAAAGGGCAGCAAATTGTTAGTTCTATTATTGTTTTTGCTTCTGGGAAGTGGGAGGAGGATTTTCTGTCTCAGGTGCCAAAATAACTTGGTTGGTGGTCCGCCAGCCCTGCACACATTGATTCCACAGCACAGTATTTTGTTTCCGCCACGTCTTATTACATGCTCCCACTTCCCCAGATTTACTGGTGGGTGTGTATGAGAGAGAGGGAGGTGGGGAGAAGGAGGAAGGGGGGAGTTAGCCACACTTTCTCCACAGGCTCCTGGAGGACAGCCCTTATGCTTTCTACTTACAGTCTACTGCCCCAAGATAGGCTGAGTAGCATTCCATACTGTTTTGAATAGTTAGTTCCTTTTAAATAAAAACAGACTTTGGTTTACAGTCATACCTGGTTGCGAACACTGTGGGTTGCAGACTGCGCCAAACCCGGAAGTACTGGAACAGGTTACTTCCGGGTTTCAGCGCATGCTCAGAAGCGCTAAATTGCACTTTGCACATGTGCAGAAGCACCGAATCACATCACAAGCATGTGCAGACGCGGCACTGTGGGTTGCGAACACTGTGGGTTGCGAACGGGCCTCCCGCACGGATCACTTTTGCAACCCGAGGTATGACTGTATAAGCTTGTGTGACTGCTTATATGAAAATGCCCTCCTCTGGGTGTCAACTCTCTGAGCTTCTGAGGGTAGTGGAGAGCTACAAGAGGGCCCCTTATGTCCGTCCTCAGAATTGGTTGGGCCGCAGAAGTTGCATGAAGTCAGAAACAGGACCAGCAGCCCCATTTCCCTTTACTCAGGGAGACCCCTTTGCAGAATGTATGCATGTCGGTGGGGAGGGGGTGGATTTTTTTTGCTTTCAGGAAGCAGGGGAAAAGTGTAGCAGTTTCTTCTCTCCTGCATTTTGTTGTACATGATGTAGCTCTCTTCTACTCTTCGTGTGTGTGTGTGTGTGTGTGTGTGTGTGTGTGTGTGCATGCATGCTCATATGTGTGCACAACTGTCAGGTACATGAGTTTGGAGTTGGAAGAGTCTGCTACATCTCAGGACCCATCATGGCACTGATTCAGCCCTGATGATATATTGAGAAGTAGAGCTCTTGTACAAATAATAGGGAAAGGGGAAAAATCACCTTTTTTCAATAATGAATGTTTTGAGTTGTTCCCCCGCTTTTCAAGCATAAGTTCTGCTTTGAATCAGTAGATCACAATAATTTAGAAAGTACTTCTTTCTAAATTATTGTGATCTACTGTTTCAAAACAGAATTTAGAAGCTTGTCATCTCTACTTTCTGCCCAACCAATTCATTTAAGATTACTTGAATTAAATTTGTTAATTTATAAAATAGTCCAAAGCAACTTACATGGTGATAATAGCATCTCTTCATTCTTAACTTTTCATTCCAGTAATGGAGGGGAAGGAAAATGGAAGTGGAATATCATGGAATTGAGACTATGGTTGGCTTGAGCGCTGAACAGGGCTGCTCCACAAAGGAACATTTTGTTGCAGGGCCCACATGTATATATGCATTTTTCAGTGTGGTTTCCTCTGTGAAAATTATTTAACTAATCAAGCAAGTCTACCTAAAATAGTAAATATCTGTGACCATGATAACATATGTTAATGAACAAGTGAGATAATATTTAAAAGTTACTTGAAAAGTTCCTATCAGTGTTCACATGTTTTATTTTAGTTTTGTTTTCTGCATGTGGCTTTCCTGTGCATTTTATCTGGCCGTATTTAGTCTGCATACTAAAGGTTAGTCTGCCCAATTGCATCCTCTTTTGTGCTCTTAGCTTTTCCTTTCCTTCACCAAGACTTATTTTAGATTGCAATAGATTTCATTGTGACGGGCCGGTTTTTAGACCGAGTGCTAAATTTTAGTCCGCAGACTAAAATATAATCCGCGGATTATTTGCCCCAGAAATTCCCTCACTGAAAACTACATTAAACACAGTAACCATGATGCTTAAAACATAATAGTGAGGACGGTTCACAGCTAACAGCGTACTCTGCCACCTGCCCTTTTGCACCTAGGCACAATAGAACGCTGAAACCACCCCCAGCTTGCAATGCGGCCCATTGTGCTTAAGTGTTGGCAACCTGTATTATCGACCACTTAACCTGTAACTGTGACAGTCCCTTGCTTTTAATGTTTGTTGTTTGTATGCTTCTATGTAGTTCTTGGTGGGTGAATAAAGCAGTAGAACAGGTTGCAGTAAGTAAGAAGAGTTAAACAACGGTAGTGTGTTTCTTTCATTATCAGTGTGCGCTTGTAAAAGAAAAAAACAAACAAATCCTCCCCCCCCCCCTTTTAAATGGCCATGAGGGCATAAGGAAGGAAGCCACAATCAAGGGGCAGGGGAGAGTTAAGATCTTACCAGCACTTCCGAAATGTCATGTCCAGTTCCTGAAGCATCCTAAAGAGATATCTGCCAAAAAAGCTAAACACTAACAATCCATTGGCGGGGAAGTCAATCCAAAATGAAGAATAATCCGCGGCGGCCTGATACACACATAGCTTATAGAAATTTAAAATAGTTATTTTTAGTACTGAATCTTAGAGATCTTTATTACATGCGTGGTTTCAAAAACACCTCTCATCTTGTGCTTTTGGGACAAAGAGGAGGGGAAAAAAAGAGGAGTCTGTACATGAGAGCATGTCTCATGTTTTTCCCCATGTCTGTGGAAATCTATCTCCAAGACTGGGAAGAAGACTGCAGTTTAATATTGAAAATTCAGTATAATTTTACTTCTACATAGACATTTGATTTCATCTTTTTGTTACTTTTTACTAAAGTCACTGGCATTGGAACATGCATTTAAAATAAAATGTTTCTATACTATGCCTCACCCTTGCAAAATCATTTTTTTTAAAGTTGGACTTGCTGCTATGGAGACTGATGTTTAAAGGTTCTAATTGTATTAAACATTTAATATTTCCCCATCACCATGGATTTCTGATAATATTGGATATATTTTTCCTTGCTGGACTATTCTTTTGGATTGACTCCCCCTGTTTGGATTATTTCACTGCATTATCATCTTTAGGACTCGTCAGGAACAGGACATTTCACCTCAGGAGTACGGGTATGTACATAAATATTTTTTCATATCATCAGGTTTATTGTTGGAGGAGGAGAGGCAAAAATGAGGATGGAAGAGTTGACACCAAGCAGCCATTGAGGTCACTGAGCCAAATGTTCTCTCTCTCTAAACGTTTTTCAGTTTTTAGCTGCTAGTTTCTTGCGGCGGTTGGGCTTTCAATTTTCTGGCATTGTTAATGTAGTACATTCTGTATCAAATTACTTTTTCCAAGTCCCAGCAGAGAAAGGGCAACCTGATCTTCATGAGGTCCTGCAGTTAGAGTGGAAGCTAGAATACATGCTACAGTACATCATAAGACATATTAAGTGTGAATAGCTTTTGCTTACTCATGGAAGGAGTGAAAGATAGAGTCAGCCTGAGTTTTGCTAGACAAGTAAAGAAAGAAAGAATCGTTCCACAGTTAGCAGTTCATCTAAAGATAGTAATGAAGAAAAATACAAAGCATCATTTTATTTTAAAGGAGGCAAGTATACCTAAAGCCTTTCAACCTTAGATTGAATTTCCACCTGATTTCATATGGTGGTGGGGTACAGTTTTATTCGACAAGCTCTAGGACAATATTTGGGGGTCATAAAATTTGGGGAAAGTTTTGGTTTAATGTATATTCAAATTTGAATGTGGGATTTTCAGTAACTTGATGGATTATGTATCTGGAAAAAAGAATTTGAACTTCTTTAATGGAGATAATTTCCCCAAAATTTATGAGATGAAATATGGTTTTTTAAATTTATTGTGCTTCAACAACTTGGTCATGACCCCACAACTTGGTCTTGCCACAATCACAGATGGACAACACAGCCATTTTCTCTTACTTATGGCAGTGAAATTGTTTCTAGGATGGGTAACCTGAGGCCCTCCAGATATTTTGCTGTTGGACTCCATCTCATCAGTTCCAAGCAAAACAGCCAGTGAGCAGGGATAGTGTGAGCTGTAGTCCCACATCACCTGGGCCACAAATTCCCCATCCCTGTTGGAAGTGAAGGGGACACCTGGTAAAAATGTAAAAGATAAACCCATGTCACAGGTTGCACTTAAAAGTAGCTCCAAGGCGTATGTCAGGGCACAGATGCCACTGTCTCCTATTCAGGAGTTGCTGCCAGAGTAGTACCAGGAAAGCCAGCTGCAGTAGCTTCTCATTACCTCTCCTAACCCAGCAAGAGGAGAAGTGCTGAGTTTTCAGAGGTGTTTTGTGAGGTTGCTTAGCCCTTTCCTTTTCTCCCTCTGCAGCTGGATTCTGAAACTAGAACTAAGCACAAATCCAGTTTAGGGTGGGGGAGACAAGTGAGCTTGTGTTCATGACATTTGCAAGAGGGAATAGTTAAACATTCCTTCCCCTGTTGATTCTCCCAGACCAGTTTTCCCTCCTCTACACTGATACTACATTGACGTGTGTGTAGTTTTGATTTTTAAGAGTAAAGAAAAACTATGGCTGTGCAACATGGTAATTTCTTCCTGGGTTGAAAAGAGCACCCCTGCATTCAATACACGTGGGGAGAGGACTTGCTTCGACTTCTCTCTTGGCCTGAGCAGGCTAGAGCAGGAGAGGGGCTGATATCATTGTCTGTTTTAGAGGTCCATAGGATTCCTTTCAGACTATGGTATTACTACTTATTCCCACAGTTGTCCCAGGCATGAAAGTAAGCCGCAGCCTGGTTCAGTCTAATAGTTCTTGCAACATCTGGGCACTGCAGAAGAGTTTTGCTTATGTGATCGTGTGCCTGCCTTAACTTAATTCTTGTCTTTTAATTCTTCAGCTTTTTTACTTTCCCTCACATATGTAAACTAGCTTTCTGTACGAACTCAGAACTCTTGATAAATCCCACCAATAGCCTATACCATTATTAGTGATGAGGAGATTCTTGACGCAGTTTATGTTCTGCTGAATTTAAATATCTTCTCTTCAAAATCTGTTTGAGCAGATTTGCAGTTGATTTTGCATGTGGTATATGCTATTGCTTTGGGGTTTGGTCCAACTTTACATGCGTGGGAATCCGTTCCCTCGGTGGGGTTTCTCCTTCCTCTCTTCCCGCTAGCAGCCTTCCATGCACCCAGAAATCTGCTCCAGAGGATTGAGTATCCTTCCTGGGCGGATTTTGGGTGTGTGCAGGGATGGGGAAAAAGGGGAACCAAAAGTCTCATTGCAAAAGCAGGTTTCCACTGTGCAAGTGAGCTGCCACAACTGAATCTCATCCTTTGCGTTTTGTGAGTTGGATTTGCCAGTTTTTGTCCCACCCTTATCTCAAGATTTTACATATACTCTTTGCTCATGACCTGTATTGCACCTGTAGCGTAGGTGAAAGAAAATGCTTAAGGAACCTGTGAACGTGTGGTTATTTAATTTTTATGTGTGTGAGAGAGGAGAAGGTAGATGGAGTGCAACATTGGTGACAAAAGACTGATTGTGAATAGTAAAAATATATGCTGTGTGACCTAACCTCCGATGGCAAATGTCTGAGAGAAAAACTAGCTGGCTGAGTACCCTTCAGCAATACTCCCAAACGCCTAAAATTTGGAAGTTATCCTAATTGATTACTTGCTGTGTATTATTAAAGGATAAACCAAAACTAAGAGACCTGATCAGTGTCCCTACCAGTCAGCATAAATCCACACCCAGTACAAAATCAGTTGGTTGCTTAAAAGTTTTGCTTTCAGTAAATGCTTCAGAACGTGGTCTTCAGAAAATCCTGCTCATTTGCTTTTCTCTCTCCTCCAACCCATATGCATGGCCGACTGCATTCCTGTTATGTTTGGAATGGATTATTCCTCTCTTCCTAAAAGTTCTTCTCAGCTGTGTCTTGTGTTCCCCCCCACCCTGTGACCTTGTAACTTCACCTTAGTACAACAACCTTCCTTGCACTTAACCATTCAACCCTAGAAGCTTGATTAAGCTTCAGTACTCTATAAGCTAATGTCTAATTCCTACTCTGAGCGGTTTAGTTCCTCAGGTTCTCAGTCCTTCAACGACAAGAGCAAAGAAGAGTATTGACGGACTGTCCCTCTTGTTCTGCCGCAGGTCTTCCGGCCCCGCACTCCACCAGAAGCAATAGCGCTATGTAGCCGTCTGCTGGAATATACCCCCACGGCACGCCTGACTCCGCTGGAAGCGTGCGCACACTCTTTCTTTGATGAATTACGGGACCCAAACATCAAATTGCCGAGTGGGCGAGAGAAACCTGCACTCTTTAACTTCACCACTCAAGGTAGTCTGGGAGCATGAAGGAAGATTGTGTGTCCGCAGTTTCTTACGGCACAAAGATGGCATCATCTCAAATAGTGGTCAGAAGGGATGGATAGAAAGTGGAAATATTTCAAAGAGTGAACTGTGTTGAGAAGGTGTAGAGAAAGGGTTAAAAATAAAGTCTGAGAGAGAGACTTCTTCACCCCTCAGTCAGTCGGGCTTGATCGAAGAAAGGCTGTTTGACATAGAGACGCATCCATAATCTCAATAGGCTGATGCTTGTGTCTCATGATTGCCATTATTACTGGGACATTCAATTCCTAGTTAGTCATAGATGAAATTGCTTGTTAGATAGAAGGTTGAAATATTCTTGGAAGAATAGAGACTGCTGCTCATGTTCACATTTTTACCAGGAATCGTATTTAATAAGCTAATTGAGTATGTAACTTAGGACATCCAGGAGTCCAGATTTAGGGGATCAGCTGAAATGCAGGCTAAGGAAGTATGTTTTCGCAGTTGCCTTGCACATGTTTTCAAGAACTGTACAGAAGCATAATTTGTGGCCTGTATTGTTCAGATTCTTTGGAAAGATGGCTGCAACCCAATTACAATTACTCATATGCATTTCGGTTAACATAGGGTTGCCATACGTCTGGATTTGCCCATGTCGGCAGGGCTGTTTTCCCCCCAAAATAGCTCAAAAACAGCATTTTTCTTCTTGCAATTTTGCCAAACAGCTTTGCCAAAAAGAAGAAGAAGCTCAACAATTTATGGCAACTATAGTTAACATATCAATTTAATTTGCACATGGTTAAAAGAGATCTGAAGCAAGAAGCATATTTTCTTTTATAGGATGCTATGTGTCAAAGCAGGCATTGGAAGAGGCATTTACGCTTGCATGTGAGAGAAGATAATATTTACCATCTGCTGTCTTTATATTGGAAATAATTTTTTAAAATAAAATGTTACCTGCTTAATCAGCAGTACCTTTTACATTTATTTTTATTAATGTTAATTAATTAATTTAAAGCTTTTTTTTTTTTAAATCTAGCCAGTTAATAATATTGCAGCCCTATTTGAAGATACTCTTTTCTATGTTAAAGTCAGTGAAAGGGCCATGGCCACTTGTCAGGTTTCGAAAGGGTGCTGAGAGCGCTGGGGTAGTATTTTCCAAGTGCACAAATGCTGCTGCTCTTGAGATGCACCTTTTCTGCCTCTAAAGCATTTGCTCCGCTCTGGGTTATGGTACTTCCTTCCCTGGTGACAGTAAATGCTGCCAGTTCCTCTTGACCCGAGACCCACCATGCCAGCTTCCATTTCTGCATATATGAAAGTAACCACAACGCTGCTCTGAACAGGATGTTTAATTTGCCTTATCTCAGGACTGAATTACTTGAGGCAGTTCAAACTAATATTGTTAAAATCACTGGTATGTCTTGGATTATTTCTGCTGTTTTGTAAATGGCAGGCTGGAGGGGAAATTAATGGTTGTATTCAACATAGTGTAAGCCTGGCGCAGAGCCTAGGACTTGCCGATCAGAAGGTCGGCGGTTCGAATCCCCATGACGGGGTGAGCTCCCATTGCTCGGTCCCTGCTCCTGCCAACCTAGCAGTTCAAAAGCACCTCAAAGTGCAAGTAGATAAATAGGTACTGCTGTGGTGGGAAGGTAAACGGCGTTTCCGTGTGCTGCTCTGGTTCGCCAGAAGCGGCTTAGTCATGCTGACCACATGACCCGGAAGCTGTACGCCGGCTCCCTCGGCCAATAAAGCGAGATGAGCGCCGCAACCCCAGAGTCGGCCACGACTGGACCTAATGGTCAGGGGTCCCTTTACTTTTTACCTTTACTAAGCCTGTCATTAGAGGAAGTATTTCCACTTATGCAAAGGGACTCCCTTGCCTCTTCCCCCCACCCACGTGCCCCTTAAATCTATTATTGGGGTTCCCCAGCTTTACAGAGATTTGGGGAGAGGGGCTGAAGAGACCTGTTGTGCAAATGGACACCCTTGCACAAATGGGATGCGTTAGTTGGCTACGGCCCAGGCAAGCAGGCAGGACGACCTTTTGTTGTGGCTCAGGTTTATCTGGAGGTGCTTTAGCAAGAACATATTCAGCTCTCAATAAAATTGCCATTGCCACTCTGACTGCTGCTTAAGTCGATGGTTACAGAGGCCATCTCTGGACAGAGTGGCTGGGGAGGCCCGGCCGGATGGGTGGGGTATAAGTAATAAATTATTATTATTACTATAAGAGCATTCTTGCCAGTATTACACACTTTTGAAAAACAGAATGCCCTACCGCTGGCCCCAAGCATGTAGAATTTTACTGTGCAGTAGGTTGTCTTATGTTGGTTTCCTGAAGCAAATGTGCTAGTAAACTGACAGTACAGTATCTGTTTTTCCTTTTTGTTTTGTTACCTATTTTATATGTAAATTTTCACTCTACTTTCCATCCCTCAAAAATGTTTGACAGAAAGTTTAATCTCACATGAGATCTGTACTAGTAGAATAGCTGCAATTCAAAACACATTCTGCAGCAATCACTGTTGGGAAATGCAACTTGGGGCAGGTGGGGGGAATATAAGGGCAGCTTGTGCTGTGGTCTAAACCACAGAGCCTAGGACTTGCTGATCAGAAGGTCGGCGGTTCAAATCCCTGCGACGGGGTGAGCGCCCGTTGTTCGGTCCCTGCTCCTGCCAACCTAGCAGTTCGAAAGCATGTCAGAGTGCAAGTAGATAAATAGGTACCGCTCTGGCGGGAAGGTAAACGCTGTTTCCATGCGCTGCTCTGGTTCGCCAGAAGCGGCTTAGTCATGCTGGCCACATGACCCGGAAGCTGTACCCCGGCTCCCTCGGCCAATAAAGCGAGATGAGCGCCGCAACCCCAGAGTCGGTCACAACTGGACCTAATGGTCAGGGGTCCCTTTACCCTTTACCTTTAGTAGGGCACATGTAGGCATTAAAAAAAAAAGCCTATTTTAAAAAGTCATCCCTGAAAGACAAGCCCCCCAGGGAGGGGGATAGAAGCAGTGATGTATCAGGAAAAATAGGGATAGTTTGGGCATAGGTCATTTGCCCATGAATATTGGGGCATCTAGTCTCTATGAGTTGTTATAGACAGAGGAGAGTTCAGTTAGCCATTTAGACGGTCAGAACTGTTTTGATCTGGCTGGCCACCAGCAGACAGATTGTGATTGACTTCAAAAGTAAGTAATCCAGAAATCACTCCCCGCCCCCAGGGATCTGTAGCCCTTGTGTCCTTATTGCCCAAGGACAAAAGGATGGATGGAGGGAACCTCCTGGCTTTTCCTCTCCACCATCTTATGGGGAAGCTCCTTCTTCTTATCGTTTGGTCTCTACCAGGGCATTCTTCAGGCCAGGGTGGTCCCTGCAGCCCTCGGGGCCTTTTTGGGTGGCCCTTGGCAACATTCAAGAAAAAAACACCATAAAGCCTTTTTTAAAAATTGCACATGTCACAAATTGTTAATGAAAGCACATACTTCTGTCTGTGTAATGGAATTGTTTAATAATTAAATCTATTAAATCTAGTGTGTATTTAATTACATATATTTAATTAAATATATTAATTGTGTATATTAACTAATATTAAATACACTTTAATTTTTTAAAAATGGAGATTTAATTCAGTGTGCGGCCCATGGATTCTTTACAAATAAAAATCAAATGCAATAAAATTCCTGGTATAAAGCATCATTAGAAACTAAACAACATAACTGAAATAGAAGCCGCCACCACAGCCTGCAACATCTACCAGATCCAACCTTGACAAAGGTCCGCCTATAAACCTGCCTATCAAGCATTCCCACCAACCACATCCATAACACAGCCAAGCCCCAGCCAACCATTTTTCACCAAATGAACGTTGGGTCTACAAAAAAAATCACTGGCAGCATTAAACATAATTTACAGCCAGCTAATTCACCCTCCACCTCCATCTAGGGCAGCACAGTATCAGATAAACAGCAACACGTAAGTATTCTACAGTTCAGTCTGTTACATTTTGACCAGTATAAATAGACATAAAATTCTGATTTACGGTCCTGATTTTTTGCCCTTTTTTGGGGATACTTTGAATAATTTTTGAAAAATACTTTATTAAGAGAAAATGTATGTATTATAAAACAAAATGAGAACCAATATAGGTGATCTAGAGCTAAATCATGAAGCATAGTAAGAAGCTGCAGCATTTGATCATGATAATTTTATGTATGAGTTCATTTTTAATATTTTATAAATTCTTGGGAAAATATATTGATATGAAGATGCAAATTACTAAGTTTTAAATTACATTTCTGCTCTAATTTTACTTTTTGTAAAGGCCTGTCTGTATAAAAAGGTATTCAAGAGACACCTGAAAGTCAAAAGTGAGGGCAGCTGCCAAATTTCTGTTGGAACAATGTTCCACAGCATGGGACTGGTGATGTGAAGCCCTGACTTTTAGTTGAAGCCAGCCAGGCCTCTGGAACACAGGGGACAATTAGCAGCACTCTTCTGGGTGATCTCATAGAATTGTAGAGTTGGAAGGGACCACCAGGGCCATCGAACCAAACTGCCTGCAGAAATAAAAACAAACAAATGCCATCTGTACACTTTCCTCACCAGATGCAACCATCTGTGAAAACCCATGTAGATACAACAGCATGTCTAAATCAACCCTCATTTAGACAAGCCTGCACTTCCTTTCAAGAACAGGGCAGTTTTATGACCAGGATTCCAATCAGCACTCCTGGGTGTCCTCCTCATACATGGTGTATCTGAGCTTCCCCTTTGCAGTAGCAGCAGGCTCCCCAACCAAGTGTCTCCATTGCCAAGGAGCTCTCCAAAGCAACACTGCACAATGTGCAAGAGGCCGCCATTAGAAAGAAACAAAGGGCATTAGCAGACCCTTTTCTACCAAGGAACATCTAAACCTGGTTGCTGCTCTATATCTGATGTAACAACCAAGCAACCAACCAACCAACCATGTCGGTTGTCATTTCATTTTACCTAGCTTCACAAATATCATTGGGCGTGTCTGCTTGGCCCGACTATAGTGTCTGGCAACTCTGTATACTGTTTCAGGAAGACAGTCCAGAACCAAATTAAGGTATACCTCATCTTCCCTCCATTGGTCAAACTGTGATATAATTGCCCTTAAGGTATCCTGGGCACAGGATCAATGCAAGAACCTTGACTCTGGCCCAGTACCATGTGAGCAGCCAGTGCCGATGTTTGAGTTCAGTATAGGTGTCACACACTGTTGTATGTCTGCCCCCCACCAGCAGTCCAGCTGCTGCATTCTGCCCAAGGGCAGCCCCAAATACAGCACATTGCAGGAATCCAGTCTCGAGTTTAAAGATGCCTGGACTGCAGTGGCCAAGTGATCCTGGTCCAGATATTGCTATAGTTGGGGTACCAGACATAGCTGGCAGTAGGCAGTCCCAGCCACAGTGGAGGATGTTAAGAATGCAGTCACAAGTAGTCATTAAGCAATTATAATACTCTTTTGAAACTCACATTCCAGGGGCATGTCTGTAGCAGTTCATTTTTGTACTCTAGCTGAAATAGTATTAATAACGACAGTTTCTTTTAGGGATTTGGAAGGTAGAGTGATTGCAATATAATACCAGCTGCTTCAATCTCATAGTTCCTACTCGCTTCCCTTCAACGTTATTGGTGTGATTTAGTGGTGTAATCGTACTAATCATTTTGCTTGTTTGTTTTAAATAGCTCACAGTTCCAAGAGCAGGGTGGGTGGGTGGGTGGGTGGGAAATGCACAAATACACAGTCTGTACAAAAACAACAAGGGGGAAATTTAGATTAAAAGAAATGCAATATAGGCAATTTGGCAGACATCATGGCAGAGAAATACCTTTTCAACAGAAAAGAAGATGCAAAGGATGACAGTCTTTCCCCAGTGAAGTTGTCTGAGCAGTTTCCAGCTCTGGGAAAGCATGTTAGAATCATAGATTCTTAGCAACACATGGCCATGTGGCCGATGTGGGATAGGAAACACTGTGAAGCGACTGGCAGAGGCTCCCTGTGGGCTGGCTGTGAATACTCTCTTCTTCAACTTCCTTCTAGAACTGTCAAGTAATCCGTCTCTGGCTTCGACCCTCATACCTGCTCATGCTCGGAATCAAGCAGCTGCTTCAACCCCGACAAATGTTCCAGCAGCCTCAGGTGAGACTTTCTTCATGCCTGCCACGTTTTTGCTTGCTAAACTATTCCACCCCCCATACCAAACTGTCTTCCCTGACACCGTGTGTCCTCAGTTACTGATCATATCTTGTTTGCGAACTGAAGGGGCGGGGGGAAGCAGCCAATACCAATTGTGTTTGCTAGATTGATTTCCATTTCAGACATGGGGTGAATAAGGGAACACCAGCAATTTCCACTCCAGATTTCCAATTTCATCAGCATTCTGCAACACCCGTTCTTAAAACAAACCACAAGCTGCGCAGAATCAGATACTGGGATAGTGCAGCCTGAGGATGGGGACAGGTTTCTTAGAGAGGTGAGGGCCGCCACGTGTGTGCAGGATCCTTGCCCTTCCTGGCTCATGAAAGCAGCTGAGGAACACTAACCAAGTGGGTAAGGGTGGCGATTGAACATGTTCAGCAAAGCAGGGTTGCAGCCTGCCATAAAGAGGCAGTGATAAGACCTCTGCTGAAAAAGCCCTCCCTGAGACCCACTGTTTTGGATAATGACTGGCCAGTCTCCAATATTCCATTCCAAGAGCCAGTGTGGTGTAGTGGTGAAGAGCGGTAGTCTCGTAATCTGGTGAACCGGGTTCACTACCCCGCTCTTCCACCTGCAGCTGCTGGGTGACCTTGGGCCAGTCACACTTCTCTGAAGTCTCTCAGCCCCACTCACCTCACAGAGTGTTTGTTGTGGGGGAGGAAGGGAAAGGAGAATGTCAGCCGCTTTGAGACTCCTGAAGGGGAGTGAAAGGCGGGATATCAAATCCAAACTCCTCTTCTTAGGCATGGTGCTGGAGTGAGTGGCCGCTTCTCAGCTCCAAGCTTTTCTGAATGAGACAGATCATCCATATCCATTTAATACTGGCTCCAGCCATGATTATGGGACAGAAGAAGCATTGGTTGTGTTAGTGGATGACCTACACCAGGAGCCAGACAGCAGGAGTTGGTTCTCCTGGACTTTTGATACCATTGGCCATGGTTTCTCCGTGGGACACCTCACTGGGATGGGATTTGGAGGCACTGTTTTGTGGTGCTTGTATAATCTTATTGTGATTATTTATTTATTGCATATGTATACCTCCCTATATCTGTAGATCTCAGGGTGGTTCACAACATAAAATTACAATGTAAAAAACACAAAATACATAACAAAAATAAGAGCAAAGACAACCTGATAACCCCACCCCCCACAACACATTTTAAAGGGTATCAGATGTCAATCAGCCAAAGGCCCAGTTAAAGAGGAACATTGTCGCCTGGCGCCTAAAGAAGGTGCCAGCCAAACCTCCCTGGGGAGAGAATTCCACAAAGGGGGAGCCATTGCAGAAAAGGCCTGCTCTCATATTGCCACCCTCTGGACCGCTTGAGGAGGGGCACAAAGAAGGGCCTGGTAGGCTCACAAGGAGAGAGGCAGTCCTTGAGAGACGGTGCTCCTGAGCCGCTTAGTCCTAGGAAGGGGCTGCTGTGGGTCTTCCGTTTGATGCTGTTAACCTGAGGTGTCCCTCGGGGTCTGTCCTGCCCCAGTGCTATTTCACATTGGCAGGATGCTGCTAGGAGAGCTTGTCCAGAGTTCTGGGGGTTGCTGCCACCATTCCATCTCTCCTTTCCATCTAAAGATGACGAAGCTGGTTTGGTGTTAGTAACAGACTGGAAGAGGGTGAAAAAATTGAAGGCCGTGGTCAGTTGAAAGGCAGATCAGGGAATGGAGATTCATTATGTGCTGGAGGGGGTTACACTCCCTGAAAAACTCAGGTTCGCAGCTTGGGAGTACTCATAGATTGAACCCTTAATGGCCAGTTTTAGGCAGTGGCCAGGAGCACATTTGCACATTTAAAACTAGTGCACTGTTCCTGGAGATGTCTGCTCTGGCCATGATGCCTTAGTTACATCCTGTTTGGATTCCTGCAATGACCTGTATGTGTGGCGGCCTTTGGAAACTTCAGCTGGTCCAAGATGCTGCAGCCAGTTTGCTCCCTGGAGCTCATTACAGGGAGAATAGAAACACCGTCACAGCAGCTCCACAGGGTACCAGTCCATTACTGGTTATGATCTATAAAGCCCTATACAACTTGAGTCCAGGGTATCTGAAGGACCTCATCTCTTATATGACCCGGCTTGGACCGAGATGTGCCGGGTCATCTCTCTTGAAGAAGGAACAGAATTGGTAAAAATACTGCAAGCTCCTGGATGCTACTTCAGTGTCCAGCAGCAGAGCTAGATTAAGCAGCACCAACAAACTGCAGAACAGGTTCTTCAGGGGCAGTGCGATGAATACCACATCCCTAGATTGCGTTGACCAATCTAATTCAGTTTTCTACAACAGTACCTGAACCTCTGTTTGTTAGCACTCATGCAGATGACTTATTGGCTCCATGTGCTTGTTCAGGGTGTTTATGGTTATACCTGGATCCGATGAATAAGAGAGGAAAAATAAAATTGATACCAGCCAACTCAAAACCCAAGTTAGAAATAAAAATGAGTGGGTAACCAGAACTACATACAGGATTCCCAATCTTGCTATGTCACTGATTTGATGCATAAAAGGGCATTACAATGCTATATTTTCAATCTCTCTCTCAATAAACCCTAACAGTCTGTCCTTTTCACTGCTGATGCATGACAAGTCAGGTTTTAATAGCACTAGCTGCTATGGTCCCAACATCTCTTTCCTGGATAATAGGCACTAGTTCAAAATGTATATGAAATAAGCATTTGTTTGCTTCAGTGGTTCACCATTTTACACTTCTTGCCACTTTGTTCACTATTTGTTCAGCATAGAGGCGCCATTTTGGCGCATTCTGGTTGCTTGGAATTTTATCATCCTCTGCTTTGGTGTCTTCTGTAAACTTAAATACTTAGCTACTTAAGGCTGTTTCCCCAAAACCACACCCAGCTGCCCTGCACCTGACATCAGACACACAGCTGCCAGCGAATAATTGGGAACCTTAAAGTGCACTCCCAACCATTCATTTGCTTATTATTATTATTATTATTATTATTATTATTATTATTATACCACCCTATAGCCGGGGGTCTGTCACTGCCTATTGGGAACCCTATAGCACAGTCAAGCCCAGCATGGCACAGCCAACCTTTGCCTAAACATTCGGGAGCATACCGTTGTATGTTGGGACAATTACAGATTCATCGGAGAATGAAAAATGTATTGGTAATCTATAGCTGACTGTGGAATCTGGATTGAGTATGTTCTGCATTTATTGACTCATCCTTTTTTCCTACTTGGGTATTTATATGACTGTTAAAAATGTTAAAGAGCTACTTAATTATATTACACAAAGTGAAGTGTGTCCCACCCCCTATTATTTTTCTAGTTTGATCTAATGGATAGCCTTTTGGTAGAGATGGCTCTCGCTTACATCAAATTGTCTCAGAAATACTTTATCCAGAAATCAGTGGGCAAAACTAATTCATTCTTGAGCAAAATATGAATTCATGTGCTTCAACCCTCTTACCAACTGCCCCCCTCCAAAGCGAGTGCAGTGGCAGCAACAGCTGTCCTTGTTGCTAGAAGAGGAGAAGAAGGTGATGTCTGCTGGTGATGTAGTTCTCCCAAGGACTCCTGCAATGACAGCAGGTTTTGTGAATGCCAAGCAGAACTTGTGAAGTACAGAAGTGCTTGGTTTTTCTTTGCTAAATAGTGGGGGAGCAGCCCTCTTCTGCAACTGCAATTTAGCAGAACAAAAGCAGAGCTCCACCAGCACATAATGTGTATGTTTCAAGCAAAATAAGGCTTTCCCATTGTAGTAGACTTTAGGAGAACTACACCTTCCAGCAGAAAGTAGATTCCCCACTCCTCTGGAAGAGGGAGAGATCAGGTCAACCTTCTTTCTTTCTTTTTAGCAGCACCAACCAGAGAATGAGAATGAGAATTTGGGTACTTACACAGCTATTGTCTTCTGTAAAGATGGCTCACCAAGTACCTGACAGCCCCATCACAGTAAACTTCGCAGCGTTGCTACCTCTCCCACTTTTTTCATGTAGCAATAGCTACCAAATAGAGCAACTCACGAACATCAGATACTACAGGTCTATGCGAGTGTCTCGATTTATTGCAGTCCAACATTTTTCTGTTTTTGATATAAAATTTTGTAATTGCTTTGATTTGCACCATGAAACCCTTCTTAATTATCCTTTCCCTCTTGCTGTGTTTCATTATGGACTCAGTAAATCACACCGCTGTTCCGAACCCTGTTTTTATTGTCTACTGAATTCAGGAGAGGACTTGGGGAAAAGGAGCATAGTGGGCTCCCAGTACTTTTCTAACTCTGTAGAATTAAATAGTGTCACCTCTTAGCATCCTGTTTATTTGTGTCTGTTTATCAATCAAGTGTTTTAATACCTGTTCATCAGTAAATTATTTTCAAAAGATGTTGTGTATGTGAGGCCTAAACCTCAGCTATTTGGTAAAGAACCATGATTGGCCAAGGTTTATTAGTCAAATGGGTTTTATGCGAGGAACTGCCCCAGATATAGCCAGGCATCACTGTAACACGCTGCCACCTTTGCCTTCCGATATTGCTTGGTTCCTCTTGATTTATCAGTACCTCACAATCTGCTAGCTGTGTTCACGAGAAAAGGGGCAGAGATGTTTTTTTCCTGCTTTCCCAACCCTTCAGTGTATGGCATGTGAAACCTGTTCTTGGCATCAGGCCCTGCCATTGCTTTCCCAGAGCCATGACTTTTGGGGCATGTCCAGCTGTAGTTGAACCAAATAGTCTGATCTAGGCCTCAGCCATCTTTGCGTGTTTGCTGGAACTCACAAGGATTAAAAGTGCAAACAACCCTCCCAATATCCCCCAGCACACCAGCTCCGCTCAGACCTTTGCATGCAGAGCTGAAGGTCGGGGCATGCGCGTGTTGTGCATGTTCTACCAAATAAATTAGAAGTCTCCACAGGATCAGGATCCCTACCTTACCAGGATTCCTGATTATATGGAAGCAGAAGCCTTGTTCAGGGACTTCATATTGAAAAGGAGCCAGCAAACATTGGGGGTTGAGGTGAGGCTTATGTCTGCTCTTCTACACGCTTGTAACTCTCCTGCCAGAAGAGGACTCTATTCTTTTCCAGGTACCAAACAGGCCCTTTTAAGAAGTGCCCAATTTCTCGCTGACATTCAGGTGTCCCTCTCCTTGTCACAGCTGCCTTAAGAGGCCTGCCTGCAAGCAGCAAGTTTCCAGTATTTAACCCGTGTCTTTGCTTTCTTTTGCGGTGTTTGCAGATGCCAATGCAGGAGATCGAGTTCAGACCAATAATGTAGCTTCAGCATCAGCCTCCAACTCCACCTGAACTGGTCACAAGCAGCAACCTGTACAGGAACAATCGCCAGTAATTTTGAGTCTTGCTCAGCAACGCTGGTCACATTTGGAAAGAAAATTTAAAAAGAGGAAAAAAACCCTGTTCATTATAGTGTTCGATTTTTTTTTTATTATTGTTGTTCTTATTTAACCTTGTAAAATAGAAATTCAAACCAGTTTCATTGTGTGCTCACTCTGCTGCGGGCCCCTTGGGGCAGGGGAAGAGGTGGGGTGGGAAGAGGGGAAGTGGAGCAATAGAACACACCAGTGTCTCTTCCCAGGACAATCTTCTAATTTCAAACAATTGCTGTTGTGTACTTTGGAATCAGGAATCTTATCTCATGCCCTTCCACAACAGAAAGGAGAACCCTCATTCTGCTGAAGCTCCTTTTTTTAAGCCTTGTATTTTTAAGTGAAGTTTCAACTTTTGGTGTAGTGCACAACTTGAATTTGGTTGGGAGCTTAGCAGGAGTTGCTCACCGTGAATAACATACACAGGAGACCTTAACTATCTTTGAGTTGGGATGAGGAGGAAGGAAAATGTGAGGTCTAAAATACACTGAATTGCCAAAGCCGGGGGGGGGGGGGCAATTGCTGTATGAATAACGCTTAAGGGCAAATCTTGATCTTAAATTCCGTTCTAGCATTGGAGAATTCTGCAGATATGTATGTTACATATACACACACAGACTATCGGCTTGAATGAAAAATGCTCATTCACCTACCTTAAAGATCCCTGAACATTAAAGGTTCTGTAAAGCACAAAAGAGCCCATAGTCAGTCACTTGCATTCTTCAACAGGTGGGAGCAAGTGGACCCTCCCTCCAGGTGCAGAAAACAGACAGGAAACCAGTGGAGAGGTACTTCTGCACCTCGCCCACCTTCTTTTTTAAACTCTAAACTGGCTTCTTTCTCAAAGAAGCAAACAGGAAAACAATGCCAGGGTTTATAACGTGAATGGACATAAACCTCCATTGCAATTAGAGCTTTCAAATCGACACATTTTTAGGTGATTCTAAAATCCAAATCTAGAATTTGTATTTAATTTCACTTTTTTTTTTAAAGCTTCCTTCTTTCTAATCTTTATTTATTGATCTTCCACGGTCGCTGTTGTGATGCTTTCACAATGGTAGTATATTAATGAGTAGACAAATCAGTTTACTTGCTCTTGCTGACTTATAGAAAGCTAAGTGTGTGTGTATATATGCACATATACATATACATATATATATATATATTATAAATATATACATAGATACAGTGCTGCTTTTTATTTTTTAATCTATAATTGGTCTGACTGAAGCAGAAATGCCTGTTTCTAGTGTCTGTGTTCTGGGTTATTTTGTAGTGGCAAAAAGTCAAGTCTCTCTGTTTTTGAAGCGAAAGCAATACTTCTTGAAAGGCGTTAGGGAAGTTGCAAGAAGGAATGCCATTGCTGCCGGAGCAACCGAGACAGGCTCTTTCCGTCTAGCTTTCTACTTGGATTGAGAGATGTGCTCACCTAGCCTTACACGCCTTCAAATGAATCTCGGTCATCTTGGTGCTTGTGAGAGTTTATTTCATTGTTGAATCTTTTGAAACATGATTTGCTGATTTGGCCCGGGGGAAACTCCGCATTATGCAGATGCAGCCACCGGAAGGCAACAGGGCCTCCTCTTTCTTCTCACATTTATGAAGCTGGGTCTGAGAGTCTAATCTGATTAAAGGTGCTTGTCAAGGAGGGAGCTGTTGGGCTGTCTCAAAAAAGGATGAACAGAAAGTTCAGATACATGGTTATTAAAATAGCTTCAAGGGGAATGGGTATGGAACCCATATTTGTTTAAACACTCCAGTTTTCCATAAATGAGCCTATGGCGAATGAGAGGCCTGGAAGGGGATCTTGATGCAGGAAAGGAGCCGATAGGTGTCTTCCATGTTGATTTATAGCCCTCGCGATCAGAGCTCTTGAGACACTTGAACAAGCAGGAGGATGACATAGAGAAAACTCAGTTTGCAGTCAGGAGAGCAGGACAGTCTAGGCTCAGAAGACAGATGGTGTCTTAGGATTTGCATTACTTTCTGTTAGTTCGATGCTAGCAGGGAAGAAGAATGAAAAGCGTTAATTATTTTTTTAAAAACAATTGTTTTGTGTGTGTGTGTATGTGTGTGTGTATGTGTAAACTGAGATCCTGATGGTTTTATTTTCTCGAGGATCATGGCGGGACTGCAGACAAAATTTTATACAAATCTAGATCCAGGTGTTTCAATACCATTTTTGTAAATAAACAAGACAAAAAGCTCCTCACCAAATTCAAGTTTGTACATTAGTTGTTCTTAAAATTTTGAGTTGTATTGCTTTGTATGTAAATATGTGGACCCAGGAACTGCTGTTAATGAGCAAAACGTTACCATTCAGGGCAGTTAAATCTGTTTTAATAATCAGACAAAATGTAGACGAGCTTTTTAAAGCCATATAGTTTTAACTCTGTACAGTAGATAACCGGCCTGTATTATTGTAACAATAACTCTAGCGATGTATAGTATATCTATATAGTTTGGAGTGCCTTTGCTTCCATAATTTTTTTTATTTTATTTTATTCCTTTTTTTGTACCAGATGTCTCACACATGGAAATCTTTGTTTCCCTTCTTTGAGTTATTTCATGTTAGTAGTATAATTAAAAAGAAAATTCATTCAATTTTATTTTTTATTTTTACTTCAAACCATGGCTTTGTTCGTAGGCGTTTAAAAGTTTCTCTCCCTTACCCACAATAGCAGTGACCGGTTTCATTTTACGTTTGCTATCTTGGCATCTAAGTGGCAAGTTTACATTTTGCTCGTCTTTTCCCAGTACGTTTGTCAAGAGTTACTTGTAGACAACAGCTTCTAGCTAGGAGCTATAGTTTAGTCTTTGTTTCCGTAGAGGCAAAATAGGGCTTTGCAAAGAAGCTGTCGTGGAATGGGGGTGGGGGCAGCAGGGGGGTGGAAGATTTGGGGTCTCACTCACACATCCTTTCTGCTTTTTTTGGCCAGAGATTAATCTGTGGTATTGAGAGTCTGTAGTTGTAGATTATCACTTGCCCTCCCTCTCACCCTCGAGTTTTATTTTCTTATGAAAGTCATTTTGAAGTTGACCTTAATTTCTGTGCCCAGCACAAAGGCCTTGCTTTGAAAACTCTGCTCACTTGTGTGTTTGACCTTGTTAGTATTCCACGTGAGATTCTCTTCTTCGGTGGCAAAATGCTGAACTTTTTATCAAACCAAAGGTTGCTGTTTTGTTTTTTGGCTTTTTGTCTTTTTGTAATCATCTTGTGTTCATTCCAGTAAGGCAGAGGCTGCACTTTTTCTGGTGACACAAAGGTCAGTGATAGCATTTTGTTTCTGACACTCCACTCAGAAGTCTGTTTTGTGGCTTGTTTTTAAATGAAGTACCTTAATGGTCTCTTGATCTATCCTTTGTCTGCATTGCAACTGTGCATGTCCCTGAGATGGCATTAACAATATTCTGTGTCCCCAGCTGAAAGTCAATCAAGACACTCTCTTAATTTTGAAGTACCTTCCTTTAAACAAAGGGGCGTGTGGAATCAACAAAGATTACTCTGAAGTCATCTAAACTGATACTTGAGCATATACTTCTTTTTATAAATAAGCCAAGTGATGGTGAATGTCCGTAATTAGTGTTAATTTGAAATGTTCCCGGATTAGTAATGCTTCTTAAGAAATGCTACCAATAAACTATTATCCATTATAACTCCCAGCCACTAGAGGTCAAAGCCAGTAATGAAAAGCACAGTTTAGTATGTAACCCAGGACCTACATTTGCCAGGTGTATACATCAGAAAGCCTTTGAATTCCCAATATTTCTATAGAGGCTAATTTCTTGCTTCATGTGTGACAAGGCAATAAAAGCAAAACGAAAAGGCGTAATAAAGACTTGTACCTAAAGGGTTAGCTTGAGATACATATTTTCCTTCCTTGTGTTGTTTGTTCTTGGTTTTTTTGGGAAAAAACAACAATTTATATATATAAATGAACGTTTATATATATAAATAATATGCTTGCCTGTAAAATTTGCGTTTGTTACTATGTTGCTGATAGATCACTTGGGCTTGTGCACACAATTACCGTGATCACTTCCATCTTAAAAGCAGAAAATCTAAAATCTATATATAATGGACTGTGGGTTGTATACAAACTATTGCATACACGTACAAAGCTGTCTTGATTCAAAGAAGAAGCAAAACATGTATAACATTATTACTACTTGAATGCCTCTGTGACTGATTAATTTTTTCATTTTAAATATAAACTTTTTTGTGGAGAGTATGCTTAATGTTTTATTATTTTGCCTCCTCCCTTCTGCTCCTTTGTAAATACATTTTGTTCTGTGTGACTTGGTTCGGAAATAGTTAACTGGTACTGTAATTTGCATTAAATAAAAAGTAGGTTAGCCTGGACATGAAATTTAAAAATACAAAGTGTGTGGTCTTTATTTCAAAACTCTTGAACTTTTCTGTATCCCACCTCCATTAAAAGTCTCTTCTTCTGCTCCTATTCACCTTTTTCCAGAACTGTTCCTCACCCCGCCCAACAAGGGGGGGTTTGACTCTTTATATAATAAACACAGGGAGCTAGCATGTTTTCTTAAATGGTCTGTATTAATCTGTGATACTTTTGCAAGAGATAACAGCTTCTGTCTTCCACCAAACCATTTGATTTGATGGAAAGGAAGAGGAACCCTTTGACAGTTATCATCCTCGATGACCCTACTTTATCTGCAAGATGTGCTGAGACATATTATAACGCACTTCCTTTCTTTGAGCCCCTGAGTCAATCTGGTGATGGTGTGAAGAGTTTATAATAACCATGTCTTGTGGGGCTGTTCCTCCAACAAATCGGCACGTTGCTATCTCTGAGCTGGGTTTCAGTCCTGGATAATGTATGTATTCAATGTGATGTCTGTTTGCGCAAAAGAAAATTTCTTTTTCAAGCCGAATGACTGGTCAGATCTATTCTGTTACTATACTAAAAGGCTAGATGCAAGGTCATGTGACTACTGCTTCAATAAATTAAAAAAATATATTGCAAAAAAGACTCCTCTTCATTTTTATTAATCATACAAGCAACAGCCAGGCTGGGTTGGGTAGGGCAGAGCAGAGCGGAGGTTGTGGGAAGACGCTTGAAGTCATCCTGGGAGGCTGGCACTGCCCATTTTCAGTTCTTAGATAGCCAATAACAAGAGGCCATGTTGGGGGAGGGAGGTGGCAGCCACCCCTACATTGCTTCTGATTTTCTCCCTATTGCTTCACCTTCCCACCCCGACCCCGCTTCTCTTTGCCCTGGCTCTCCCACAACTGTTGCGTTCTCTGCCCATATCCTCCATCTGGCTCACAGGCAGATTGGGAGAACAGATGCATTAGGAGGCGGCGTTACTCCTTCTTCGTAGGAGGAGGCCAAGAGGTGTGGACTCCTCCAACCCAAAGGACGCTCAGCCATTTCATCCCTCAATGCACAGCAGTCCGTGGTTACAGAACAAGGTGATGGTCCTTGAAAAGAACAGAAAACCCAAGGTGGGGGAGGTTAAAGTGCCAGCCAGCCTACCTTCAGAAAGCCTTGAAGTTTCAGCGGTTGTCCCTGAGTGTGTCATGGCAAGCGATGCCCATTGTGAGCTTTCCAGGGTGCTGACAAGCTGCCTTTTTGCTGTGCCTTGCGCCCTGCTACCCTGAGCTGGTCATGCCTAGGACCTTTGACTAGTCTTACCTTCCTATGCCCCATCTTCAGGAAATGGCCCCTGTCCCACTGTCAACCCAGTCATTCCTTGGACCAAAGCTGGAAGATGACAGGGCAGCAATATGTTCCAGCCCTGACTTCTTTTACTCCGTCTCTTCTTGTGTGCCCTATTCTTCTTCTGCCTTTCACAAGAACATCCCTTCTTCTGCAGATTCCTTACTTGCTTGTCTCTCTCTCTCTGGTTTCCTTTGCCCAAGTCTTTCCAAGGCTGCTGGAGCTTGAAGAGGAGACAAAGAGAGGCTGTAGGGCTTCTCTGCAAGACCTTCCCTCTAGTCCCAGAGTTTTGGTAGTTGGGTGTGATTTATTCTATGATGAGAAGATACAAGACTTCCAAACTCTCCTGTGTGCTGTCTTTTCCCCACAGCTGCAAAAAAACCCAGCCCTAACCCTAAGCTTCGGGGTGGCAAATGTATGTTTTTTGAAGTATCTCTCGTTCTGCTTTTCTTGCAAAACTCTTATTTTTCTTGCTGCGAATTGGATTTCAAGATTTTACCTCTGCAGTCTATGAAAATATTAAAAAAAATATTCTGCTGTTGCTCTTGGTTTGTTTGATATGGTAAAGACAAAGATGTTTTAGAAAGAAAGGAGGGCACAATGCAAAAAATAGGGGGAAGACCTCAGAGATGCATATTAGTCCCAGGTGCCTCAAGCCTTTTGGTGGTTCCTCAGGGGCAACTAGAAAAGCAATAGATACAAACCATCAGCAATGAATAATGAGAATTGTAAAACTCATTGTACAAAATACACATCATTATGATACAATGTGCAAAAGTTTGCATAATGGGTCTTAAACATGAAAACACCTCATTAATGAAACTTCATCCAATTTCTCCTAAAGAATCCCTATACAGTCGTAGCTCTACTTACGTATCCCTCTGGATACAGAATCTTCGGGTTACGCCGGCCATGGCAAACCCGGAAGTGTATACTTCCAGGTTTCACTACTTGCGCAAACGGGCCCCTGGATGCAAACGGACCCCTGGAACAAATTAAGTTCGTATCCAGAGGGTCCACTGTAATACTATAAACATCAGATTTATGGTCCAGTTAGACACTCTCAATTCACACAGAGACATACAAACTTGAACTTAATAAAAATACTCAACTTACAACAGCTGAATTCTCTTGGGAACATATCTGTAACCCTGATCAAATAGTTCTCACAAAATCAGTTAAAAATCCAACCCAAGGGCAAGCTTCATATTAGCTATGCAATGACAACTAATCCTTTGCATTCTTTCCTGCAAGTAAGCGCCACTGACGACCGCAGGACTGAGCCAACAGGCATAGAAATAGGCCACGTATCCATTCAAAGGACAACTGTTTTCCACACTATTTCAGAATTTCTGAGACTTCACTGGAGCCCAGGACAAGCACTCTTGCCCCTAGGTAAGCAACTAAAAAGTTATTTGACCAAATTTTTTTGGAGGGGGGGAGGGCAGAGAGACATACAGAAGCATCACTCTGAAAACGGGCAAGAAAAAAAATTCCCAGGCAAGTATCGGCAACCACCGACAGAAGCCCACCCCACCCCCAACTTTGCTGCAGGTACATCCACTCTGCTTGCTAACTGGCATCTCTCATGCCTGATGGAACAGAGAAAAGCAAACAATTCAAGTGACGGCCACAAAGAAAGGCCAAAGCTTCCCTGAAACCAACCCCCCCCCAAAGCCCCAGGGTGGGCCTTCTTGTGCATGAGTGGCACCATGATGCCTAATGAGCAGGACTGGGAAGGAACACAATTCTAAGCATACCTTATTTCTTTTCCGTTTCTTCACTGCCTGAGGGGTCTGTACCATCACCTTCAGGTGGCATTTCAGGCTCTGTTTGACTGTCTGGAATCTGCGGCTCATGCGGCTCGTGGGGCTCAGGAGCTCCTTGTTCTTCAGCTGCTGCAGGAGGCAGATCTGCACTTGGGATTGCTAGCTGAGAAAGTTCGACACCAGTTGCCACTTGGAGCTCAAAGAGCTGTCCCACGGTCGTCTCTGTAGTCCCATGAATGATCTGATGAGCTGCGTGAATGTGCTTTCTCTGGGACTGTCTCACTGTGCAGGAGAAAGTGGTAGATCCAAGGCAGGCCAGCAATGAGAATGGTGAATCGGGCTCCCTCATCTCCCACATCACTCTCTTAACTCGGCAGGAGACAGGTGTCTAAGAGAAACTTCCTGACCAAGGGGCCAGCCTCCGCTCAGCTAAGTCAGCCAAAACAAAGGGAAACTCTGGCAAGCAAGAGCTGCTAACATCACCAGCAGAGACTCAGGTGGCTTGCCAAGTCCACCCTTGGAGAGACTCCTGGGACACAGAAATAAAACTCTGCCAGACCTGGCTCCCACACTCATTTCAGAACAAGGATGGGAAAATGCACCCTGGATTACATTTGAAGAAACAGAGGCCCCCAGGGGAGGGCCTTCTAAAGGAGGCAGAGAGCTATGCAAAGGAGATCTCAAAGGAATTAGAGCAAAATAATCAAAAATGGCAAAGGCAGAGGACACTCCTATACAGGAATTCCCCACTGCCTTCTGGGACGGTAGTGGAGGAAGGGGGCAGGCATGAAAGGCTCACACTGCAGCAGGAGCCTCTTCTTTTAAAAGGAAAAAAACACCATACCCAAAATTTATGGTAAGACACAAAGGTAAAGCCCCCTGGACGGTTAAGTCCAGTCAAAGGCGACTCTGGGGTTGTGGTGCTCATCTCGCTTTCAGGCCAAGGGAGCAGGCGTTTGTCCGCAGACAGCTTTCTGGGTCATGTGGCCAGCAGGACTAAACCGCTTCTGGCACAACGGGACACCGTGACGGAAACCAGAGCGCACGGAAACACCGTTTACCTTCCCGCCACAGCGGTACCTATATATCTACTTGCACTGGTGTGCTTTTGAACTGATAGGTTGGCGGCAGCTAAGACAGAGCAATGGGAACTCACTCTGTTGCGGGGATTTGAACCGCCAACCTTCTGATCGATAAGCCCAAGCGACTCGGTGGTTTAGACCACAGCGCCACCCACATTCCTTTTTAAGACATAAGTAATCTCGGGAGATAAACAAGCTGTTCACACTTCCTACCTTTCTCCTTGATGGCCATTTTCCTCACTTCAGGGATCAGGAAACTATAAACCAGCTCGGCCACAATTTCTTCAGACTGAAGATGTGTTCGACTAAAGAGGAGATCATTTGTACAAAAGGTTATATTTTTGTCATTATCTTCATTTCCTCTCTCATCCCAATTCCTCCGCTCTTTTTTGTTTCACATCAGGAGGGGTTTGTTGTTTTTTTTAAAAAGAGAAACAGTAATATTTGTGCACGTTCTGTCAGTGAGGACACTTCCTACATGATGGGAAGGGGGCGTAGGACCATATCTGACAGGAGCAGGGTAATACCATGATCAGGATGGGCGCTACTCCAGGGGAAGGGGGGACCTGCATTTGCTATCTTTCAGGAAACAGGAGCAATGCAGGATCCAGGGCAAATGGAGGAAGGAGAGTCATCTCGCTGGTGTGAAAAATATATAATAAAATATATACGAGCTACATGCCCGAGTTTGAACAACTCTGTACAAAGGAATATACACAAACTTAAAAAGTTTGCAATATGGTACAAAAACCACAGGTGGGCACAGAGAACTGCTGTTCACATCACACTCACAGTGAAATACTTTTTGAATCTAGCTTCTTCCTAGGTTAGATGGCCATTTCAAATCTTTTTTTTTTAGCATCTGCTAGGCTTTAAGGGTCACAGCATCTCACACAGATAGCTGAATTAGTCTGTTGCAACAACATCAGGAGAGTGTCTTGTGGCACCTCAAAGAACAACAGATTTACTGCGACATACACTTTTATGAAGTGCACTTTATTGGCAAAAGTGGCTCTAGTCCACAAACCTTTATGCCACAATAAAATCTACCCACTGAGCAATCCGCAGGGAACCAAAATATTACACTTTGCATGTAGTCGGCAGGATACGAACCTGCACAAAAATGGTTAAGACTTTAAGGTGCCACAATACTTTATATTGCAATATATTCTGCTGTTCCCTTGAGAATCTATACCGTGTTTCCATTTCATAAGCGATATCGTTGATTTCCACAGCCACTCTTTGAATCTCTTCTCTAGCTTGTTCGTCAGCCGTAGTCTCCATGCTGTCCAGGATGACATCTTCCAGGTAGGAGTCAACTGTACTCTGATGCACCTTAACAACCTGGAAATAGCCCCAAGCAGAATTCCCTTCTTAGCACCATCTCATATGATGAGGGAGCACTAATCATTTATAGGTTGGGTGCTTCCACACTAGGACCTTTGTATACCATTTTACAGTGCGTTCAAATGATGTTTCCAAATTGTAGACTTCCAGTATTTTCTGCATTTCATGCCCCCTATCTTGCAACCCCCCTAAAAAAAGATTTGTAGTGATTTTTAAATCATACAATGCAATTGTATTAGGTGCCTGTCCAAAGGGTGTGGGGGAAAAAGCTATTCAGGCTTTTCACATCTTGTACCTTTAAATGAAACACATTCGCTTTGCTGGCTGCACCTGTTTTATTGATTCTGGCTGATGGATTAGTGTGTAATTTCCCATTAAATAGCCTTTTTCTGAACTGCCTCATTTCAGCTTATTTCTTGGAGGGGTAGGGGAGATATTCTTTAGCTACCGATCTCTTCCCCTTTTTAGCTGGTGCCGCACCCCAAAGAAATTGACATGCGTCAATTAATGGGCTGTTCAATGATAAATTTCTCAAAAATCTGCCAGCCGCAGGATGAACTGGAAGCAACAAGAAGAGCTGACTGGCAAGCAATATACTTTTAAGTTGCCAATAACCTCTGCTGAATGGAACTTACTTCTGAGTAGACGTTTCAGAAGCTCTTGGCCAGCGGGGGGAGGCATTTCTAGTTAAAATAGAACTAGATTAAATGCTGTGTAGAATCAGTGTTTTAATCGCAATTCCAATTTATTGTGGAAAAGCAACGCCTCTCCAGCACTAAAGGGCTCTATTGTGGAAGGGACTGATGCGATTCCAACTGTTGCTTTCCTGTAGCCAGTCCAATACATTTGCTACCTGAGGCCAAGATAGTGGTGGTTCTTCATTTCCAACACACAAGCTCACTTCAATATACGCAATGGGATAGGCTCCTCCTCTGCACATGAGGTGGCAGACTAGGTTAGGGGCCTTCGGAGAGGCTGTATGGCTTCCCCAGTTCTCTCCTCCAAGAGAGGAAGATGTTGGGGGGGGGGAGAGGCTCAGGAGGAGTCAGCTGGGAGCTTCCACTGCGGCTCTCCTCCCAGAGCACCTGCCACCTGAAGACTTGGCCTCACTTGGCCTAATGACCATTTCCAGCCAACCCAACCTGGGAGGAAGGGTGAGATATAAGAATAAATAACATGAAGCTCGCTTTTGCGTTTGCGTGACTAAGTTATCTATCTGCGGATTTAGTTTAGCACATATACGGTACATTCAGCCAAAGGATCAGCTGTCAGGTACGCAGAATGGTCAGAGTTTACTCCAAAATATGGAATGTGTACTCTGTGACAGAATCTAGACATTATTATTACGATCATTTATTGAATTTATATACCGCCCTATACCCAGAGATCTTAGGGCGGTTCACAGAAAAGATCACAGCCATACCTCATGTTACGTTTGCTTCAGGTTGAGCATTTTCAGGTTGCGTCCCACGGTGACCCGGAAGTACTGGAATGGGTTACTTCCAGGTTTTGCCACTTGCGCATGCGCAGAAGCGGCGAATCGCGACCCATGCGTGCGCAAATGCGCAGACGCAGGTTGCGTTCTTTTCAGGTTGCAAACGGGCCTCTGGAACAGATCCCGTTCGCAACCAGAGGTACCACTGTATATAAAATAAAAACAGTAACACCCTCCCCCTCAAAAAAGAGCCACATTTTAAAAGGATGTCAATCAGGTCAACCAAAGGCCTGGTTAAAAAGGAACGTTTTTGCCTGGCGCTTAAAGGAGTATAATGAAGGCACCAGGCGAACTTCCCTGGGGAGAGCATTCCACAAACAGGGAGCCACTGCAGAGAAGGGTCGTTCTCGTGTTGCCCCCTCCGGACCTCTCGAGGAGGAGGCACACGAAGAAGGGCCTCAGAAGGTGATCTCAGGGTCCGGGTGGGTTCATGGGTTCATGTCGAATACTGGGATGAAACATGATGATAAAAAGTATGCTATCTATGCTCCCTTGACTGTGAGAGGCCTGCACATCCCCACAGCAGTCTAGCTCCCTCTTACCCTGCAGAAACAGTCCTCTACAAATAATTCCCACAGGGATAGCACACTTGACTCAGTTTACTGTGCAGGTATCAGGACAAACTTAAACCCCCTTGACTGGGACAGGCCCCTCTGAGCCCTGTGGCTGCCGTCCCCCCACATACCTGTCTAAAGATCTCATCTTCCTCACGCCTGCGCCGCTCCTCCACTTGCCGGCGGCCACTCTCCTCGGCTTCTCGAATTCGGCGTTGCCTCTCGGCAAGCATAGCAAAAGCGTGGATCCTCCGTTCGTCCTGGAGCCGAATCAGCTCTTTGGAGAGGAAGTCTAGCATGTTGGAGAGGGCTCTTCCTTCCACCCGAGCCAAGTGCTTTTCCATGAGAGACATCTAAATGCAACACGGAAGAATTATTCTCCCTTATATAAAACGAGTTACTTTTTCCACAGGAAATGAGCTCCAGGCCTGAGCATCAGAACCCAGCCTTGAAAAGATTATGCACGCTATTTCCAGAGACGTGAAAGTAATCTGGAATAGTGTGCTGCTGCTGCTGCTGCACTGAGATAGGCAACGTGGTGCCCTCCAGATGTTGCAAGACTACAATTCCCACACTAGTTGGTGGTTTGGAGCTGATGGGAGTTGGGAGTCTAACTACACCTGCAGGGCTGGTGTCATGGACTGGTTGGACACAGGAATGGTGGGAGCAAACAGCTGGAGAACCCCCAAAGGAAGAAGGGATCCATTTCACATGTACTACTGGCAAGCCAGGTGTCCCCCATCTTATATTTGTGCAGCTAGTTATTTCTGCCTAAGTGCAGAACCTAGACATTTGTCCCTAGTGAAATTCATTTTGTTAGCTTGAGCCCAGTTCTCCAATCTGTTCAGGTCATTTTGCAACCCGGTTCTGCCTTCTACAGCATCAGCTACCCCTCCTAGTTTGGTGTCAACTGCAAATTTGATGAGCAACCCCTCAATTCCTTTATCCAAGTTGTTTAGAAAGATGTTGAACAACAATGGGCCCAGGAGAGAACCTGCAGCGAACCACTTGTCACTTTTTTCCAGGATGATGAGGAACCTTTAATGAGCACTCTTTGGGTTTGGTCAGGCAACTAGTGGCAAAGCCACCTAACAAATACCTCCTCAGTCAGCACGAGTTGCCTAAAGTAATGACTCCAACGACTGGCTAACCCAGCCATCTTGTTCCTCTGTGTAACACTGGCATACAAAACTCCTAGTAAGCCCTATCTTGAACAAAGCACCCACTATGAGATGATATTCCTCCCTCAGATGACCAAATGCCATCTTGCATCATAAGCTTCTGTTGCACACATTGTTGTAGGAGACAGAAGGGAAAGACTTTAAACAAGATACTGGTCCACTGCCTCTCTGTTTATGGCCAAACCTTGTGTTCATGCAGATCCCGCTGCCTCTGCAAGGCCAACGTCACTTGCTTCTCCGCCTTCTTCAACAGTTGCCCATCCTCCTGAAGCGCATGAGTGGTGCGCAACTCACGGATCAGTTCCAGTCGCTTTTCCTTCCCTTCAAACATCTGTCAGGAAGTCAGAGGGAAGGAATGAATGAAGATGCAGCTTCGCTGAATGTTCTCTTCCACCAAACTTTATTGTTGTCATCTCATTTTTTAAAATATAAATTACCCTAGTTTTTGTATGGTTTTATAAACAAACAGAGCAAGTAAAATACAAATAAAACATAAATATAGCCACCTACTCCCTCATAAGAGAATCATTTCTCCAGGTAGAGAAACAACCTATGTTAAAGAACCAGGCTATGCTTGACAACACAGGGAAACAAATCTGAATTTATGGGAAGTGTTCTGTTTCCCCTTCAGAGTCACAATGTCTTTAAAGAAAGGAAACAATATATCGGGAAAGGAATCACACTTGCTTTTCATATATTTGACAAGTTAATTTTTGCAGAACCATTAATTTCCACACTTTGATTATCCACTCCAGAGAAGTAGGGTGGGAACCTGAACTTGACTGTGAGAAATAAACCAGGAAAGGAGATCCTGGTGTTCAGACAAGAGGTGACCAGGTCTTACACTAGGCAAAAGCACATTGGTGGTCTTTATCAATACAGCTATGTGAAATATTCCCAGAACGCAAGCAGGAAGAGAGCCCTTGCCCTCAGCTCCCGCTTACAGGCTTCTCAGAGGCATTGGCTGACCGCTGGAAGAACAGGATGCTGGGCTAGGTGGGTCATCAGCCTGATCCAACCAGGCTCCTCTTCTCTCTATAATGAATTTCTCCCTAGTAACTGACTCAAGCGTGTCCTAAATAGATATGTGAGGTCAAGGGATTCATTTTCTCTAAAGCCCAGCAAGGCAACTGAATAGCTTAAAAACCCACTTGAATCTAGCCCAAAGAAGGTACATCTTGCTTGGGGGAAGAAATATCATCATTCCAAAACAAAATAAAGGAGGATGGTTGAGCTGTCTTCTTATTTCTCCGCCTCCCTGGACTGCAGCCTTACTTAAAGGTAAAGGGACCCCTGACCATGAGGTCCAGTCGTGGCCGACTCTGGGGTTGGGGCGCTCATCTCGCTTTATTGGCGGACCGGTCATGTACAGCTTCCAGGTCATGTGGCCAGCATGACTAAGCCGCTTCTGAACCAGAGCAGCGCATGGAAACGCTGTTTACCTTCCCGCCGGAGTGGTACCTATTTATCTACTTGTACTTTGACATGCTTTTGAACTGCTAAGTTGGCTGGAGCAGGGACCGAGCAACGGGCGCTCACCCCATCGCGGGGATTTGAACCACCGACCTTCTGATTGGCAAGTCCTAGGCTCTGTGGTTTAACCCACAGCACCATCCGCGTCCCTACTTACATATTTATTAAAGATCCACCCCAACTCTGTTCCAAGTGCAGCCACCCATCCCACACGCCCCAATTTCTCCTTTCTCCCAAGATTCTTGTGCTGGCCTATCAGCACCTTTCTCTCATTGTTTTGTTTTTAATCTGCCACTAGATGCTTTAGAAAAGAAAAGAAAAACCCAGAGAATACCATATTCTGGATCGCTCTGCCTCGGATTAAGCTCTGGAGTGTAATCACAGCTAGTTCTCTCTCTTCTTCAATCTGCAAAAGACAAGAAGAGTTTGCCACTGCCAACTGCTTTGTTGCAGGAAGACACTCAGGAAAGGACATCGCTGAATGATCTGTGCAATATTACCTAGATTTCTGAGAATGTGGCTCACATTTATTGACTTTAATCCCTGTATACCCAGCCTAGTTGGTTTACAGATATGGGGCGGGGGGTGGGCAGAAGGGAAGCATAGCAATGGAAAGATTGGGGCATTCAGATTTTTAAAGCACAAATCTACTCTAAGGATGCCTAGGATCCTTAGAGGATCAGGAGATCAGGAAGACTCTAGCATATCCTTCAAGTGTCTCAACTTTCCTGGGACATCCCGGACTTACAGAAGCCACCCCAGCTTCTGATTTGATCACAGAATGTCCCATTTCCCCACTCCAGTGCTGCTGCCCAGCTCAGGGAGGACGGTGAGCAAGCACTTGCAGTGGCCTCCACTCTTGTGCAAGTCACTTTCTCTCCTCCTTTCCCGGACCACCGTCACCTTGTCAGGTTGTGCCCTTGCCTGCCTTTGACCTACCGCTTGATTCTGAGCTCTCCAACCCTCTATTGTGCCTTGGAACTTGACCTTCTGCCTGGTCCGATTCCGCCCTTGTCTCTGACCCTTGTCTGCCTGTCATTATTTCTACCTGTTGCCTTTCTGATCTTCCTCCCCCCGCACCAAAACTGCAGCCCGCCTTGGAGATAGGCCAAGGCCCCTCAGAGGGTCAGAAATATTCCACCTACCAGTGAAGGCACTTCCAGTGTTGGAGTGGGAGGACGAGCGGGGATCTTGGATATCTTCTCAAGGAAACGAAGTGGTTTACACGGCTCCTTAACCTTTTTCTTTCTGTCTTGCAGTATCTGGAAAAGAAGTTAGCAGCATCGGAGGAACTAGGCCTAAGTGACCTGAAGAGCATCTCTTCACTATTATTCTTTTCTTAATTCACCCAAAAAACTGTTGCAGTAGTACAAAACATTTATAACACCTGGTCCATGTTTTACATTGGCACTATTCATTTCACATATTTTCCCAATCTGCTAGGAAGTAATGGGATAATGAGGGGAGGCTGGGAAGGAGAAGAGAATGAAGAAGGATGGTATGAAGGTAAAAGGATCAACAGAAGTTGAATAGCAGCCTGCAACCTCTAAAAATAGATGGCACGGTTTCTCCTCAGCACAGGCACGCCAGGTTCCACCCAGCATTGTGGGGGCCCAGTGTGTGTGTGTGTGTGTGTGTGTGTGTGATGTCATGCACCTGCATGACGTCACATGCCGCTGCCGCAGTGGGAGGGCAGATGGAACGCCCTGTCACAGCACACAACACATTTGGTCGCCCGGCCAGGCACTCACAGTAAAAATTTTGTGGGTGCCTTTGTGGGATGTCTCATCACTGAAGCTGTCAAATACAATTCCTGTTGCCTAGAGTGGACACACACGGGAATGTTGCTCCAGACTGGAAGGACTTCCTGTCATACCTGCTCTGGAGCCTCCTCCCCCTGTGTGACCAGGTAGATGGGCGGGACCCTAGCAGACCCTACCAAAGGGCTACTGACACAGCCATCTTCCTCTTTTCGCCTTTTTCCATTTTCTCCTTTCGGACACACATGGCTTATCCTTCCACATGGCTCATCCTTACAAGCCTAGCTCAGACTTCTTTTCTCTATAAATGTAACTGTAACTACAAGATAAAGCCTGCCTTCAGGATACTACATGAATTGAATGTAAGTAAATTTTACCATTACATTTAAAGAAGACTGCCGTGCTGTTATTATTTTTAAGAGGGAAATAAAGGGGAAATTTACCAGGAACAATCCAGTCTGGACAAGCCAGACTGGATTGCTTAACTTAAATGATTCTCACGAATCCATCAACTAGCTTCCTGAAATGTACAAGGAAATGTGCTCTGCTCCTTGCTCACTAGCTTGAGTGAGGAGGGATAATATTTCATCAATATATCCTCTCCTACTTTCCACAACATTCCCACAGCCTTGACAGCCAAGATGGCGCCTATGCCTCAGCACACAGTTTTCTTGCCTAGAATGGCCTAAAGCTGGTATTCAGGAAGCAAAGCAAGAGACAGATTTCAGGTAGGACGAGTTGCAATGGCCTCACATAAAGCACTGTACCTGGTAAACCTGTGCCAGTTCCAATTCTAGTCTAGCCGACCGTTTAATAAACCCATCCTTAGTGGTGGTGTTCCTTTTGGGAGCTTCAGTTCGGGGCTGAGTGACGAAGTCAGGAAGAGATGCCTCCAGCTCAAGTAATCCTAGGAAAGATAGAATGCAAGTATTGGGGTGGGGTGGAAGTGGAAGTGGAGGAAGAAGAGACAAATTGGAATTGTGATGAAAGAGAATGACTCACTTTGATCCAATGATCAGGCACAGAGATTACAACAGAGCACATGAAACTGACCTTCCCCTGAACAGAAAGGAGATGAAGTCTGCATGTCCTTTGTAGCTTACATGTGTCCAGGAAAAGGGAAAATGGACTAGAAGATTTCCTTAGCATGACTGACCTTGATAGGTGTTGAGAAAGGGGTTCTTCACTATGAAACGGTCGGCTCTATTGTCTGGAAAGTAGCCAATTCTTGATAGAGGAGCATAAGGCTGTGAATCAAATTCAGTGTAGTCCCTGATGACATTTCTTTTATCCAGTTTTCCTTCCACATTTTTCCCCTTGGCTATCAGTCTTCGGATTGCTGAGAAGGAATTTCAGACAAGATGCACATCTAAATGAAAATCTGCATCAGCTTTCCGTAGCTTGGGAAAGCAGACAGTGGTATAGACTTTCTACTCCATTACCATTTCCATTACCTTTTATATGTTCATGCTGAATTTTTTTAATTTTTTCTTCTTTTTCTTGCATGAGGTTAAACCAGTGAGCATCCAAGCGAGTGACCATCAGTTCATTGCGGTTCTCTTCCCTTTTCCTCAGCAGAGCCTTTAAGAGTTCTAGTCTAACTTCTTGCAATCTTCAAAAAAAGAATAGGAAAAGAAGAGGGTTCAACAGATCTCAAACACTACTGCCATCCTCATTTAGATCAGGCTTCCTCAACCTTAGCCTTCCAGATGTTTTGAGACTACAATTCCCATCATCCCTGACCACTTATCTTGCTAGCCAGGGATCATGGGGGTTGTAGGCCCAAAACATCTGGAGGGCCGAGGTTGAGGAAGCCTGATTTAGATGATTTACCTATAACAAATGTTTCTCTTTTTTTGTTCCAAATATCCAGTGCACATTTTTATCATGCACCTTTTATAATGGCTTGCAGAACCAATGAGCCAATAAAATAAATGCAGCCTGCCAGCTATGTATGGTGGCCACGCCCACAAACATTTCCCACTAATTAAGAAGAAGCACCTGGCTGTCAAGAGCCTATGAGGTATTTTCAAGAGGTGGCAGGCCTGAAATTTCATTTTGGCAAATCAGATATGATGTTTTTTAAGATCCCAGTGGGGGAACAGTCTAGGATAATGAGGGTTTTCAAATCCTGGTACGCCATACCAAACTTAGGTCTCTAGGGTTCATGGTGACAAAGAATCTAAATCAACTATATACCACTAACTACAGCCCAGTTTGGAAACTAAACTCTAGGGACACCTGCACATGGAGGACCATTAACTTATCCATCATGGATACGATGATGATAATGATGATGATGATACTAATAATAATTTATTATTTATACCCCGCCCATCTGGTTGGGTTTTCCCAGCCACTCTGGGCAGCTCCCAACAGAATATTAAAAACATGATAAAACATCAAACATTAAAAACTTCCCTAAACTGGGTTTCCCTCAGATGTCTTCTAAATGTCAGATAGTTGTTTATTTCCTCGACATCTGATGGGAGGGCGTTCCACAGGGTGGGTGCCACTACAGAGAAGGCCCTCTGCCTGTGTCCCTGTAGCTTTGCTTCTCGCAATAAGGGAACCGCCAGAAGGCCCTCGGAGCTGGACCTCAGTGTCCGGGAAGAACGATGGGGGTGGAGACGCTCCTTCAGGTATACTGGGCCGAGGCTATTTAAGGCTTTAAAGGTCAGCACCAATATTTTAAACTGTGGTTAAAGCGATGGTCTCCTGAAGTTACTGTTTCTGTTCAGAACCTGTTTTGGTTGCTTGTTTGGAACTTGAGCAGAGCTTCCTTGGGCCCATGGGCAACGAAACAGGAAGGTAAAAATTAAAGACTTACTCCTCTATTTCTACTTCCCGGAAGGCCCACTCTTTCCTCTCCATTTCCTCCATCATCCTCCGCCGCTTTGCAATCTGTGTGGCATCGCTGAGGGGGGGGAGCGTGGCCTCCCAGGCACGTTTTTCTCGGGCTCGTTCAATCACTTCCACTTCTGCCTGGGTTGCTGGAAGGCCCCGTCCTTCAAAGGGCAGGAAACAATGAGAGAGCATAGCTTATTTTTTACGAATGTGATATAGTTTATAAACCCCAATGCAAAAACCTGCCTAAACGGAAGTATGAAAAACACATACACTTCAGAGGTGGCCAAAAGCCGGTGTTTCTTAAAAGTGACTAAACTGCAGATGCTCTCATTACAGTAATCATGATAAGACTCCGATTTCTCCTGCAGAACTTGGCCAATAAAAGAGAGAGGCTGCTTGGTCATCGCTTGTATGTAGTTGGGATAACGGAAGATGTGAGCATATTTTCTGCTGCTGCAATGCTAATTAAGACAAATGCAATTTGCCCTTTCTGCTGCCCTTCTGTACTGCTGCTGCTTTGATAGACTTTGAATCTGGCACCAGATGAAAACACTTTATTCAGTCTGGCTTTTTAATTAGGGATTAACTCTGGGGTGTAAATTGTTTAATGATAACTCTGATATAAAGAACGTTGTTGTTCCATAGCTGTCTTTCATTGTTATTAATTATTATACTCTGTATTTTTAATAGTGTTTTGTTGTAAGCTGTCCTGGAAATATAAATATAAATATTATAAATATAAATACTGTATAAATGTGCTACTGGACAGATGGGGCTTGTCAGCCTGGGACAAACAGCTGATCTAGAAGAAGGAAATCTCTGATCCTAAATGCCCACTGACTTGCAGGATACCTTCAGAAGAAAAGGCTGAGGAGTAAACCCTCCACAAATCCAGAGCAGAGTCCGTAAGACAGTTCCAGTGCTTATATTTCTGGGGGGACGAAGCGGACGCTTAACAATGTGTGAATCTAATGGGAGATTTGGAAGTAATGGAAGTTACTATGAGCTGTCAGCTGTGTAATATGAGGTAATGCATATCCTTTGTACTTTTGTCCATTTACTGAATTTATTTTTCCAGATTTGAACTATAAAATGGTGATTTTCTTGAATCAAAATGGGAGTACCCCTAAACTTTTTTTTTTAGGAAAAAAGCACTGGACGGCACCTTCCTTTCAGCAACTCCTGCAGTCAAGCTGGTGCCAAACCTATTGTTCTGCTTTTCTTTGGACCACGTCAGCAAGGCCAAGATGGGGGTCTTGTCCTCTGGGCAGCCCAGAACCTCCAGACACACTGCCCAGACTTGCACCACAGTGAGCTCACTGCTAACACAGCAGTTTGACTTCATCCCTGGAGGCACACTCCATTGTCTCTCCAGACAGATGGATGCCAACAGCAATTTCTGCTACTGATATTTTTCGGGAGTTGGTTTTGTTAGTGAAAGGTTTGTAAGCTAGATGTGCATTTTTTCTGGTTGTTCTTATTTATGAATATCCTATATATTGTCGTTTCATTTACTGTTTCTGTAAGCTGTCTTGACCATAATTATGAGAAAGCAGCATACAAATAAACATAACAATAATAACAAAAACATTTGGAGGAACTTTCCACTGTGGCACAATACTATGGTTCACATTCAACTAAAATTAATAGCACTTAGGTTCCACCGAAATCAGTGGGGCAAAGTACTAATCTTCCTTTAGCCACTAGCACAGGCAGGAATAAGAAACCTGAAATTATTAACAAGTTAAAATCAATGTACAGTGCAAAAGATTTAGCTTTTTCTGCATTACTAGAACTGCTAAAAACCTGCTGAGCCTAACTGAGGAATTTATAACCAACTCAAATGCTCTGGTAATAGATCAGGGAACTGGGTCCATTTCATCTGTGGAATGTGGGAGCAAACCCATCTTCTAACATTCAGAAAATTGTGTCTTTGCTTCATGCAAGTCGGAAAGAGCCCTCATATAATCATCAGTCCTTTGCTCAACTCACCCCAGGTCAGCGTGACAAGGGTCAGGAGCTCAGGGATGGAACCTGGAGGCACCACATATTCAGGGCTGTAGGGGTCTGTCTGAGCTTCACCATCCCGGTAATCCGTCTGTGTACCCACAGTTCGTGAAATGAGATAAGCTGGCTTGTCCCTGGATTTCACCTTGTCAATGTATGACTCTGGCCTAAAAAGCAAAGGAGAGCAAAACAATACATTTCAAAATGTTTTCACCCACTTAAAAGGAAATTAAGGTCATTGTTGTTTTTAAAAAACTTTATTTATTTTTATTAAATTAGACCATAGTTATTGAATTTTTTGTTGTTTTTACAACCAAGCGGTATATAAATTTTATGAAACAAACTATTTTTTTATTGCCTTGTTTATCGCATGTTTATATTACTAATGTACAGCGGTATCTCAGTTTTCGAATGTCTCCGCTGACGAACATTTCGGTTTTCGAACGCCATAAACCGTAAAATTCTTCGGTTTTCGAATATGCCTCAGAAGTCAAACATATTGAGTTTTCTGTACTGAAGTTTCAGTTTTTGTACGTTTCGGAACTCAAACCGTCTTCTGGAACGGATTACTTTCGAAAACCGAGGTACGACTGTACAATGTCCTCAAAACAATCTTGTGAGGTAGTTTCTCTCAGTGAGACAGTTTTCCACAACCTCTTACCCTCCAGATGCTTTTGGGGGGGCCACAACGCTCTTTCAGCCCGCCAGTATGGCCAATGGCTGGAGAAGATGGGCATTGTAGTCCCAAACACCTGGTGAGTATCAGGTTGGGGAAATCTGGCATGAGAGTACCCAAGTTGCTTGACAGCTAAGCAGAGATTTGAACCCAGGTCTCTGTGGTCACAGTCCCGCACTCTCAGCATTGCACTGCACTGACAATCTGTTGAGACCTAAGGTTCTTTTTGTTTGCTATACAACTTTTACAGTCATAATATAGTATGAAACTCTTTGGATGTGCCCCTGTGGCTTTTCCAGGAAGTGCTACCTGAACTATAATAGCAAAAACACCCCTTCAGCAGTTAATGAAGTAAGTGCAACTCCCTTCCACCCCCCACCCCCCAAAATTACCTGAAGTCCCCACCCGACAGAAATTTGCTTCCTAATTTGTCAAGGTATAACTGGACCTGTGAACTGGGGTGGCATCTGCATGCCTTCCACAGGGTCATTATAGGGACTGGGAAGTCTATGTTTCCCTCCTTATCTTTGCCAATCATTTAGTCAGCCAACCAACCAATGATCAGATAACTAAGAACAGCCAACCCTCTCCTACGGGGGGAAGTTTCTTCCTTCCCTTTTTTTTTTTTTTACTTTTCAGTACTAGAAACATCAGCTTCTTGAAAAACAATGGGATCACAATGTGAGAACAAACCTAGGCCAGCATATCATTACTTACTTGGACATTGCATAGACAACATTTAGTGGCATCGGCTTATGAAATGGGATGAAAGGTCTGAAAAGAGAGAAAAGTGAGTTTAGGCGAACTCAGGGAAGCAAACAAGCAGAGCATTTCCTCAGTTAGCACAGCTCTCCTAGGCTGTCTGGTCCGTTAACAAGTTTATTATTTAGCTACCTTGCAGTTGTAATGGACACTTTTCAGTCACTATACTCATATTTAGAGGTACGATATTGCTTAAGATGCCTTTGAGGGCCAATTTGTGGTCCTCCAGGCCTTTCTATCTCGCCCATGAGACTCTCCCAACCACCCTTAACAAGTCCTGCTCTGTGTCCTCCTGGCTGCAACATGTCCTCAAACTCTGGTGACGCCTCTTCCTTGCCTGGATGGAGGCATGTGGGTGTCTAACATGATATAGATTACAAGAGGTGCTTCTTGTGATTGACAGCCTTCACACACACATAAAACCAAACGATATGATCAAGACACTCCCATGTCTAGGAGTGCCTTGGGAAACTGAAAGACAGAAATGTCCTTTCCACAAATTTTGGTGGAATACTCATTTATTTGGTCATAATAAAAACACGTATTGTAACCGAGTATGATTTGCTCTGTTCAGTTCCCACCGTTCAAAATACTTCCAGCGATTCCTTCCACCAACATCAGGATCTTCATATTCAATTCTTGGAATCTGAAGTGAGGGTTGAGATCTAATTTTTGAAAAAGAAGGTGTGGTAAGAAACTGATATCTCCTGCTAGAATACAATGTATAAATTGGGCACCTGTCTAAGAATCTCCTGGAGGGAGAGTTGTTCCAGACACCCTTGGTTATTATGTAGATCACTTTCAATGGGACTTTTGGCCCAAAGTTGGGATGGAACCTGCCCTGGTCACCCAGAGATGGTCAGAGATGTGTCACAAGATGCACAGAGGAAGAATGACCCTCTTGATTGTCCTGGACTTCTCTGGGTGTGCGAAACACTTTTTAAAAGGCACTGCTTCTTTCTAGAGGGACGCGGGTGGTGCTGTGGGTTAAACCACAGAGCCTAGGACTTGCTGATCAGAAGGTTGGTGGTTCGAATCCCCACGATGGGGTGAGCTCCCGTTGCTCTGTCCCAGCTCCTGCCAACCTAGCAGTTCCAAAGCACGTCAAAGTGCAAGTAGATAAATAGGTAAAGGTTTACCTTCCGGCGGGAAGGTAAACGGCGTTTCCATGCGCTGCTCTGGTTTTGCCAGAAGCGGCTTAGTCATGCTGGCCACATGACTGGGAAAAACTGTCTGCGGACAAACATCGGCTGTCCTTGGCCAGTAAAGCAAGATGAGCACCGCAACCCCAGAGTTGTTCATGACTGGACTTAACTGTCACGGCTCCTTTACCTTTTTTTTAAAAAAAAACCAACTTCTTTCCAGAGGGTAGACTTCAGAAAGCATTGCCGGGAGATTAATGCACAGCCCCTATCGGGACCCATAGAATTCTATCTTTTCCCTCATGCTTTTCACCATTATTCTAGCTGAAATTCTTGGGTAAAGATGCACAGAGATTGAAGCTACGGAACCAACATTATGCTAGTGACACCTAGTGCCCTCTCACACTTACATCACATTCAGAGAGGCAGCAGAAACACTAAACTTTGTCACTTGTGGCTGAAATGGAAATCAATCCAGGCAAGACTGAAGTGCTGGTATTTAGCGTCCTTCAGTCTTGAAATCAGGTGTGCAGCATGTTATGGGGTTTGACTCCCTGTTAAATAGGGATGGAGAACCTGTGGTTTACCCAATGTTGGACTACAACTCCTATCATCCCTGACCATTGGCTGGAGCTGATGGGACTTGGAGCCCCATCTGCCGGTGGAACAGCACCTGCCGGTTCCATAGTTTCCCCACACCTGCCCTAAAAGGTTAGGGGTGGGCCCTTGAATTGGCACCAATTACAGAAGCAGGAACAAGCAGTACCTTTTATCGGTTTCAGGTGGTTTGCCAGCTATACCCTTTCCGAAATAGGCCAGACCTCACCAGAGTCATTCTCACTCTTGTTACCTCCGGGTTTGATTACTATAATGCATTCTCTGTGGGGCTGCCCTTGAAATCAGTCAGAAACCTCAACCACTGACATATTCCCTTTGGTCTGAAGTTGTTACACTACAAGTCAATGTCATCAGTTTTGAGCTAGACAAACCAATGATTGGTCTGTCTCAGTATTAGGCAGATTCCTATGTTTCCATTGCTTTAAATAGTGTACATCTAGCTTTCTTGGGTTTTCTGTCCAAATGAGGCAGGATAAAAAATGAAGCAGAATCGAGACTTCCGGGTTAGCGCCATCGCCGAATGGCGGACTCCCTCCGAGCTTCGGAGGGAGTCTGCTCGGCAGGGGCTGGGTCCTACCGCGCCGGCGACGCGGGGACCCTGAAAAACCACGGGCACGGAGTCCGTGGACATGGGTGACTCGGCTTGCACCATTAGCGCCCTCCCGACTCGTGAAGGAGCCTTTTTAAAGGCTTCGGATCGGGTGCCGGGGAATGGCGTGGTGCTTTGAGTCCACTGCTTTCCCTGCCGAGCGCAGCCGCATGCCATTCGACGGAGAGCGCTGACTTCTTCTATTGAAAATTTGGACTATTAACAACAACCCGTGAGTAATTGGGAAACCGGGTTCAAAATTTTGGATTTGGCACGAGTGGGGCGATTTAAAAGGAAGTCAATCCCCCCCCCTATTGTAAGCATTCCAAAACAAGGACTGGGTAACCAAGGTCCAAAGGGAAGTATGTCTCTGATAAAAATCATTAATTTCACGATGGGAAATTATAAGAAATGTGCTGGAGGAGAAGAGTGGAGGGCGAGAAGAAAAATGCAACCCCCCCCCCTGGGACCCGGGCGATTCGTGGAGCCTGGTGAAGAGAGACGGAGACTTTGACAGCTGTCAAGTGGCTGTCAAAGTTGGAGAATATAAAGAGGACTTTGTTATGAGGACCTTGCTGGTTAAATTTTGTTACAATTTGCTATAATATGGATATAAACTGTTGGAAAATAAGTAACAATTTGACTTTTGGATTAGAGGATACAAAGTTATTACAATCCCCCTAGAGGGGTTTCGGGACACTACAAGAACGGTCGTAAGTGGAAAAATACCCTGGGATTCGCACAGGACTTGTTATCTTCTGGGAAAGCTGCAAAACTGAAAGAGTATTTTGTCTACAGAGGAAGACAATGGAATTTTTTATTGAAGAAAGGAAGGGACTGGACGTAAGTTTTTGTTCCTGAATAACAAACCTCTGCAGAGACACTAGATTTCTGAATTAGAAAGTTTTAGCAGCTGAACAGGACAAGAAACCTGAGAAAGTGAGGAATAAGAAGAATAAAGGACTGATTACGACACGGAAAGAACAACGGGAGGAGTGGTAAAGATCAAGGAAATTAAAGGCCTTTGTTAGATTGGACATTTGAAGTCAAATATTATTTAAATTAATAAACTAAAAGAAAACCGGCAAGATGGAATCTTGGAGAAATCTGTTCATGAAATGAGATTTCCTAGCTGATACTGTATAGACTGATGGACATGGGGAATTCAAACCGGGGAAGGGGGAGATTTGAAATCCAAAGGCTGTGTAACCATTTTTGAATTTTTCTATATCTCTTATTTTCTATTTTTACATAACTTACGCATGTTATTTTACTTTGATCGGACGTGTTTAAAAAAAATGGAATTTGTGGAAGGAACTGGGGTTGATCTTGGGGAAAATCTTTTGTCTTTTTCTGTTAATGATGTGGGACGGTGGTAAGATTTGTACAATTTAATCTGGATAGTGGGTTAAACAAATTAAGCTTTAAATTGGGAGTGAGAGCTTGTAGAACCAAATTAAGGAAAGGGGAATACAATTGGGGGGGGGGGAGTCCCAGAAAGTAGGGAATGAAAGTAAGGTTTTTAAATATCTTCTTTCTTTTGTCTTTTTTCTTTGTATTTCTATATTTTTGGAAACTTTAATAAATATGATTTAAAAAAAAAAAAAAAAAAAAGAAGCAGAATCCTTAACAAGGGCTGTCAGGTCTGTGAAACTGGTGAGAAAAGCTTCTGTGCTGCACTACATACATTGCAGTAAAATATACTGTGCATGAAAAGTATAGTGTAATATATTATGTCCTCATGCTCTATGACCTCAGCTTTGAAATGACGCTATTTGGTTATACCTATAGTTGGCCTTTTCCTAGAGCCACCGTCTGAAAAGTTTTGCTGTACGTGAAGTTTGTGATCATGGCAAAGAGATGGGTAGTCTGACCATCATCAGCACTGAAGTGAATGAGCCACACCGATAAATTAAATTAAAGTAAAAAATGGTTCTTTGTTTCTGCAGCCATATTGAAGCTGGAATTAGGGCTAAGCTACATTAATGCCAAGGGCTGACCTACTTTGTGGGGAAATGTACCTAAGGCTAAACAGTCGTTTTAAAAAACATTTACAACTCTTACCTAGCCAGCTTCTGAAGAGCCTCAATGCGCCGTTCTGCCCTTCCTCTCCATCTTCGGTCAATGAATGGGGGAACAGGGTTTATTTCTTCTAATTGCATAGAGTATGGTGGATAGTGAATCAGGTTACTGAACATGGTTTTAAATGCTGGCACTTTCCTCTTTTTTATATGGAAAAAAGATAGAAAAGGCAAATATTGTAGGTAAATATATGGAGAATAACAGCACAAGAGCTAGTATTTGTGTGGAAACATAACTATTGGGAAAGAACCAGGATCTTGAGCTCACCCACTACCGCTGACCACTTGACAGATGGGCAGGGCTGTCTACTTGTCAACCACTGGATGCCAGCTTTAATGGACAGATTTGAAACCCCTCTAACTGTGCTTCCAGTTCCTCCTTTGCCTTGAACAAAAACTGCAAGAACTGTTTAAAGACTGTAAGCACCTACCATTTCATCGTGAAGCAGATGAGACTGGACTGTTGCTTGTGCATGGTCTCTCTCACTTGAAAGTGTATATAATGGATCTAAAACACGTATAAATACAGTAAATATAAACATTTTCATTAAACTTATGAATGAGTGATAACATATAGGACCTTTCCCCTTCCTCCCGGCTATTCTTTCACTTTGAAACTGGTGACTCAGATGAAACATTGCTACCAACGAGTGCTTACAGTGCCTCACCGCAGACACCAAGACTGACTCAAACTAGCCTTGGCAATGGTAGGGCTCACCTGGAGTCTGGAGAGCAAAGTGCTGACCCCTGATTTGCCCTGCCCTTCATGGCAGCCTCTTTTCTTCACCCCTTCCATGTCACGTCTGCCATGGAACATGAAGAGGCGTGTACCTTTTAGCCCCTCCTAGTTTCCTTGTGGCACATCTGGCTGGTGGGGGGAACGTTGTTTATAATAGTTGAACCGGGTTAAGCACTGTGTCTGTTTTATGTAGCACTCCTGGTCAAATTTGTGTTTCACTTCCCATTGTTTTCCTGTTTTTAGAGAGGTGCACTTAGTGTGTCACTTGCTGTGTAAGCACTATGGTGTTTAAGGGCCGGGAAGGGGGGGAGCTATACAGCTAAACAAAACAAAGTAAGATTGGGGAATATAGTGGGTTTAAGTTCCTTTTTCCAGCAACCACACGGGCAGGGGGAGAGGATCAGACGGGGATGCCACAATAAAAAGGTGGTGATGCTGTTTACAGCACTCATGTTGGGGTGCGTGTGTGTCCAGTTGAAGAAACAGCTGTTGAGTGTGGGGAGTACCTTTTCCCATTCTTTGGGCCCCTTAGAAAAATAAACAAACCTGCTATACCTGGAGCTGGTTGTTGAGTGTGCAGCTGAATGGGGCACAGCTGTGGGCAGCCTGCGGAAGTACCATCCACCTTGGGCTTGCCCACATAAAGGAAGTCTAGGGTGAGAGACTAGGGTGATGTCTGCCGTTTCCACAAATGCTTCTTGTTGAGAGACTTTTAAGGGTGAGCTGAGAGTTTATTTGGACCCTGGGTGAGAACCCAGAGGTTGGGAGATGTTTCAGAAGGAATATATATTTATTATATATATATATATATATATATATATATATATATATATATATATGTATGTATTAATGTAACATTTAAAAATGTAATAGTTTGCTTACATTTTCTGTTGCTTCAGTTTTTTGTACACCAATTAGAGAAAATTTTAATATATTAAACAGTATAGAAATTAAATCAGTCAATCAATCAAATCAGATGTGCTACCAGAATAAAAAAGGTTGAAAGGAAATATAATTTTCTTGCTGATTTGGATGAGGAGCGCTGTTAAAAGGCTGTGATACAAAAAACAGAAAACAGGTAAATAATATTGGTTACTGCTTGCATCAAGCACATCAGTGAGGGAACGGTAAGAGCTAAATGTCAAAATGTGTCAAAGAGTCAGAAAAACTGCTGGAAAGAATAGCTTCCCAAATGACTGTACGGGGGCGGGGGGGGGGCAATAACAGGATAACTATAGGGAAAATAAAATCTCATGCCAATTTGCATTTCCAGGAACCACATTGGGGATGGGAAGTGAAATGCCTAAACATAGTAAAACAGGTACATAGTTACCTGTGTAAATTGATGTTTGCAGCACATTAGAGCAGAGGTGTAAAGGTAGCAAGAAAAAAACCACAAATTCCACTTTGCAGCACTCACCTAGGGCAGCGGGTGGCAGTGGTAAAGACCAATGTGATCTAACATGAGTTACAATGATTGATTGAAATCTCATTGGTGACGACTTTTTTTTAAAAAGCTGGAAATGAATATGATCTCCTGTCTTCTGCACTCAACGGAAAGGAGGGTATAATCCACCTTTATTACAGCAAGTTGTGGTTCTGTGCGCCTGTTGTGGGCGCTGCTCCCATGAAGCGCAACTCGGAATATCTTTATGGGTGCGCTTTAGTCTTAATTCTATTCATGTTTAATTGTATTTTCAAATGCTTATTCCCCTCCCCCACGTTTTTAGCTGTTCTTATTTTTATCTGTACAGAAAACTGCTTGGGAGTTCTTGGGAGTCCCTTTCAGGGGAAAAAGCAGGGTATAAAAATAAGAACAACAATGCCACTTCCTGTGCTGTCTTTAATGTAAATACCTGTCTTTTTAATGCATTTCCATGTTTAATTGTGGTTGGGGATTTTTAAACGATTGCCTCCCTCCCTCCTCCCCATGCTGTTTTTAGCTCTTCTTATTTTTATCTGTAAACTGCTTGTGAGTCTCTGTGTCTGGGGGGAAAGCAGGGTATAAAAATGTATATATATATTAATAATAATAATAACAACAACAATGCCACTTCCTGTGCTGTCTTTATAGCAATTATCTGTGTTTTTAATATATTTCCATGTTTAATTGTGGTTTTCTTTTAAAAAAACCATTGCCTCCCTCCCTCCTCCCCATGCTCTTTTTAGCTCTTCGTTTTATCTGTAAACTGCTTGTGAGTCTCTGTGTCGGGGGGAAAAGCAGAGTAAAAAAAAATTTATTATTATTATTATTATTATTAACCATGCCACTTTCTGCGCTGTCTTTATAGTAATTATCTGTGTTTTCAATGTATCTCCGTCTTTAATTGTGTTTCCAGCCGCTCTCCTTGGTGTCTGTCAGCCGCCCGGCGTCCCCGTGAGGGAAAAGGCGGAGGGCAGTCTCCATTCCCGGCCCTTCCCTTCCCCGCGCGCCTCCCGCGAATCACCGTAGAGGAAGTCGAAGGCCCGGCTGGGCGCCACGGCCCTCCGGTAGCGAGCCCCGGGGGGCGCCCCGGCCGCCGCCGCCCGACCCACCGTCACCGAGCGGCTCATCGTGGCACTTCGGCGCCCGGCGCTGCTGCTAGGCCCAAGCCGTCGCCATAGCAACGCCGGGACTCAGCCGGGAGGGAGCGCGGCCTGCGCGCACACCGGAAGCCGCAGAGATAGGAAAATGCAGAGGAGCCCGCGCTCTGAGGAGTGGGGAGGAGGGAAGGTCTTACGGCAGCCGCGAAATTAAAAGGCGCCTGCTTCGTGGGAGGAAAGCGAGGACAAACCTTGTTGGTGTTGAGTCGTTTCGTCGTGTCCGCCTCTTTGTGACCCCCTGGACCAGAGCACGCCAGGCCCTCCTGTCTTCCACAGCCTCCCCAGTTTGGTCAAACTCATGCTGGTCTCTTCGAGAACACTGTCCAGCCATCTCGTTCTCTGTCGTCCCCTTCTCCTTGTGCCCTCCATCTTTCCCAACATCAGGGTCTTTTCCAGGGAGTCTTCTCTTCTCATGAGGTGGCCAAAGTCTTGGAGCCCCAGCTTCAGGATCTGTCCTTCCAGTGAGCACTCAGGACTGATTTCCTTCAGACTGGATAGGTTGGATCTTCTTGCAGTCCATGGGACTCTCAAGAGTCTCCTCCAGCACCAGAATTCAAAAGCATCCATTCTTTGGCGACCAGCCTTCTTTATGGTCCAGCTCTCACTTCCATACATCACTACTGGGAAAACCATGGCTTTAACTATACGGACCTTTGTGGGCAAGGTGATGTCTCTGCTTTTTAAGATGCTGTCTAGGTTTGCCATCGCCTTTCTCCCAAGGAGCAGGCGTCTTTTAATTTCGTGGCTGCTGTCACCATCTGCAGTGACAAACCTAGGCAGCATCTTAAAAAGCAGAGACATCACCTTGCCCACAAAGGTCTAAGCTTGTGGAACTTCATCCCTAGGGAGACCTGGGCTGCCTGACCGTTTCCTCCCTCTTTTTTACAAGGCAAGTAAAGCGATGTTTAGGACATCGGAGATGCAGTGGTATCTCAGGTTAGGTACTTCATTCGTTCCAGAGGTCCGTTCTTAACCTGAAACTGTTCTTAACCTGAAGCACCACTTTAGCTAAAGGGGCCTCCCATTGCTGCCACGCCGCTGCTGCACGATTTCTGTTCTCATCCTGACGCAAAGTTCTTAACCCAAGGTACTATTTTTGGGTTAGCGGAGTCTGTAACCTGAAGCGTCTTCATCTTCAACCTGAAGCGTCTCTAACCCGAGGTACCACTGTAATGCTTGTATCCATGTGTTGCTTAGTGCATTTGTCTTCCAGTAGTGGGTCAGCTCTTGATCATATCAGAGACACCGCTGCTAATTTCTCTTTGGGTTTTTTCTTTTTCTTTTAGGAGAGGAGAGGGAGGGAAAGGAGTCCAGAATTCCCTTAGCTTTTAAGTTTGCATTTGTTTGCATATCATCGTCAGCACGCATAGGACTTCACAGAAGAATCCTGCCTTGCAGGGGGTTGGACTAGATGACCATCGTCGTCCCCCCTCCACAACTCTATGAATCTATGAGGACAAGAGGGCAGGCCGCTTGTTCTGAAGAGCTTGCAGTCCCAAATACAGTAACAGTGTCAGAAGGCATTTTGGAGCGTAATACTTTTCTTTTTTGGGGTTTGCTAAATATTGTGCTTTATTATTCCATTGAAAACAAACCAACAAACAAACTTCGCTTCTCGCTGAAGTTGTTGCCCCTTCGTCTGCCTTCTTTTATCCTTTTCATTCCTGCGTGACATGGCCACTCTTTTTAGAAAAGAAAAGTGGGCATAAACGGGGGGGGGGGTGGATAAAAAAACAAACCCTTTTGGCAGTTGCAAGATGAAATGCGGGATCTGATCCTGAAAAGGTTGAAGGCTGCTGGCTGGCTCAGCCTAGTTCTATCTCCTCTCCATCCCCCCTTTGGCCAAACTGCAAACCAAGGCGATTGTGCTGTCGTGTATTTTTATTTTCTTTTATTTTGCTGCAATAAACCCTCGCGCAGCTCTTGACGCCACGTCCTCCCACCTCTGTCTTTGTCCGCTCTGCGGCGCGCGCGCAGGCGCACTCCCACCGACCTCCTCCCCCTCGCTCGGCGTCCAATGGCGAGCCAAGTGTGGCGGAAGAGGCGGCGGAAGTGAGTGGGGAGACGGACATCCGGCGCCGGGGCGGGCGGGCGTGCCTCTTTCTGCGCCTGCGCGACCGGCAGCCATGTCGACCGTGGCCCCCCGCGACTCCTCCCCGGGTCTCCCGTCGCCCGCGGCGGCCGAGCAGAAGCCTCCGCCCGCCCTCAAGCCCTGCTGCGCCTGCCCGGAGACCAAGCGGGCGCGCGACGCCTGGTGGGTGACGGGGGCCGGAACGGGCGGGGGGGGGCTTCAATGTGGCCCTTGGAAGACTCAGGCCGGGTTCCCTGCCTCGGGGGCGACGGGGAGATCGGGACCTCCCCTCCTCCTCCTCCTCCTCCCCCCCCAAAGGCCTCTGAGCGGGAGGAGGAAGCGGAGCCCCGGCGGGAACTGGCGGCCCCCGTCCCCGGCCTCCTTTCCTCGTGGCGGGCCTGGCCAGGGGCGGGAGCGCCTTGGGGTGAGAGTCGCGGAGTCGGGAGGGACCCCGAGGGGACAGAGCTCTCCAAACTTCCCATGTCGGCGAGACACTTCTCGAGACACGCGTCTTTTCACGACACGGTCATTCGGGTTTACAAGGGACGTGGGTGGTGCTGTGCTCTAAACCACTGAGCCTAGGGCTTGCTGATCAGAAGGTCGTCGGTTTGAATCCCCGCAATGGGGTGAGCTCCCGTTGCTCAGTCCCTGCTCCTGCCAACCTAGCAGTTCAAAAGCGCGTCAAAGTGCAAGTAGATAAATAGGTATCACTCTGGCGGGATGGTAAACGGCGTTTCCGTGCGCTGCTCTGGTTCGCCAGAAGCGGCTTAGTCCTGCTGGCCACATGACCCAGAAGCTGTATGCCGGCTCCCTCGGCCAGTAAAGCGAGATGAGCGCCGCAACCCCAGAGTCGGCCACGACTGGACCTAATGGTCAGGGGTCCCTTTACCCTTTACCTTTAAGGGACCCAGAGGGGACAGAGCTTTCCAAACTTTCCATGTGGGCGAGACACTTCTCGAGACACGCGTCTTTTCACGACACGGTCATTCAGTTTTGCTAGCAAAGCGGAGGTCAAACTTGTCATTGAAATTCTCCAGAAGAGATTCCAGTGTATAGTTAGCGGAGTAAAAACTTAAGACACGTTGAAGGATTCCTAAAAAATAGACGAGGTAATTGATATTTCACGAGCATAATGGCCACAAATCCATTGACGATTGGCACTGTTCATAGGAAATCCAGTTGCAACAGACTTCACTTACAGATAACTTACAAATAACTTGTAACGAGTCTAAACCTGAACACATGCAGTGGCACCTCAGGTTACAGACGCTTCAGGTTATATACACTTCAGGTTACATACTCCACTAACTCAGAAATAGTACCTCAGGTTAAGAATTTTGCTTCAGGATGAGAACAGAAATCGAGGCCCCATTAGCTAAAGTGGTGCTTCAGGTTAAGAACAGTTTCAGGTTAAGAACGGACCTCCGGAACGAATTAAGTACTTAACCCAAGGTACCACTGTACTATGTACAGAACACCACACCAGAAGGAAAACAGATAGAGAAAATGAAACCCGGGCTCCTTCTGGCCCTACTTTTATAGTCAGCATGGCCTTGACAGAAGAGAGAACAGAACCACTTTAAGCCAGCTGTACTCAGCTTCTCGGAAGGAATAATCCAGTCATGAACCTTCTGCTTGTTTCTTTCACACACAGAAGCTTCCAGAACCCTCTTGAAATAAGTAGAATAGGAAAGATCTCTACACATCAGATCAATACATTCTGCGCTAAGAAATGCAAACTGACAAAACCTACATGCTGCAGTTGACACACAGTTTGGAAAGCTCTGATCCACTCCAACCCCCTTCAATGCAGGAATATGTAGCTGTCCCATACAGGGATTTCCCACCCCTTATATTTCCATGCTTTCTGAGTAGCTAGTGATAGTGCTTCAGTGGAAAAACACCTCTGGGAAAAGGGTTAGGAAGCCTCTTTGACCCCTGTTCTCCTCTCTTCACATCAAAACATCAGCCACTGCATTTTGTAAAACAAAAAAGACAGTTTACATGATTCTTTTTAACCAACAACATGCAGCTTTCCTGTAGCCTTCCCAGAAAGGTGATCTGAATGGGATGCAAATTGCAACCATTCATTCCTTTGGAGGAAGGAAGCATAATCTGCAAACGCGGGTGGAGGACAGTTGTACATTTGTACCAAAGAGTGCCGTCAATTCCAGGCTAGTCTTCCTCAGCGCTGATCAAATCAACTCCCTAATTTGTGAAATTGCTTAATTGGGAAATTTTGTCTTGCAGCATCATCGAAAAAGGAGAAGAACACTGTGGTGCTCTTATTGAGGCCCACAAGGAGTGCATGAGAGCCTTGGGTTTTAAGATATGAACAAGATGAAGCACACATCTGAATGTTTGGAAGGTAAATGGATGTCCTCTTGCAATGGTGCCATTTTTCAGGGGAAATGCATGCTGGTAGCTGTCAAGGTGAGGGACGCGGGTGGCACTGTGGGTTAAACCACAGAGCCTAGGGCTTGCCGATCAGAAGGTCGGTGGTTCGAATCCCCACGACGGAGTGAGCTCCCGTTGCTCGGTCCCTGCTCCTGCCAACCTAGCAGTTTGAAAGCACGTTAAAGTGCAAGTAGATAAAGAGGTACCACTCTGGCGGGAAGGTAAACGGCGTTTCCGTGCGCTGCTCTGGTTCACCAGAAGCGGCTTAGTCATGCTGGCCACATGACCCGGAAGCTGTACGCCGGCTACCTCGGCCAATAAAGCGAGATGAGCGCTGCAACCCCAGAGCCGGCCACGACTGGACCTATGGTCAGGGGTCCTTTACCTTAGCTGTCAAGGTAACACTACTACAGCAGTTTAACCCGGGGGGGGGGGGAATTGCAACTCTCCAGAACTCGACCTACTTAATTCAGCCGTGGTGTGTGGATTTGCAGTTCTTTCCCAGCAAGCATTACCACTGCATTTGTGACTGTTGTGTGGAAGATGGAGATTGTTGTGTGATGTCAGGGACATCAGTTGGTTAGAGCTTGTGATATCTACAACACCTCTGTAGGTCTACTCCCCCTTTAAATTTTGTAATATACTGTGGTACTGCTTTTTTATTTTAAAGTTTTTATAGAGTCTCAGAACTTTGTTCTGCCACTGCAGCAGGAGTGCTCAGCTACCATTTTCATTGCTGTCCTCTATCCCCACATTTTCTAACAGGGCCATATGTCCATTGTGTAAAAACATTAAAAAGATCATGAATATAACTTCCCACTTCTCTGGAGCAACTCTGTAACAAAATGTAATATTGTCGATGTAGAAATGCCATATAAATACTATTTTGTCTGCCGTGCTATTCAGGGTTCAGGAAAAGATAATATATGATATATCATTTGAATGTGGTAACGTAAAGGTAAAGGGGCCCCTGACCATTAGGTCCAGTCGTGGCCGACTCTGGGGTTGCGGCGCTTATCTCGCTTTATTGACCGAGGGAGCCGGCGTACAGCTTCCGGGTCATGTGGACAGCATGACTAAGAACCAGAGCAGCGCACGGAAATGCACTTTACCTTCCCGCCGGAGCGGTACCTATTTATCTACTTGCACTTTGATGTGCTTTCGAACTGCTAGGTTGGCAGGAGCAGGGACTGAGCAATGGCAGCTCACCCTGTCGTGGGGATTCGAACCGTTGACCTTCTGATCGGCAAGCCCAAGAGGCTCTGTATTTTAACCCACAGCGCCACCTGCGTCCCACTTGAATGTGGTATATGAATGTAATAATAAAACCAACAAGGGGTCATTACCATGATAATACCTTTTAACATAGTAAACATGCCCCTGCAGATTTAGGCTTGTAAAGAATTTAAAACAGGAAGTTTGGAGTAAATAAACTTCCTTTTATAGTGTATTGTTTGAACATCAAAACATGATGAGAGAGCCTTTCATAAGTACTCTGAATATACTTTACCAAACACCTTAAAAATCGTTGGGCAAAAATGTCAATGTGGCTACTTTGTATGCCTGACAAAAGCAAGCATTGGGTGACTGATGCTTTTAGATTTGTAACAAGCCAGGAGGTAGATTTTGTTAAATGTAAGAGAAATTTAGCACTGGAACAAGTTGCAGACTCTCCTTCCTTGGATAGGCTTCTGCTAGGGATTCTTTGGGTACAAACATTCCGTTGAAAGTTTGAAGTATATGATCCATTGTGTTAACCTTCCAAGTCCAGTAAGTCTTCAAAGTCACTGTGGTTAAGTAAAACCGCCAGTTCTGTGGTGGCAGATAGTGGTGATGATGGTAGACGTAAAATAACTACAAATAAGGCATAAATTAATTCTTGGTATGTTTTACTTGCAGGTATTGCTTTCATTAACTTCCCAACATAGATGTGATATATAGCTAAAACTGCTTCTTATTGGACCTTTTCTCCCTTCTCCCTCTAGGTGATTTGCTGTTGAAATATTAGTTTGGGGACTTTACTCTTCATGGCTGCTTGAACACGGGTGTTTATTTATCAGAAGATGAATTTATTGGGGAAAAATACGATGGATTCTAAAATCAGAGGAGTGTGTTGAGTTACAGTCTTCTTCCATGGCTGGATCCTGCCTAAGGGATAATATGAGAGATTCTCCTGAATAAACGTTTGAGCACAACAAAACTGGCTCCTGTATGATGCAGTTGTATCTGGGAAACTGTGTCACCACCCTCCCATGTGTGCACTGGAATTAAATATGCTAAATCAATAAAAACAAAGTTGGCTGAATTCAGAGATGCTGTTGGATTGGGCAAGTATGTGTGCACGTACTCAAGTTTCCATTGCAATCTGCCAAGCTCCTTTTTCAGCAGAGGTCAAAATCAATTTGTAGATTTGCTGTGTGTAGGCTGCATGGCTACCCAGCTGGGTAGATGGACATAATAATATTTTGTGTGTGCAAAATATAATTCATGGGTTCCAGCATTGTGTAACTTACCTCTCTTGAGAAGGGGCTGCTGTAGTAAATCCATAGCGAAGCTGCACAAATGTCAACTGCGTAGTTGGGTGGTGAAGCTGGGCTGGTTGGTTGGTTTTCTTTTATTTGTTAGATTTGTATTTAATCTTTCTGTCAGGGCTTTCAGGGTAAGATGCAAAGCTTTCCAAGTGACCTTATATTGAAGCGCAGGACAGGCCCTGGCCTGTGTCAAGTTTGTGGATGGAATTATTTTGTTAATAAATAAATAAAATGAAAGCTGCCTCTGACACCTTCAGACTCTGATGCATGTAAAACAGAAAAAAGACGCTTGAAGACATTCCAGTTCTTGTAAATTTCAGGGAATACTAGTCTACTCAATATTACAGAATCAGAATTAGCTCAGTGTAACCCTTGTTTTTCTCCTTACCTGAGAGCAGCTGCGTGGTGGAGTTCAGTTTTCTGTGGAATCGCATCCACTGGCAGTGTTGCTTGAGCAAAATGTGCTCCTACAAGTTGAGGTGCCAGATTTTTATTGGTCTTTCACCACCTCCCCTTTGCAGTGTCCTTGTCGTGTCCTATTACATCTAGAGGGTCCCTCAGGAACAGCTTTGGGGGTGGTGCCTGGGCGTTAAAAATCAGTAGGGGGGGTTCACTAAAAATCTGGTACCCAACTTGCAAGAGGAAAACTTTATTTTTGCTCAGAAAAAGCCACCATGGATACAACCAGTGTTGTTTTTTACTAAAAAATGTTTAGGGGTACTCTCATTTTCACTCAAGAAAATCACCATTTTATAGTTCAGATTGGGAACAATAAATATAGTAAATGGACAAAAGATTCACAAAATGTTTAGGGGTATTCATACTCCTGTGTCCCCCCAGAAAAAAAGCACTGGATACAACAGTTGACTTCTGCATTCTGATACATTTTCTGTATTTTCCACTAGTATTTTTCCTTGAAGTCTGATAATAGATCAGAATTTCTAACTCTCACACAAAGGCCTTATGTATGGAAATCCTAAATTCTGAAATTAGAATAAATTATTAGGACAATCTTATATTTATTTTGGTGCTGGAGGAGACTCTTGAGAGTCCTATAGACTGCAAGAAGATCACACCTCTCCATTCTGAAGGAAATCAGCCCTGAGTGCTCACTGGAAGGACAGATCCTGAAGCTGAGGCTCCAAGACTTTGGCCACCTCATGAGAAGAGAAGACTCCCTGGAAAAGACCCTGATGTTGGGAAAGATGGAGGGCACAAGGAGAAGGGGACGACAGAGGACAGTTGGACAGTGTTCTCGAAGCTACCAGCATGAGTTTGACCAAACTGCGGGAGGCAGTGGAAGACAGGAGGGCCTGGCGTGCTCTGGTCCAGGGGGTCACAAAGAGTCAGACATGACTAAATGACTAAACAAGAATATTTAATGGCTGAAGGCTTGGATGAGGACAAATGTTTGCCCGGAGCCTAAAGACATTTAATGATGGCGCCAGGCGAGCCTCAAGAGAGAGCCACCATAGAAAAAGCCTGTTCTCCTGTCACCCTCCAAATCTCTCAGGGAGGGGGACACAGAGAAGGGACTCGGGTGACAGGTGCAGGTTCTGGGTCGGTTCATGTGGGAAGAGGTTTGTCCTTCAGGTCTTGAGTCATGGAAGGCTTCATTGGGCAGCACCAGCACTTTGAATTGGGCCCTGCGTACCTGTTCCCAAGGAGGCCAGGCAAGATTAAACACACTTCAGATGTTCTGAGAATACTGAGATCTTTGCACCCAAAACTTACTTTGGATAACTTAAATCTGCAAGGACATGTTATCTTACAGTGTGTGAGGTGTCTTTTGTCCCTCTTGATGAAAGGGTCAACCTGATATTTTGTATTCAGTGACACAAAACGATTATCTTTAAGGTGTGCACCAACCATAATTTCTTTAGGACATTGTTTTGCATTTCAAACTCTTAAAACTCCAATCCTTGCATACTGCCACTTGTTTTCAAGGAAGCCAAGAAAAATGTGAAGTATACCACACTGTTATCTGCTCAGAAGTGTGAGATCAGTTTAACTCTGCGGGTTTTACAGGGTGATTTGAAGTCTGAATACCATCTTAATCCTGGGTTCCTTGTTGCCTGATAGTTCTTTCCACTTCACATAAAATCATAAATGAAAATGCCTTATTGTAGGACGGCCAGCTTCTGTTTTCTTGGGGATCACTCTATTTTGAAAGAAAGGGAAAAGACTATATTTTAATCCATTTTTAATGGAATAATTTTCATCTCTTTCCGTTTCCCCCCTCCCTGCCCAATGCAGTATTTACACATAAATCTGCTCACATTCCTGCTCAGAAAAACTACCAGTATATTGATAATGTAAGGTAAGGCTTGTCTGACATTGCTTTGTGACAGCAGCTCAGCTGTCTTCCTACCTCACTGAGAAAGATAGGGATACTTGTCCCCCTCAGACCCCCGGTACTCCAGAGCTTTCGAAACTTTTCACGTCGCTGATACACTTTTTAGACATGCTTCAGTTCGTGACACAGTAATTCAGTTTTCCTAGCAAAAGGGAGGTTAAAATAAACCATTTCCAGCCCCGGGACGAGCGCCGGGAGCATTTACGTGACACAGCTACACACTAAAGCCGACACATTAAAATGTCATGACACAAATTTGGAAAGCTCTGCTGTGCTCTCTTTCTCTGCAGTCAGACCCAGCACAGCGGTGGCTTTAAGATCGGTAGCATAATTTTAAAAGTGGAAAGTCCACTCCACTGCGTCTGTGGTGTCCTTCTAGTGGCTGAAAAATAGGAATCAAAGCGTTCCAGCACTGGAAGGAAGCAGTTCTGGGGAACACCAAGCAAGAAATGAGACTGCAAAGGAGCTGTTCTTTTGACATATCACTGTTAAAGGTCAAGCAAACTTCCTTCGTTGACCACTCCAGTCTTCTGTCTGAATCATTTATAAAATTTGCAGCCTCGAAATATCGCAGCTTGTTTGACCAGACTCTGATCCACAGCTTCTGTCTAATTTTTAAAACCCCAGCTGTCGCCACTTCCTTTGGATACTGTGCCAACACCCCCCCTCCCTAAAATCCTACCTTATCTTGTTTTCTGTGGCTTGCAGTTCATGATAGAGGAAATTCCTCCCCCCGCCTTGTGATATGAGAGGGGATTTGTTCTGCCAAGCAAGCCCTGGGAACAGACTGAAAGCATCTACACAGACAATACTCTGTGTAATCTAGTTCTCTGGTTATGTTAAGTGGCCATCGCCCGGCTGGCCTCTCTTCGCCTCTCAGCCTCTGCTTCTTGGATTTCAATTCCAAACATGGTTATCTATTTGGGGTCGCTCTTCTTTCCACGGCCGGGTGCTATACATTCCAAATTAAACACAAGTACCCTCCGCTGCTCCCTTCCCCGCCCCTTTTGCCCTGGCTGCTGCTCTTTCACCGAGTCTATTTTCATTTTCTCACACGGCCAGCAAGGGAGCAAGCCGCAGACAACTCTTCCCAGCTCTTCTTCCAGGGAGTTCTCAAACTGAAAGGCGTTGCTTCCTTCCAGATTGAATTTCTGGTGCTTCTGCAAGTTGGTGCAGCTGATTGGTATGAGACTGGACTCCAGCAAACCACATTTGGTCTTCCACTTTGTGGGAAGGGGTTGCTGGGGGTGTTTGGTGCAAACACATTAATAATTTTGAAAATGTTCTGGGGACCCACAGGCTGAGAACGGCTGCTCTAAGACATAGCTACTGTTCAGCTCCAGTTCTAGGAACTGGTTTTACAAGTTCTTCAGTATAATTTTTCAAGACATATTGGTGCAGAGGTTAGGAGACAAGGAAAATGAGTACAAACAGCACCCTCTTGGATCGGATTGTTTTCTACCCAATTTTATGTGAGGGATGGAAGCAGTATATGGAAGGAGCGATCTATCACCTTGCTGGCTTCCTCCTCCTCCTGGGATTCATGGGAGGAAGTGGAACGGTTGGCTCCATCTTCATCTTTGGCTTCTTCACCGCTGGTTTCTTGTGCGCTGCGCTCTGGGGCTGGCTAGATGCTTGTGGACTGGACATCTTCATCTGGAACATGCTCTTAGTTCTGATCTGTCTGCTTCAGTTGGCTCACCTAGTTTACCAACTCCGTCAACACGCCTTCCCTGAAGAATTTGACATGCTCTACAAGCAACTGTGCCAGCCTCTGCAAGTGCCACCTCAGGTCTACAAAGAAATCGTCAAGTGTTGTGAGGAACAGGTTTTGCCACTGGCCAAAGACCAGAACTATGCTGTGGAGGGCAAGACCTCAATTGATCGTCTGTCATTCTTGTTGTCTGGCAGGTAGGCCTCACCTTCCCCTGACAATATTTTTTCTTGGCATTAGAAAACTGACCCAACTGGTGCTTTTGAAAAATAGATGGAGTGGCATGAAAAACAAACCAACCCATGCATTCTCCGAGTTCTCACATAGGTGGTAAAACCTGTGTCTTGGCTGTATCACTTTACTCTGCATTTGAGGACTCAACTCATGTGATGGAATACCCCCTTCTTGTCATTTTATCCAAAAAGACCTTGTATGCCATTGAGAAGACTAGGTTAGAACTTCCTCTCTGGCATCTAGTTTTCTTTATTGAGGGCTCCTTTGGTGTGTATGTATGAAGAAGCATTCCATCCCATACCCTCCAACATTTATCCAATGAAAATAGGGACGTCCTATTCCAAAATAATAATAATAATAATATTGATACCCTGCTCATCTGACTGGGTTGCCCCAGCCACTCTGGGCAGCTTCCAACATATATAAAAACACAGTAAAAAAGTAAACATTAAAAAACTTCCCTATGCAGGCCTGCCTTCAGATGTCTTCTAAAGGTCTTCTAAAGGGTCACATAACTCTATACTTTCCAACATTTCTCCGATGGAAATAGGGACATTCTAAGGAAAACCGGGACATTCCGGGATCAAATCAGAAACCGGGATGTCTTCTGTAAATCCAAGACTGTCCCTGGAAAATAGGAGCACTTGGAGGGTCTGAAGTCCCAGCTTGTCTGCTGAAGTTGTCCAGCCCAGCTTTACCTTCCTACAGATTTAGGCTTTTTTTTTTACCTTCTAAACATGGCTATCCATGGGAAAAGGGGAAGGAGGGTGAGGGCTTAAGGACCCCATCCATAATGCTTTTCTGTTGCAAATGGTCTCCTCCTGAGGATGCTTTGCAGGACTGTTGAGCTAAAGTTGCACATGGCCCACAGTCGTGTAATTTGGCCCTCAGCATTTAGGGAGACAGGTGTACTGTAAAATTAAGGTCATGGCTCCTTGCAAGTGAATACTTGTTTTCAGGTAAGGTTACCTGACAAAGCAGATAAAGCAGCTGGCAAACAACAAGGATGCTTCAGCTTCTCAAAGGGTTATAAAAAAATACAAGCTTTAAATGTGGCAGCTGAAGGTTGGTTCAGCGTTTGTTTGTATGATGGGGAACAGTTACCATAATTGGGCTGTATCTATTCCATTCTTTTCTGTCATAAGTTGGTTAAGTCTGAAGGGTTCCACACTCAAGGGATCTGCAATTTTACATTAAAAAAGAAAAATATTTCTACCGTGGGCCAGGTTTTACCTAGTTTGCTTGATTTGTTGGCTTGTTTTAGTTTATGCCGTGATGCAGAATTTGGAGACTGTTTTGTCACAACCTGGAGGAATTAGGGGTTGGGGCACATAAAAGGTAAGGGAAAGGAGATGGCTGCACAAAGGGTGGGAAGGGGATTTGCAATCTGTATTGGCCCCTGAGCTATAGTTCCCTTCTCTTCCTGCTTGCGTGTTCCATCAAAAGCCCCCAACAACAGAAAAACAAAACAGAGACATGTTTCCTGGTATAGAGCCTGAAACTTGCTTAGATAATCAGAAATGAAGAGTCGGTGGCCAGTTTTTGCACCAAAGACCATACTGTCCCATCAGGGGGAAAAGGCGGTGTATAAATATAGAAGATAGTGGTACCTCGGGTTACAGACGCTTCAGGTTAAATACACCACTAACCCAGAAATAGTACCTCAGGTTAAGAACTTTGCTTCAGGATGAGAACAGAAATCGCGCGGCAGCAGCAGGAGGCCCCATTAACTAAAGTGGTACCTCAGGTTAAGAAGAGTTTCAGGTTAAGAACAGACCTCCAGAACAAATTAAGTACTTAACCCGAGGGACCACTGTAATATAGAATACAGTGGTGCCTCGCAAGACGAAATTAATCCGTTCCGCGAGTCTCTTCGTCTTGCGGTTTTCTCATCTTGCGAACCACGGCTATTAGCGGCTTAGCGGCTTAGCGGCTATTAACGGCTTAGCGGCTTTAAGAAAAAGGAAACAAACTCGCAAGAACTCGCAAGACGTTTTGTCTTGCGAAGCAAGCCCATAGGGAAATTCGTCTTGCGGAACGACTCAAAAAACGGAAAACTCTTTCGTCTTGCGCGCTTTCCGTCTTGCGAGGCATTCGTCTTGCGAGGCACCACTGTAATAATTGCCATTATCACACAATTCTCAATGCAGCCTTTAATCTTGTAAAATGTCATATGCTGTATTAAATGATGATGATGATGATGATGCAATTGCCTAAGCGGAACTTGAGCTACTCTGCCTGTTCCCTGATGCAAATTATCCACAATTGGTGCCATCGCTGTCTATCCTGTGCTGTACACATGTGCTGCTTATAATAAGCATGTATCCTGCCTTCCAGGGGTTGTTTTGGCCTTTTCTTTTTGGGTTTTATGCAGAAATTTCGGTTCCTACCTTTATCAAGTGATATTTTGCTGTGCAACTCATGTCGAAAACCATTCACTCCGTTTGGAGTGGTTTTTTGGAAGCTCTTTCCCATCTCTTTCTACTTTTACAACCCTGAGAGACATGTTGGGGTCCCCTCACCCCACCCACCCACTCCGGAGCTATTTAAGACCTGTGTGCTCTCTGGGAAGGCAAAAGAGAAACTCAGACCTGGAACCAAATGCCTATCAGCTCCTGAAGTTGGCCCGCTAATATTTTGTACCAGGACGTCCAAATTTCCATCGGAGAAATGTTGGAGGGTATGCATTTGTTAGGATAGGTTAATATTTTATATTATAAACTGCCTTGACTGCCTTAATGCAAAGATGGGATGTGAATGCAATAATACATATTTTTTAAAAAATGTTTGCACAACTGTATGAGGGCCACTTACCGTATTTTTCACCCTATAGGACGCACCGGCCCATAGGATGCACCTAGTTTTTTTGGGGGGGATAAAGAAAAAAAATTTATTCTCCCCCCCCCCAGCCGCGGGACCTCCCGCAGGGCTCCCCAGCCTGCGGATGTCTTCCTGAAGCGCCGGGCGCTCTGCTTTCAGCGCCCCGCGCTCCAGCAAGCAAGCTGCTATCCGCAGCCTGGGGAGCCCTGCAGGAACTCCCGCGGGCTCCCCAGGCTTATGGATAGCTTCCTGAAGCCTGGAGAGAGAGAGGGGTCGGTGCGCACCGACCCCTCTCGCTCTCCAAGCTTCAGCAAAAGCCTGCATTTGCCCCATAGGACGCACACACATTTCCCCTTCATTTTTGGAGGGGAAAAAGTGCATCTTATAGGGCGAAAAATACGGTACCTGCTCCCACATATACCTGCCAGACCATTTTCCACGTGCCCCTACTGTCAGATGCGAGATCAGTGGCACAAGAGTAATTTCTGTGGAGATCCACCTTGGGGTGGGGGCAGGTATTATACTGCACTGTATAAACTTTGGGAAGAATTTTTAAAAAATGAATCTGCTTTAATATATGTCTTTTTCCTTCCCCCTGTCCCAATTAGGGTTAGAGTAAGCCAGGACGGACAATTTCTACATTATGTCTTCCCATATCAATTCCTGGATTCCCCTGAATGGGAATCACTGCCCCCTTCGGAAGAGGGAACATTTCAGGTAACCTCACAGAACACAATTGCATCTTTAGGTTTTTTTGAGATTGTGTGTTGTGTGTGTGGTGGTTTTTCTTTGTTTGTTTACTTTCTGGGTCAGAATCATATAACAACAAGAACAGCAACTGGTTCCCCCAGCCACTCTGGGCAACTTCCAACAAAGTAAAACACAGTGAGACATCAAGCATTAAAAACTTCCCTATACTGGGCTGCCTTCAGATGTCTTCTAAAAGTCAGATACAGTCAAACCTCGGTTGTCAAAGGTAATCCGTCCTGGAAGCCCGTTCCAGGCTTCCAAAACGTCCTGACAACTGAATTACGGCTTTTGATCGGTTGCAAGATCTTCCTGCACTCAGCAGAAGCCATACTGGATGTTTGGCTTCCAAGAAATGTTTGAAAACCGAAGCATTTACTTCCGGGTTTTTGGCATTCGGGAGCTGAATAGTTCGGGAGCCAAGGTTTGACTGTACAGTCATACCTCGGGTTGAATGTGCTTCGGGTTGAGCGTGTTCGAGTTGCACTCCGCAGCAACCCAGAAGTAACGGAGCGCGTTACTTCTGGGTTTCGCCTTTTGCACATCCGCTCAAAATGACATCACGCGCATGCGCCGAAGCGCCGAAACATGACCCGCGCACGCGCAGATGTGTGGACACAGGTTACGTTTGCTTCTAGATGCGAATGGGGCTCTGGAAAGGATCCCGTTCGCATCTAGAGGTACCACTGTAGTTGTTTATTTCCTTGACATCTGATGGGAGGGTGTAGTAGAGGCTGGGGTACAAAGAACTGCTCTAGTCATTCCATGCACTCAATAAATCTTTGGACTTATGTTTCTTAGTAATCCAACCTCTACCCCACTGATGCCACATAGCAAGCTGCATACAAATTGTACCTCAGAAGTTGAACAGAATCCGTTCCGGAAATCCGTTCGACTTCCAAGATGTTTGGAAACCAAAGCGCGGCTTCTGATTGGCTGCAGGAAGCTCCTGCAGCCGATCGGAAGCCGCCAAAGCCCCGTCAGACATTCAGCTTCCAAAAGAACATTCGAAAACCGGAATATTCACTTCTGGTTTTTGATCTTTCGGGAGCTGGAACGTTTGACTCCCAATGCGTTCAGCAGCCGAGGTACGACTGTACTTTGAAAGCGAGGAGACTTTCAAAAGCAATGTCTGTGGTGATCTATGGAGATCTGTCGTTAAACAAAAGAAAGGTGAAAATCCAAACTGGGGATGCTTAAAATAGCTGTTTGGATCTCCAAAGCAACTGGATCCCCAAAGCCCAAGGGTTGGGATTCAAAGCTGAGGTCTCCTGGGTTCAGCTTGCCTTTAAATTCTCTTGAGACCAGCTGTAGACGTTTGAAATGACCATGACATTCCAGAGGAAAGTGGACTTTGGGGTTAACGTCTTCATTATTATGGGACATCCATGTCACAGTATTTTTAACACTGGACAACTCCAGACGCCATAAGATTGCTCTATCAAAAAATTCTTTTAAAACACTCAGTAAGCCCTCCCCAAATCGCCCAAATACAATTCCTGCACAATGTTTGGAATGAATGGTGTCTCCCTGTGTCTGAGGTCCTTTTAAGAATTCAGAGTCAGGATCCGTGACACGGTAAGAGTTTTGTCGTCTGGGCTGATAAATGGACTGTTCACTATACTCAATGGGACTGTGATGGCCTGCAGGAAACTTTAAAATAGAACGCACGGTGACAGGCTGTGGAAAAATCTCAAATATCCATTCCTGTATGGAGTGCCCAGCAGCTGCCTCTGAAGCAAACGTCTTCATGGAATAGCTGTGCTACAAAAGTGAAGGGGGGGTGTAGATAAGATATGGGACACAGATTTAGGAAGAAAGGAGGTGGCAAATTTGGGCCCTTTCCAGGATGCTTCAAGTCTTAGCTGTCTGTGAATGCATAGGCTGCAATGTTCTTTGATGCTTGCCATTTTCCAAATTCATGGGCTGAACATCGCAGACATCATACCGTACTTCTTTTATACGTTCTGTACTGTTTAGTTGCTGCCTAAACTAAAAATGTGACATACATTATATTTCCTCAATTTTCTTTTTCTTTTTTAAACCAAAAATGTCACATCTCTAATTTTGCCCTGAAGCTCGTAAACTGGCTGAAATTTCCTTGAAGCATCAGATTATTTTTAAAGCCTGAGGCTGTATCAAGGAAACAAGCACAGTAGTGTTCCTCTTGCTTCCCTTAGAAGCCAATCCTTTTCCCCTATTAGGTTTGACTGCGTTTCTTGTAGAAAACAGCGAAAACTGATTTTTATTTCATTGGAATAACATTATGTGACTTCACTATAAGCTGACCAAGTTTTCTAACGGGCTGGGAAATGCTGCTTGGAAAATGGGTTTCTCATCCCCTGCAGTCTTTCAGAGCTCCCTTAGGAAAGCGATCCTATTCTGGCTCCCCTCAGTGAGGAGGCCGAAGCAACTGCTTGCTTGGCAGCAGCATTAAATATCAGACTCAAGGACATGGCGTGTCGCCTCTCCATGTTCTACTTCCCAAGCCACCATTCCTTGGGTCTTGGCCAAGGAGATTCCTGGACCCAGGGAGGCCTCTAGGAGAATGTGGCTGAGCTCTTCCATCTTGCCCGTGCCAACGTCTCATTTACCCACTCCAGTGAATGAAATCCTGTGTACATTTCAAAAGTCTGGGGAAACACACATCTTTTCTCTCTTGCCAGAGTTTTACATTTCCCCAAACCTGTAAAAACAAAAGAAGCAGCTCTCATTTAAATGATTTCAGATAAAATACAGGAACGGTGTTGGGTGTCAGAGAGAATTGGCACCATACGGTGGTTTGTGATATTTGCTTTATTTACACCTGTGCAAGCATAACGCACACAGTGGAGGCAAATGTTATTCATTACATTTATCGGAGGCCTCCTCACCAAACTTCTCTTGGCAATAAACAAATTAAACAACCTATCATTGCAAATCTAAGAAAACGTCTAACAAAAATCCTAAAAACTGTAAGAAATTATGTCCGAGCAGAGTTTGTACATACAGTTCAGCCACATATTATTAAGCTGTGGTTGACACTTGTATGTATGAACTCTGCTGGAACATATGATTATGGATTTTAGGATTTGTTGTGTAGCTATTTGCAGAGCGGCAGAGAGCATCTTTGTGATGTCAAAACACCCCCTAAAATCACGGTGAGATTCAGAGATTAAAATGTTAATGTCCACTATTTCATAATTTTAAGTAATTTTTGAAGACTCTGAAAATAAAAAGAACTTCACCTGGCACCAAAAATACCTTATGGTTGATGACAGGTAAGCCTCTTTGAGAAGAACATTCCACAGTAGTCTGCATTTGTGTGTCACTGTTAAAAAGGTCCTCTTCTGTGTCAACATCTCCCATATATCTGATTGTGAGGATGCTTGAAGGAGAGCCTCAGCTGATAATCATGGGGCACAGGTAGATACATCTGAGAAGAGGTTATCTTTCAGGTACTAAGGCGTTTTATAGTAAAAAACACTCCTACAGTACAGTACAAACTTTTCTAGGCATATTTATTGTAAAATCTCCTTTCCAAAAACATTTGAATTCAAAAGCAATATAAACACCCTCTCATTAATCTGGAGCCCTCATACATTTTTTGCACTGGGGGGTGTTACGTACTGAAGTTCTCACCCTGGGCCAGCAGGGGGGTACTGTAGATAGTTTTCACTCAGGTCCACATATGCAAATAAGGGATTGAAAGTGACTTTCAGTGATTGGATAGTTACAGAAAGTGGTTACTGTTGCGTTCTAGTGGAGCTCTATATAAGCAGGCTGGCTGAACCCTTCAGCTCAGTTCTGCTCTGGCCTGTGAATAAACAAGAGCTGTTTGAAGAATCGCTGTGTCGTCTGATATGTTCACCCACAACTTAACAATAAGCTTCATCGGGGTGTCCCCCCCTTGAGCCCCCTTCACTTACCAGCTGTGGCCCAATACATAACACCTCCCACCCCCAATGCGGAGCCTGGGAAGGGGGCTGGGGAGGTCATCCAGAAGAGCCTCCCCTTGGAGCCTGCCTGGCTGCGGCCTGAGTTGGGGGGGGGCTGCCTCTGCCGGGGGGTAGGCACGCAGGAGAGGGAGCGGCAGCGCAGGCACCCCTCTCCTTGGCAGGCGAGGCTGCACCTCCGTGGCCGGGAGACGCGCTTTGGGGCCAGGGCCGCGTGAGCGCGCAGAGGGAGTTCTGGCGGGGAAGGCGTGCTCCCTGGTATCTGGAGGCCCCAGTTGGGCAGCCCGGGCTCCGTCTGCTCGGCCCCAGCTGCTTTGCCGAGCCCAGGTCCGCATCCACGGCGGCCGAGACCCAGGGGTGTTATGTACTGAAGTTCTCACCCTGGGCCAGCAGGGGGATACTGTAGATAGTTTTCACTCAGGTCCACATATGCAAATAAGGGATTGAAAGTGACGTTGAGTGATTGGATAGCTACAGAAAGTTGTTACTGTTGCGTTGTTGTGGAACTCTTTATAAGCAGGCTGGCTGAACCCTGCAGTTCAGTTCAGTTCTGCTCAGGCCTGTGAATAAACAAGAGCTGTTTGAAGAATCGCTGTGTCGTCTGATATGTTCGCCCACAACTTAACAGGGACAGTATTGCAGCAGAAGTTTGGACAGCGTGGTGACTTTTTTTTACACTCGATAAAAAGGTCTGATGTAGCCACCTCTCCTCTCTCCTTCCCTTTGCAGGTAACGCTGACAGCAGAGACTGACTGTAGCTTCATCACTTGGCAAAGGAAGGATCTCTACTTGCTCCTGGCGAAAGAGCGCTATATTGCCCGCCTCTTCTCAATCCTCCTTGGCTTTGACATCTCAGAGAAACTGTATGCCCTGAATGAGAAGCTTTTTGCTAAATTCGGCTTGCGGTTTGACATCCGCCTTCCCAGCCTCTACCACGTCCTGGGACCTGCCTCTTCTGACATGGAGCTGGAGAAAGAACCAGAGGAAAACGAGGGTCCAGCAGCACCCTCAGGCCTTTCGCCCACCTTTGTCCAGACAGCTCCTGCGGCCCCTTGCACTGTGTCTCCTCCTGCCCCTCCTGCCCATCTCAGGAGACCTCGGCCTGACAGTGACCTGTCTGGTGAGGATTCTACCAGTCTTGTATTGGAAGATTTTGCTGAGTTGACAGGGTCCTTTATGGACTATTTGAGCGAAGGGGAATATATGAAGTGAGGGCACTTCTAACATGGGCACACATCACCCTGTGTAAGTAAGTACTCTTTGTGACGTTAGGAAGAAACACAACTGTGTGTGCTGGGAGGTGGTGTTTGATGTGTCCAGCATGCTGTGCACACCATTGTGCTGGTTTTCCTTGCAGGATGTGAAGGACGCACATCTAGACTCCCAAAGGCTAGTCTGAGTCCTCCTTACAGCATGAAGTAGTGTCAGGCTTTGGGGAATTGGCTTCCTCCCCCATGGCAGTAACAAAAGATCAAACGAAAGGAGCATCTTACCAGTTAGAATCTTTAATAATCACAGTGAGAGAACAAAGAGCGCGTCTCCTAGAAATGGCGGTGCTCCTAATTAAGGGTTACTCCTCCCCCTTCGTCCCTATTAATCTACGCCACTCCTACGTCTTGTAACCTGAGCTTGTCACTTCTGCGTTTTCAGTTCTAACACTTTCTGAGCTCTCCATGTCCTTGGAGAAGGGGGGTGAATGCTGTCCAGAAACTGTGAATCTGTTAACTCTCTCTCTTCTAATGTTTCTTCTGCTAGCTGTTCCCCATCCAGTACTTCCCAGCTTCTGCCTTCTGAACTGTGCCCCTCTGCAAACCACTATTCCAAATCTATACTGTCCTCCTGCTCTTGGGAAGATACAGGGGGAGGGGGAGGCTCCCACCATTCCTTCTCAGTGCAGCCCTCCTCAGCACTGTCCCTGGCAAGTGGCCCCGATCCAAGCAGCTTCAAATGTGAGGTTTGAGCCTCAGGCCTGCCTGGATGTTATACCTGCTAGATATGTAGGTTCAGCATAAGCTTTCAAAGCCAGTTCAAGAAGTTGCAAATTAGGACCTGACAAAGTGTTGTTATTTATGGACCTTAAGGTCCTCCGCGGGGCAGACCAGGAGAGGCGGTCCCGTAGGTACGAGGGTCCTAGTTTTGAAACGTTTGAAAACCGAAGACTCAACAGCTGACAGCTAGGCCTCCGGATCTTGCACATAGTGGAAGCCACGTGGCATGTTCGACTTCTGAGGCTTGTTCAAAAACCAAATAATTTACTTCTGTGTTTACAGCATTCATAAACCAAAATGTTTGTCAACGGAGACGTTCGAAAACCGAGGTACCACTGTATCTCCTTGATGGTTCTCCCAGGCAATTTCCTGAGCACAGGTTTGGCTCAATCCAGCATCTGGCAGCCCATTTCAATACTCCAAGCACTGATTGAACGCCAACATTTACTAGATCCACAAATTATGGGTGCATTGCACCCATAAACTCTGGAACCCACAAACGCATAACAATGTGGATAAAAAGTTCTAACAAGAATGACAATATGCTTTTTGTCCTGCAGCTTCTGGAAGCCTCCTGAGGAGTAATCGCCAGGCCTCTGCAGAAAGACGAGCCCCTCTGGCTCCTACGCAAACCCCAGAACTCTAGAGAAAGAGTTTGGACTCTCAAAGACGTCACCATATGGTCACTCATGGCTGATCATAATGGTGCTCCTTACTTGTGTGTCGACACGTGGATTGCACCAGCACCAGCATGGCACACTTGGAAGTGCATGCATGAGACTGAAGTGTGATGTTGGAACACTTCCCACAGATTGTTGACCTGCAGTGGCACCGGGCTCTTTCGGATTGTCTGTATTCTTGAGCACTTGCCGTATGGTTCTGCTGTGAGGTGCATTAAACGTCTTGGAAATGGTATCTATAGCTAATGAATGGAATTTGCTCTCTGTTGAGGGGCTGTTGAGTAGTCTTCTATTGCAAAACATGGTGGGAGGGAATTACAGTGGCACCTCGGGTTAAGAACTTCATTCGTTCTCAAGGTCCGTTTTTAACCTGAAACTGTTCTTAACCTGAAGCACCACTTTAGCTAATGGGGCCTCCTGCTGTCGCTGTGCCGCCGGAGCACGATTTCTGTTCTCATCCTGAAGCAAAGTTCTTAACCCGAGATAATATTTCTGGGTTAGCGGAGTCTGTAACCTGAAGCATCTGTAACCTGAGGTACCACTGTATGTATATCCTTTTAAATGAGTTTGTGGAAGGGAGGTTATTGGTTCATTTTGGTTTTTCTTTTATTATGTATTTTGTGTTTTCATTTTGCAGTTTTAATGTTGTGAACTGCCCTGTGATCTTCAGAGGAAGGACAGTATGCATTAATAAATAACAACAATAGTAATAATAGCAGTAGTCACAACAATGATAATAGACAGCGTAGTGTTGAGTGGTATTGCTTCGCTTCAGACCCTGTTTCTTACAACACAGAGAATAGCCAGAATACAGTGGTACCTCGGGTTACAGACGCTTCAGGTTACATATGCTTCAGGTTACAGACTCTGCTAACCCAGAAATAGCACCTCAGGTTAAGAACTTTGCTTTAGGATGCGAACAGAAATCGCACAGTAGCGGTGTGGCGGCAGTGGGAGGCCCCATTAGCTAAAGTGGTACTTCAGGGTAAGAACAGTTTCAGGTTAAGAACGGACCTCCAGAACGAATGAAGTTCTTAACCCGAGGTACTATTTCTGGGTTAGCGGAGTCTGTAACCTGAAGCGTCTGTAACCTGAAGCGTCTGTAACCCGAGGTACCACTGTATCCTTTTCTTCATGTCTTCCGATCTGGCTGACGAAGGATAAACGCTGCCTAGCTGGAACTTAAATTTAAGAGGGGATGGGTGGAAGGAGGAAGTCATAACCTACGCATATGACTGACCTTTCTTGCAGTAGAGTGACTTCTACCTCAACTGGGGGTACAAACAGAGGCGGAGCTAGCTGCTCCGGCACCCATGCTGTGCACTCGGGGGGGGGCAGGGTTAGCTACTCACGAGGAGTGCTGCCTGCGGCGAGCAGTGAGTGTCCCTGGGGGGCAGGGCGGCGATGTCACCCCCTCTGTCAGGGATGACACCCAGGGTGGCCCCACACACCACCCACCCCTTCCTCCGCCAGTGGGTACAAACTGGTAGTTTGGGAACTGATGGCTCTGTAAACAGGGTGCAGGAGAACAGAATGTGGATGTGAGCCAAAGGGCGACTCCAGGGCAACTCAAGAACATTGAGGGAAACTGATAGGATAACGTTTGAATCGGAGAGTTAAGCTGCTCTCTAGATGCTGCCTCCGGAAACAAGATCTGACATGGCCAAAAGCCAGGGATGTGGGCAGTTGTAAGCAGAAGAACTGCTCAACTGGATCAGGCCAAAGGCACATTTAGTCCAACATCCTGTTCTCATGGTGGCCAATCAGATGCTTCTATGAGACAGGAAGCTCACAAGCAAGACCTGGGAACCCCCACGTGGGATTCCCAGTAAATGATATTCAGGAGCCTGCTGGCTCCAACACTGGAAGCAGAACATAGTCATCATGCCAGCAGCCACGGATAGTTCCATCCTGCATGGATTTGCCTACTCCTCTTTTAAAGCCATCCACGGTGGTAGCCACTATTGCATCTTGTGGGAGCAAATTTACTATGCACTGTGTAAATAAGGATTTTATTTTGTCCAACCTCCAGCTTCACTGGACGGGGCCAAGTCCTAATGTTATGAGAAAGAGAGAACCTCTCTCTATCCACGTTCCCCACACCATGCACAGGTGGCACTGTGGTCTAAACCACAGAGCCTCTTGGGCTTGCCAATCAGAAGGTCAGCGGTTCAAATCCCCGCGACAGGGTGAGTTCCCATTGCTTTATCCTAGCTCCTGCCAACCTAGCAGTTCGAAAGCAGCCCAGTGCAAGTAGATAAATAGGTACCGCTCCGGCGGGAAGGTAAACGGCATTTCTGTGCGCTCTGGCTTCTGTCACAGTGTCCTGTTGCGCCAAAAGTGGTTTAGTCATGCTGGCCGCATGACCCGGAAAGCTGTCTGTGGACAAATGCCAGCTCCCTCGGCCTGAAAGCGAGATGAGCACCGCAATCTCATAGTCACCTTTGACTGGATTTTCCAGGGGTCCTTTACCTTTTACCTTACCTTGCATCATGTCCTGCTTTACATTTTCTCCAAATTAAAAAGGCCCCCAAATTGCAATCTTTCCTCGTAGGGGACTTGCTCCAGCCCCTCAATCATTTTGGTTGCCCTTGTTTGAACCTTTTCCAGCTCTATATCCTTTTTCAGGCAAGACAACCAGAACGAGACACAGTATTCCAGGTGCAATTGCATCATAGATTTTTATAATGGCATTATGATATTGGCAGTTTTATTTCAATGACTGCATCACAGAATTCACCTTGTTTCACAGCTACCACTCAGTGACACAACATTTTTGTTGACTATCACAACCCCAATACTTTTTTCCTTGCCAATTCAGGCACCCTAAATGCAGTGCTTCTCCCCCTGATGGTATGCCACAGTGCAGAACCTATAATATATAAACCACACAATCCTCTTCCTTTTGTTATGTTTTATTATTGACTCAGTAAATCACATAGTTGTATCCAGTGCTCCCCCCCCGGGGGTACTCAAGGGTACGCAGTACGGGCATATTTTTACCTAGAAGAAAAGCACTGGCTGTATCCTATATTTCTTTATTGGTAGTTGTGAGGACCTTTTCTTTTCTTTTTTAAGCATGCAATCCTTTTTCCTTCTTACCACTTTGAACAATCTGATGTCATAATACATAGTTTACGTGCTACTTGCTTTGACATGTTAGGAAAGCATAGCAGCTGCAGCAGAACCTACAAACAGAATATCAAAGGAGACTATTAGCATCAGTGAATACCTGAGTCAAAATCATGATATCAGACACTCCTCAGTGATGACTGCACTTGTTTTACAAATGGTTGAGTTTTAGCAGCTGTTATCGGAAACAATACGACCCCTACAGGTAACACTCGTCACTAGAAATGGGCAAACTCTTCCTGGGTTGACTTGGGAATGGAAGTGTTCCCAGTCTCTCATAGTCTGCTGACTCCCAGCATGCTGTCAGCTAGTATACTGAGGTGATGTAGAAGAGGGAGGGAATAATAAAATCTTCCTCTTGCAGGGAGCTTCAGGATAACAGCACTATGAAACATCAAGCAAAGTGACATGTAAAGAACGCAACATTAATTATGTCTAATCTACGGACAAGAATGTGCTATGAACAAATGCAGCTCACATTTGCTTCAAAGAATTCCATTCCTAAACACTGAGAGAACACGGGGACTGAGAGAATTTCTGTATCTGCATCCACTTAGTTCCCCAACAACTGGGCTTCTATCACATTTTTTTATTTTAGAATATATGCCTCCACCCTTAGGAGTCTTCTTGTTATCTCTTAGCTCAGTTGTGCTAATCACAGGCAACGGTGAGGCCACGTAGAAGTGGGTTGTTTCGCGTCAGAGTCAGCAGCTGAGGTAGACAGAATATCTCCTTACTGTAAAAGAAAAAGACTGAAGTTAAAGGATGCTAACAAATCCAGCGATAGGGTTGGGAGGCTTTTTGGTAAAGGTATATTAAATCAGCCAGCATGGTGACTAGAAGATTAGACAACAGCTCTCATCGTACAACTTTTTTGGCCCTTTTGAGAATTGCAGTCCAACATCTGCAGCACATCAAGCCGGTTACCCAGTGCACATCTGTCCTGCGCAAGTCCAGAGCCACAGGGCCTCAGGTCTAGGGCCGGCCCATCCATGAGGCAAGGGGAAGCGGCCACCTCAGGGTTGTTCAGGCTGTTTTGTCAGCCTGCTGGCCTTCATTTTCATTTCATTTCACTTTTAATTTGTATACCTCTTTTCTATATTACGATAGAAAAGGCGATTTACAAGCTGAAGAAACAACAAAACAGACAGCAAAGATCATGCACCTTATAATCATCTGATCCAATACCAAAAAGTCATAATACAAACATAACTTTAAAATATACAACTTGTATCAAATAAAGCAATATTCAATTGGGATATAATAGTAAACAGTAGAATTATATGTCAGCCAATAATGAACAGTTTACACTTAACGATTACAATAAAGAATTACTAAACTATAATCAATAAAAATAATGGAAGGTCACAATGCATAAAATACCACAAAACATCCCAAACCATGTAAAAGGGTGGGACGTGCAAGGCAGCTGGAGTGACAGGTCTCGGTTTGGGAGGCAATGGCTTGTTTTATATTACCAGTTTCTCCCACACAAGTGGGCATTGTTTGGCCTTTGAGAGCAGCCCCTAATGAAAAGGGAAGAAATCCCTCACATTAACCTCTTGATTATCTGCGTGGACCCCAAACTCCACAAAATGAAGACAAAAAGGCTTTCCATTCCTCACTCGGTAAAATTCCCTTGCCGGTTGAGTCCTTAGAAATCATGCATCTTGGTTACCTGGTGTCGACAGGCAGGGGAGCAGTACAGAAGTGGCCCAAAACAGGAGTCTCCTCTTTATTCCTCCTCCAGGTCTTGTGACGGTACTGCAGCGTTACGCTTTTCATCTGGCACCGTGGGGCAGAGTGGGGCAGGAGGCCTTTGCCTACGGTCTGCTGCTTGGGTCTGCGAAAGACAACAAGGGGATGCGAGGGAGCAACAGGGACTTTTTGTGCATGCAGGATAAACTTTAAGGTGTATACAGACAATCCTTTACATGCCCCATTCACATATTTTGGGAATAATAATAATAATTTATTATTAATACCCTGCATACCTGGCTGGGTTTCCCCAGTCACTCTGGGCGGCTCCCAACAGAATATTAAAAACACAACAAAAGATCAAACTTTAAAAACTTCCCTAAACAGGGCTGCCTTCAGATGTCTTCTAAACATCAGACGGTTGTTTATTTCTTTGACATCTGATGGGCGGGCATTTCACAGGGTGGGTGCCACTGCTGAGAAGGCCCTCTGCCTGGTTCCCTGTAGCTTCACTTCTGGCACTGACTGAGGGAACCGCCAGAAGGCCCTCGGAGCTGGACCTCCGTGTCCACACAATATTACCAGCCTTCTGTAAACAGCTCATGTTTCCCCAGCTGTTGTTCCATGTTTCCCCCCTATTCTATTTACCCCAGGGGTGCCCAAACTTTTTTCAAAGAGGGCCAGATTTGATGAAGTGAACATGTGTGAGGGCCGACCACAGGGGCCGGATTGAACCTGCCGGTGGGCTGGATTAGGCCCCCAAAACGGGCTGTGGACATGCCTGATTTACCCCACCCCGAGCCCACTAGGAAATAGTAGCATAAACTCTACCAGTGTGTATGCCCTAGATTTCTACTTTCCAGTCCTTTGATGGGTGTGTAGTCTTTTGCACGTGCAAGGAGATTCTGGGAGGTTAATCCCTGCGCCTCTTCACGTCCTTCCTGGGTGAACCTTCACCATTATATTTCCCTCAGAACCCATTTATTGGTTTATTTCTTTGTATGTATTTGTGTGTCCCTTCCTCTTTCTTTGACTGTTTAGAGTTTCCTAAGCTTTACAAAAGGGAAGAGTAAAAAAAAAGGGGAGGTGGGGGAGTAGCAAGGTTTCCTCCGGGTGCAAAAAGAGGGTGAAATTGCCCAAGATTATTTCCTAGCATGTTTGGGAAGTCCCATCACCTTCCCTTTCGGTAAAATAAGAGAAGTTGCTCCACAATCTTTTTGCTCTGTCAGGTTTAGCATAGTAAACAAGCCTGCAAGGCTGGCAGCTGATCTCGTGGCAGAAAGAACAAAGGAGTCAGATGACAAGCCTCCTGCAGAAAAGAGGGATGTTGCTTGCCTTCCCTCAAATATATATATTACACACATTAACAACAACAACAATTTACAGTCCCATGTTTACAGTTCTAAACAAGAGAGGCCAATTATCCAAGGGGTGGAATGAAAGAATGGTGGCCCCAATAATCAGGAAAGACAACATGACTGACCCAGCAAAATGTAAACTAATCTCCCTATTCTCAGCAATGAGCAAACAGTGAAATGTTCTGATAGGGCACTGCAAACCTATTCAACAGTATGCCCACCTCTAGGGGTGGACAACTAGGTGGTTTGTTGGGACGCGGGGGGCGCTGTGGTCTAAACCACTGAGCCCCTTGGACTTGCTGATCGGAAGGCCGGCGGTTCGAATCCCCGCAACGGAGTGAGCTCCTGTTTACTCTGTTCCAGCTCCTGCCAACCTAGTGATTCGAAAAATAGGTACCACTGTGGCGGGAAGGTAAATGGCGTTTCTATGCACTCTGGTTTCTGTCACGGTGTTCTGTTGTGCCAGAAGCCGTTTAGTCATGCTGGCCACATGACTCGGAAAGCTGTCTGTGGACAAACACAACCCCATAGTCACCTTTGACTGGACTTAACCATCCAGGGGTCCTTTACTTTCACCTTTTTTTACCTGTTGGTGCCCCCTACTGTTCAATTTGTACTTAAGCAATATTGCAACTACCCCTATCCAGTGCTGCTCATAAGGTGTCCTGGGGACGGGGAAGTTTCTCTCCTGCTGCATGCCAAGGGTAGTGTTTTTCTTTATTTCAAAGAAAATGCAATCTCCTGGCTCACACATTTGTTATTAACATAAATTGAAAACGCGTCTCAGAGAACTTATGAGTGAAGTGCCTGGCCCTGACTGTCAAGGGCCCTCTGCATCCCAAGGAATGCACATGGTAGATAGTTAAATCTTTATTGTCAAAGCTGACACAGTCGTTTCTACAGCTCCGAATACCCACACACACCAGTCTAGTGTCTAGACAGCTATTTCCCGGTCCATACCCTTTGGAGTAGTTGCAGCAACAGGAGACCACTCCCCTCTATCAGTTTATGTACCGTCCCCTGATGGGCTGCACACCCACAGCCAGAGACTACACCTGCGTGGAAGCCTTCAAAGGCTTCCATGAACTAGGTCACCTTGGATTCATCCCACCTTGAAATTTTGGCTCTGCAGGGGGCCATAGTTCTGTAACCACATGGTTCTGCAAGCAGATGTGGATGCCATGGGCTGTTTCAGGGATGTGCATGCCAGTGTTTTGAGAAAGAACCACCATCTTCAGACTGGGCCATCCCTTTTGCTGAAAAGCTGGAGGCTGACACCCACTTCTCTGGCTCTGTGGTGCTCCATGTCCCCATGTGCCCCCTCACCCTTGCCAATCAGGCATTCTCCTGGCAGGATGCTACTAGCTTGCAAGTAACACTTTCAAGTACGATGGTTGCAGACCCTGGGAAGGAATCGCATGCGTTGCTGCTTGCTTTCACCTGCCAAACTCATGAATAATAAAGACGTGTCTTTGGTCAACAACTGTGTGTTCCTTGGCTGAGTTTGGTGGAAATATGGGAGGAGTGGGCTGATAAGGGAAGTGGTTCGGAATATAATAAAGTGCTTCTCGGTGAATGATCTCAGTGAGTGGATCTTCCCCAGGAAATTGATGAAGTTCAAAGTAATAATTCTCTGTTATTTCGGGGAAGGGGAAGGGTAAAGTGTCTACTCTTGGGTGGAAGTTTGTGCTGCTGTTATATTCCACAAATGTGACTGTTGCAGAGAGTCTTGTGAAGATACTTAGGCTGCAATCCTGTACACACTCACCTTGGAGTAAGTCACATTGGACTTAATGGGCTTTACTTTTGAACAACCATGCATAGGATTGCACGGTCAACTAAGCAAATCTTGAAAGGAAAAGGGGACAGAGAGAATCGTGAGAAGCACATCAAAATTGTCCGTTGTTACTCACATGATGATGCTGGTGCTGAATGAGGAGTTGCTGCTGAGAAAGGCTATCTCAATGTTGGTGTCCGAAGTCCTCCTCGTCTGCAGGCGAAATTCTACCAGGCTATGATACACTAGGCAACAGAGATCACATTTGGGGCAAAAAGCACTGAATATCTTTAGACTCTGGCTCTAACAGAAGATGGCTGCTATATCTTTTGCAAAGCCATCCATAATTTACCCCTCTTGAAACCATTTAACTGCTCCTTTGTTAAAGGTTAGAGTTAGGGTTAGGAACTGCCATAATTCACAGCTCTGGATGCATTTTACAGATTTTTCAGAGCTGGTTCCTCAGCATCAGAGACCTTAACACTACAGACTGAACTTTTCTATCTCTGACCATGAACAGTTTTTACTGGAGCCAATTCACACATTCAATTCCAGCCATCAAGTGTAGAGAAATCAATTCCCGCAGCCAGCATTAATGAAGCAGTCGCCCCCACGAGCGCCTTTCAGATCTTTCAATCGTACATGCTACATGTGCAGGGAGGAGCAGGATCATAGCAGCTGTTCCCACTCCTGACCTACACATTTATCTGAAGATCTGCATAGATCAGGGGTTGCCAGCATGGAATCAGCATGACTGAGTGTACCTCTTACAGGACCTGCGAATGGTCTCAGTAAATATACCCTCAAAATCCATAATGCATTAGACTATTTGCTCCTCCTGCTAAATTCCTGTTTGCATTGGCTCAGCCTCTCCTACGGTGAACATGCCCCCTTAAACCTTCCCACAGTTCATTGGATTCTAGGACAGGACACCTGTTTTAATTTCCATTCTGAACAGAAAAGAGGTGCAAGTAGCATCTATCTGTAAGTATGGCAACGGCTGGCATAGGTTTTTTTCCCTTTGGGGACCAATGGGAAGGGAATGCCCCCACGTTTTGTGGCCCCATCTATTTTTCTTTTCTTTCCTCTCTCCTGCCATTTTGTGTTAGGCCATGGCACTGTGGGAGCCATTTTGTAAGACTAACACCCAATGCGCTTTCCTCAAAATTCCAAATGTGCTTGCTGTGGCCCCCCAAAGATTGGTAGTAGATCATGGCATTGTGCTCCACCCATGCCTTACAAGTTTATTTGATTGTCTGCACAAAGCCTAGATGTGTGCTCTGTGTGTCTAGAGGTCTCCCATGTGACTGTGAAAAAACACAGTTCCCAATCATATGGAGAGAGATGCGCATGTGCAGGCTCCATGCAGGCCTTCAAACAAATGTGCACAAGTCAGATGTGTGAGAACAGTGCATGAGAGCCCATTCCCTACACTACATCTGTAAGGGGCGCCCTGTGGGATTTTGATATTCTCTGCCGTTGCCTTGAAATATCAAGAAAATCTCAGCCCTCTGGATGCACTCACCACAGTATGGTGCTGATGCAGCTGTGGTCAGGTAAACCTTTACCTCTGTCGATAGTTTCCCCACGTGGACTCCTCCATTGTCTAGCAGTCCTAAAACAAGAATAAATCAAGTTTCTAGTCCTTATGTCAGTGAAGTATGTGACCTGGTGAAATTCAATATGTGAGAGGAAGGCTGAATAAGATCCCCAGCAGTCAAGGGGGAGATTTTCAGTCCTTAGCATAGCATAGCTAGCAGATGTAGAATATATGTGAAATGAGAAAATACATCTCTCTTGTTTTGCTTATTGTGCATGGGTATACAAACTGTCATTGCTTTTCTCCCAAGGAGAAAAGCAATGACAAACCTATACAGCATCTTAAAAAGTAGAGACATCACCTTGCCAACAAAGGTCCGTCTAGTTCAAGCTATGGTTTTCCCAGTAGTGATGTATGGAAGTGAGAGCTGGACCATCAAGAAGGCTGATCGCCGAAGAATGGATGCTTTTGAATTCTGGTGCTGGAGGAGACTCTTGAGAGTCCCATAGACTGCAAGAAGATCAAACCTATCCATTCTTAAGGAAATCAGCCCTGAGTGCTCACTGGAAGGACAGATCCTGAAGCTGAGGCTCCAAGACTTTGGCCACCTCATGAGAAGAGAAGACTCCCTGGAAAAGACCCTGATGTGGGGAAAGATGGAGGGTGCAAGGAGAAGGGGACGGCAGAGGACGAGATGGTTGGATAGTGTTCTCGAAGCCACCAGCATGAGTCTGACCAAACTGCGGGAGGCAGTGGAAGACAGGAGTGCCTGGCGTGCTCTGGTCCAGGGGGCCACGAAGAGGCAGACACGACTAAACGACTAAACAACAACAATACAAACTGTCAAACGCATCTCTTAGAAGAACTTGGGTTTAGGGTATTTGGTTTGAGAGAAAGAAACAGAGTCTTTGCAGACATGTACGCTGTATATCTGTATGGGTCACGATGGGTGGGGTATAAACAAACAAACAAATAAATAAATAAATCATCATCATCATCATCATCATCATCATCATCACCACTGAAGATATTTCTGTAACTTTGTGTTAAGCATAAGCAAGATCAGAATCTAGATCACAAAACAAGACCATCTCTAGGCTCGTTTCTCATACATCCCTTCTTTGGTGATTTTATTTTCTATTGTCTGAGCAAAGAGAAGGAATGAGAACAAAGCAGTTTTGTTACTAAGAGACTGTTATGGTCCCATTTGCAGCTCAGGGCAGCACACATGAATTTCCTCTCATTTTATCCTCTCAACAACCCTCTGAAGTAAGGAGACGGACCAAATGTGACCACTGAGCTTTGTGGATACGCTGGGAATTGTGGCCAGGTTTCCTCAGCATAGCACAAGACTGGCTCACAGAGGAAGTATATGTAAAAGCTTTATAATTTGGAAAGTAAAAATACCAATTGGGAGCAGGGGAGGTGTTTTGCTACTCCTCTTCTTTGGTGTTAGCTGTCACTACAAGTAAGAGACTGTTTGCTTGAGTTGAGCAAGGGTTGCCTCCTGGTCCAAACCAGGAAAGCTCTGTGATTAGTAAAGCAAAAACCAGCACAGGGCCTAAGCCCCGGCTGCTTCTTTGAAGATGAGGAAGTGGTAAACTCTTTCCTCCGAACTACTTTTCCGCAATGTGAAGCAACCAATCTCTCTCAAACAGAGAGACCTGCTGGTAGCTCTGAGAAGAAAAACAAAAACACCCAAGAACAGCAGCTGTCTCTGCGTCTCCCCCTCTCCTTACAGACCGAAGAACAGCTGGGGTGGGGGTGGGGAGGTCTGGTTCTCTCCAAGCCTTTAACCAGAGAAGGGATCCGGTATTTCCCATTCCAACACCTGCCCAGCCTTAGTCGGAAGGGATGCAGTAGGAAATGGTAGGAAATAACCCATCCCTGTGATATCTCTGTGGCGACCAGAGTGTGGGAAAGCCAAGTGGTAGGAAAAACCAGAGAAACTCTGACTTGAGTTCAGAGTACAATGCAAGACAAGTGGCTTTTTACTTGAGGGTGTATCAGGAAGACAAAGACAGTTGTAGCTCGGAAGTCGAACGGAATCCGTTCCGGAAGTCTATTCGACTTCCAAAACATTCAGAAACCAAAGTGCGGCTTCCGATTGGCTGCAGGAAGCTCCTGCAGCCAATCGGAAGCTGCAGAAGCCCCGTCAGACGTTTGGCTTCCAAAAGAACGTTCGAAAACCGGAACACTCACTTCCGGTTTCCGATCATTCGGGAGCAGGAACTCCCAGGGCGTTTGGGAACCGAGTTACGAAATACTTCATTATCAGTCTCTTTTATACAGGAATGCCTACGGTACAGATAAAGGAACACAAATTGGATCTCCAGACCGCTAAATGTGGATCCCAAACTGGACTGCAGTTCTAGATCTGATTATCGGTCACCTCAAATTATGCCATGTGTGCAGGCAGGCAGTTCATGGGTCCCAAACGCACTCCTTTTGGTTAACCTGTGTCGCAGCTCAGGAGGGGGAGATCACCTGACTGGGTTACCTGTCTCATGTTTCTCCTCCTGCTGCCGCCTGAGAGAATGGCCACCAAGGGGGGCCAAGGGCTGACTTTTCTCACTCTGCATGGCGTCAAAGAAGCCCGCTTCATAACCCATGCTTTGAGACTGGCTTGTTTAGCAACTAACCATTTAAACCAGAATTTCTGACTTGCACGCATTGCGGAGAATATTTAACTCTGAAAGGATTCTCAGCAGACCTCTTTCTCCTGGCCACACAGGATGCAGGAGGATGTGAGCTGGTGCTGCTTTGCTGAGGCTGATTCATACAGTGTCAAGCCACAGTTTGAAGGCAAAGCAACTCACGAAACCATTGATTCGGGCTATTTAATCTTGCATCCTGCCATTCAGAGTTTATGTCTGCAATTCCGTCTATTTCCTACCTGTGTAGAAATTACAACATGATTGTTAAGGACAGCAAGACTTCAGCTCCACTCCTGACAGACAAGACTGGATCCCCGACACCTCTCCTACACTCAAAATTTCCAGCCAAATTCTGGATTTCTAGATCCCTCTGCATGCCTGATGCTGCTTCTAATTCATCGAAGAGGCAAGCTGAGCAACATACCTATTGTTGGACAGGAGAGGGGAAAAGGGTCCAAGCAGTCCAAGCAGTGGCCAGTTAAGAAATCCTTGTAACTCGAGCAAGGGAAAGCCATCATGGGGCAGGGGTCAGTCAAGGCGCTAATGTAGAAATGTACCGATCTCATATGGTCGCAGATCAGGTAGTTATAGCCTGAAGAAGAGGAAAACAGCATATAAAATGAGGCAAGCACTCCTGATTATCAACTCAGTGGGTGGAATAGCATTTCTCACCTTTGGCAAAGATTGTGTATCCAGAAGCACTGGGTTGCCATACATCTGGGAAAACCCCGACATGTCCTCTTTTCAGAGGCCAACACGCCCATCAGGGTGGATTTTTACATTTTAAAGGAAATGTCTGGGTTTTTTTCAGATGTGGGGGGGCTTGGAATCCACCCAGAGTAGAATTGTTGTTGTTGTTACAACAGAAAGTGTCAAAAATATTTATAGGAATCTGATCTCAATGTAAATATCACCATAAATACATGGAGCACCATATGGGGTAAAATATATTTTAAGGCTATATCAGCCCATATTATTTTACCACTTAGTTATGTTTCTCTAAATGAATATCAGAGAAAATTCAATAAAACTAGTGCACATATAACACACCAGTTCAGCTATGAAACTCAATCCCGCGTGTCATGGAGAGTCTCTACAACAATTCACTTTAACTACCTTTGGCTTTTTAGAGATTTCAGATGTACGGGTATTTCTCTTTCTGCTTAGTTTCAATGTATCGATGTGGGGTTTGTTATATATTTGTATGCCCTGGGCAACAAGATAAAGTGACTGACAAATTTAATAAAAATGAAATAATAAATTGAGGAACTTGCTACCATGGGTTGTATTCATGGCTAAGTGAATATGGACATCAGTACAAAGATTCCTGCCCTTGTGGATCCTGCTGCCTGAGGCAGTCACCTCCCCTTGCCTTGTGGGTGGGCCGGCCCAGCTGGCAAATCTGCTACTACTTTGACAGCGCTCACTGGACTTGAACAGAGGGAGCTCCTGATATAGTCTGCCTCCATTTCATTGAAAACTTGCAATGATAAATGGCGAGTGAAAAGCAGCTTCTACTGTATTAGTAAACTTACCAGATGATATAAAACGGGGGCATCCAGGCTGATCTCTGCCACCGTTGACATAGTAATCAATGTGGCCAACAGGGATCCGGATACCAAAATCTGAAAGAAGACCTGAGTTAGGATTGCACTTCTATCTCGCATTCAAAATATTCCATCTGGATATTCAGGGCAAAGTCCCAGTTAGAAGGGTTGACAACAAATGGAAAATCCATTAACCTAATTCACAAAACCTTTGTGTGTGTGCACGTGCGCACACACACACACACACACACACACACAAACACACACACATATGGGAGAGGAAGAGATCTTATCATAAGAAACCCTGGTGTGCTCTGGTCCAGGGGGTCACGAAGAGTCGGACACGACTAAACGATTAAACAACAACAAAACAATGTGGTGTGGATCTATAAAATAGACTTTTTTATCGAAATTTGTAGACTTTAGTTATGTATGCTAAATATATAAATGCTAAATATAACAAAGGGAAAGTATTAGCACTCAGAAATTAATAACATACACTAACAAAGCACACACTAACAGTGAACCAGCAGTTGCTTATAACTTTTTTTAACTGATCATTTTATTGTTTTAACCTTTTTGCAAAGTGCTCTGAGGTTTTATTGCATCCACGTTGTATGTTGATCTTGTGAAATAATAATAATAATAATAATAATAATTAAAAAAAAAACTTAAATACAGTAGTGCAATTCACTGTTGTGTGCTAGGCAGAATGGGAGAGAGACTACTCGTATGGGGAAAAAGGCACTGTTATATGTACAGTGGTGCCCCGCAAGACGAATGCCTCGCAAGACGGAAAACCCGCTAGACGAAAGGGTTTTCCGTTTTTGAGTTGCTTCGCAGGACGAATTTTCCTATGGGCTTGCTTCGCAAGACGAAAATATCTTGCGAGTCTTGAGATTTTTTTTTTCGCTTTCCCCCCCTTTATCTAAGCCGCTAAGCCTTTAATAGCCTTTTAGCAGCTAATCCGATAAGCCTTTAAGCCTTTAATAGCCGCTAAACCGCTAATAGCGCTAATCCGTTAAGCCGCTAATAGGGTTGCTTCGCAAGACGAAAAAACCGCTAGACGAAGACTCTCGCGGAACGGATTAATTTCGTCTTGCGAGGCACCACTGTACCCCAATCTCTGAGTGCTGAGAGACTTCAGGGGTGTGAGAGCACATCATAGGTTTGATTTCTCTGGGATGCAGGTCACTGGTTTCTTTATAATATATGGCTTCACTTACACACACATATAAGCTGGAGGGTTTCACAGCATTAACACTCCAGCCAATCTTATTTCCCAGTTAGCTTTCTTTGTACTCAGCGCAGAGAACAAATCTAGCCTCTCTGTGGCTTCCCAGCTCCAGGTGAGACTAGATAAAGGCCAGCCCTTGGTCTCCTACCTATGAGAGGACATGTTCTCCAGACAGGCAAGCGGGTGGAGGAAAGACCTGCCCTCTCCATCTCCATCTCTCCCCTTTGCTTATTTTATATTATAAGCTCCTTGAGAACAGGGGTTTGCCTACATTTGCCTGTGGAACTCTGTAAGGCACAACATATACAGTTGTACCTTGGAAGTCGAACGGAATCTGTTCCGGAAGTCCATTCGACTTCCCAAACGTTCGGAAACCAAGGTGCGGCTTCTGATTGGAGCTTCCTGCAGCCAATCGGAAGCCGCATCGGACGTTCAAGTTCCAAAGAACGTTCGCAAACCGGAACACTCACTTCCAACGTTAAACTCGCAATGCGTTCGGGATCCAAGGTACGACTGTACTGATGGCAGTCAAAAAAAGTGAGCAGACAAATGATCTTCTATCTTCTCCTAGCCAGGAATATAGAGTGGTAGGGACAACATTCACAAAGTGGCCACCTTGATTAGAGAGCCTGGACTTCCTGCATGTCCACCACTGCAGGAAGCAGGGTGTTTTGGTTGGTATCTTCATAAACCTCGGCTCCAGCTCTCCACCTTGCAGAAGGAGGGGCAAACAAAGGGCTTGGGAAGCATCATGGGATTGGCCAATGCAACCAACGTACTGTCTGCATCCGTGTGAATGGCTTCCACAAAGACAGCATCTCCCGGATCTAGGCGCTCTTCGCGACTGGCCTTGGTATACTTGGGCCCTGCAGGATCCAGACCTGGAATATGGATGAAAAACAGAGTGCTGCTATGGTCTGGGAAGTCTGTGGCGAGGGCTGGATTCTAGACAAACCAAAGAGGCGATTCAGTTCAACGCGTGGTAAACTCATACAGGGAAATCCGGTAGGGAAAGATGGGACTCCACAGCGCCATCTAGTGTCACAGTGTTATATTGCACATACAACACATATAAAACACTTTTTCTTTACCAATCTGGTCCTTGATCTCTCAACTACAGTGGTACCTCGGGTTAAGAACTTTATTTGTTCTGGAGGTCCGTTCTTAACCTGAAACTGTTCTTAACCTGAAGCACCACTTTAGCTAATGGGGCCTCCTGCTGCCGCTGCGCCGCCAGAGGACGATTTCTGTTCTCATCCTGAAGCAAAGTTCTTAATCCAAGGTACTATTTCTGGGTTAGTGGAGTCTGTAACCTGAAGCGTCTGTAACCTGAAGCGTCTGTAACCCAAGGTACCACTGTATTGTTCTTTTGCTTGGGCTGCAGCCCTGGTAGATGAGACAATCTGGCTCCGGGAACAGCTTAGCCTCAAACCAAATTGCAGCAAAAGCATTTCTTACACCAAAATGCTCAGGAATATCAAGGGACTATTTTTTTAAATAAAAAATTGGATTCATAGCACCACTGAAGGCAAAGAAGACTGTGATAGCCACTGCCGGATCGACAAAATTTTGCTGAAGTTGGCAATAATTTGCACAACTGCCGGCTCTCCCAGCCCTGATCTCTGCACTTCCTCCTGACCTCCCTTCCAGATACGCCTGCCCACTCCCTACCCTGCTTTCAGCCAGTCAATATGTCTAGCTCCACCTTATGGGGGTGGGGGTACAGATTGTGATGACTCAGTGATGCGGGGCGGGGGGGCGGGGGAGAGATTCTGCAAACTCTCAGAGGTCTTTGCTACAAAGCCCCCCTTTGGAAACTTTCTGGCTGAAATATACTCGGAGTCGAGAGTGGATTTCATGCTCTTTATTCAGCTCATAGTGGTGAGGAGGAATGAAAGTTTCCCCAAAGTATCTGCTTTATATACATTATTTACACAATGGGCCCCACGTGATTGGCTAATTCCGGAATTCTCCTGTAGGCCAATCAGGTTGTGGATTCACTTCCACCTGGGGCTGGATTGGGTGGCTCCTGCAGACCAATCATACTGTTGCATTGTTCTAGGACCAATCAGACTGCTGCATTCTGAATCCTATTGTTCTAGGACCAATCAGACTGCTGCATTTTGGATCCTATTGTTCTAGGACCAATCAGACTGCTGCATTTTGGATCCTATTGTTCTAGGACCAATCAGACTGCTGCATTTTGGATCCTATTCAACTCAGTACATAACACTGGCCCTGTTTGCTCCCGCCCCTCGTTGCTGGAGTAGCCTGGACGCCATCAGTAGCTTCCCACCCCATGCCAGAGGCCTCTCTCTAGGCTCAGGGGTGATCACTAGATGAGAGCAGAGAGCAGCCCTGGAGCTCTGAGGTTTCAGTGGTTGGGTCAGAAGAACCAAAAGATGCCCCCATGTTGGCCAAACCTGAATAATAGGCTGCAAGAGGAACAGGAGCAATGGCGCCCCCTCAGCCCAACCCCCATTTTGCTTGCCTCCCGCTTGGCCACCTTCCAGGAGCCACCACATAATTTTGCTGCCCTCCTAAAATGCCCCCTTTTACGTCCCCCTCCAGATGTGGCACTGGTGAGAGAAATTATAGTGACTAGAGAGCCCTGGGTGAAATATGCCCAGAGTCAGATTTCAGCTAGCGCTCTGGGTTCAGCAACTTTGGCGTTCAAAGGAGGAAAAGGTTTTGGTGTTGTGCAAAGTGTGTAATTGCAGTTCCTTCCTCTGCAGGAAGATCGACTGCAAGAAAGACAAAAGCAGACAAGAAAATGTCTCAGGAGAGGTGCACGGACGCTCCTTCCAAATATGCAAAGGTTTGGGGTGGGTGTAAATCTCTCTGTGCCTCATCTCGCCCCTCAGAACACGCCTTTGGGGGGACTTAAACGGACATACATATTGCGGCTTTAAGTTCTATGGACTGAGCCCCAGCTCAGCAGGTCTCTAGCTCAGCCAAAGTGCCCTTGCAGCAGTTTAGCCCAAGATCCAGACTCTCTTATGGATCTTGGATTTGACTTGTGCTATAATCCTCAACATTTTTTAGTGGCTATTAAACATCTGTGGGCATCCTACATTTTTCTCACCATCAACTTTTTTTCTTAATACATTGTGCCAAATAGTTTAGCTATTCCAATTAATTCTATAAATATTGAACTAAAGAGGCATCAATATCCCTTCCAGCCCTTGATTTTGTGAATGTGTGTAATTTTTATTAAATTTTCTGTTTTATAATTTAAAATACTCATTTTACATCCTTAAGATATCAATGACTTTCCTTCTTCTCTTTCCATGGTTCATTTTACATATCATAAATCCCTGCATATTTTACAAAAACTATACCATTCAGTATTCCATTATTACATCTATCAAAACTGTTGAATTTATCTTAATTCTGTCAGCGTTTTCAGCTGTATACAATTATTTCCCATATATTCAATATCTTTCCCATATATTCCCATATTTTCAATAAACATTTTCCAATCTTCTTTCAACACGCTCTTCTTGTTCTCTTATTCTATATGTTAAGTCTGTGAGTTGTGCATAATCTGTCAACTTAAATTGTCATTCTTCTTTAGCTGGGACCTCACTCATTTTCTGTTTTTGGGCTAACCAAACTTGGGCTACAGTGGGAACATACATAAATAATCTCAAAAAAGGTTTAAGAAGTTACCCAGACCTTTATTTTTGATTGTGGGTATGTCAAACTAGTCAAACCAGTAGGACTGCTAGAAATCACCTCGATAGCTGTAATGGCCTGGCAAAGTGGCCAAGAATCCTTCATTTCATTTTTTTCCCCATGGGCTAATATAGACGTTTTCCTTTTTATTCTTCTTACCAGTAATCCTTCCCAGTCGGCCTTCAAAGAAATGGCCTACCAAACCCCCAGCATGGGCTCCAAGGCTCACCCCAATAAGGTGGATGGATTTCTCAGGCACTCCCAAGTCCTGAAAAGTTAGGATGAACAGGATTAATTGACGCCATTTCATCATTTTTCTTCCCTAAAGCCCTCCAGAGGTTCCGGTAGATCTCATCACTGCTGCCTTTCCCTTTGTCTTGCAAGCCTTTTGGTTGGATGGTCACTAGCAACAGCTCCCCCCATGTACAGCACATAGGAAAGCATCAGGACAGGGGCTGGTTAGAAAGCAAATCTATCAGTGGCATAGCATGTGTTGCTGGCACCCCGGGCAAGGCAAGGATTGCTCCTCCTGACCTCCTTGCAGGCGTTGTGCAGGAGGCAATAAGGGAACTTCGCTGTGCCCCTGCGGTGGCCACTCCTCATGGAGGCCGCTTGCCAGTTGCTGCGTTCACCCGCTCAGCGAGCTCCTGCTGGGAGCATCAGCTGGTGTTCCTGGGCAGGCTTGGTGGCGTCCCAGCTGCACCAGAGCCACAGCTGCAGCAGGCCTAGGAGGAGGGTGGTGGAGAGCTGGCCGAGGCACCAAGCACAGCCTTCCCTGGCCATCTCTCCTTGCCGCACAGCACGAGGACAGGTACCAGCTGAACCCAGCTGAGTGGGCAGCTCTCCTTCCCATGCTCCCGCCATGGGGTGCATGCTTTTCTGGCCAGCAGCAGTTCTGCCCGGGGCAGGCGTCCCTTCACTGGCCATGAGGAGAAGGAGGCACCGTTGCAGCCCTAAAGATCCAGCCCGCGTGTGACTTGCCTCCCCGCGGCTCTGGAAGGCAGCAGCCACACGAGGGAGCCTGTCGTGGGGGCGCTGGGTTGTGCCCTGGGGCCACGGCCCCCCTTGCCCCACCATGCTATGCCACTGGAGGCTATAGAACGAAAAGTTGAAGAGGAAGAAAGGAAGAGGAAGGAAGAGAGGAAATGGACACACTGAGAGAGAGGAAAAGGAGAAGTCCCCTAGGGCTTCTGTTGAGCTTTCTAGCCCCTCTGCTTCACACACACACACACACACACACACACACACAGTCCTCCCCTTTCCTTCCTATCAAGTCTCCAGCCAAACCCAGAAGTCTCTCCTCCCTCCTCTGTGGGAAAAGGATCAGTTTTGGGCTTTAAAGAAAGTTAGAGAGAATAAAAGGGTCACTATTTTTAAAGGTCATAACAATTAACCAGGAACAGAGAGGAAGGGGATGAGTGGGGAAGCTGTTAGAGGAAGAAATGAATATGAAAGGAGTGTGGAGCAGAGATGGAAACTGGCAGTTTGCAGGTGGGAATAGGACACAAATTTAGTATTAGAGGAGTAGAAATGACAGGAGATGAGTTAAAAGTTTGTGGGGGGTTTTTGAGAAGCATGGAGGGGGAGGGAAAATATAAAATAAAATCTTTTCAGAACTTAGAGCCTCTGGACATGCAGATTCCTTCTATAATAGGGAGTCTGAGACAATGTCTTTACCCAGCTTGGGGAACGCTAAAGTGTGGAACACCCTTTCAGGGAGGGATTAGATATATAGAGAAAATTATGTCTGTAATTCCCAGTTGATTATGCTCCTCTCCACCACCATTTTGTAGCTGGTTGGCCCATTTTCGTGAAACACCCAAACTCAGAAATCCATTTCCACCTACCAGCAACTTGCGAATAAAACTGGCTATTTCTAGTGCCAACTTCATCACGTTTTCCACTGCGGCATAATAGGCTGCTGTGCTGCCATGGACCCAGTCGACAGCAATCACGTTGGCTTGGGCTGCCTGCAACAGGGCCTTGATCAGCCCATCTGTCCAGGAGGGCTTTGTACCCAGGACCCTGAGAAGACAGAAGCAAGGGAAGAAGGCAGGAGCTCATGCAATGCTGACTTTTGCACTTGGGGGGCTGGAGCACTGCACCCCCCAAATTTGGAGAAGCGTGAATTCCAGCAGATAACTGTGTTTCATTTTGCATATTGTTTGAGGAAGTACAAATTAGGGAGTTTCACATGCTATTAAAATATGAACCAAACCAAACTCTTCCCGCATCCCTAGAGATGAGAGCCAGTGTGGTGTAGTGGTTAAGAGCGGTGGACTCGTAATTTGGGGAACCGGGTTCGCGTCTCCGCTCCTCCACATGCAGCTGCTGGGTGACCTTGGGCCAGTCACACTTCTCTGAAGTCTCTCAGCCTCACCTCACAGAGTGTTTGTTGTGGGGGAGGAAGGGAAAGGAGATTGTGAGCCGCTTTGAGACTCCTTAGGGTAGTGATAAAGCCGGATATCAAATCCAAACTCTTCTTCTTCTAGTTGCTGCACATGCTTCTTGAACATGCAGCCAGCAGAATACAAAGGGTGAGCACATTGGCCAGAAGGCAGCCCCAGCAGCCCCTTAGGCATGCTTGTAACACGCAGGGGGTTCATCTGAAAACCCCGACTGCTAAGTTTTCGATGGCTGGTCTTGTGTTTTTCCTTAGTAATGATTCTTCCCCACCACAATCTATTTTTCTTACATTCATCTTCACCTTGGGCCACTGAAAGTCCCCACACAAATGGAAAAGCTGTAAACAAGGAAAATGGCTGCCACTTAATTTAACTTTAGCTTGACCATCCATTTTTGTATGTTTGTACCTGAAACCATGGATTATTACTTTGGTTCCCAAGGTGGTGTTGAAACTGGAGTTCTGCAGGTCCTCCCGTGTGGAGAGCAGCTGTCCACAGCTGGGGTTGGAAGAGGAGAACAGGAGAAACTGAACTTTGAGACTGCTGCCGCGCAGTAAGCTTGCAGACTGGAAATCGGTGCATGCTTGGCTTCTTGTAATATTTTCAGACCCTGAAATGAGATGTAAGCAAAGTACGCACAGCCAGCTGTTATGTAACAAAAGCACTAAATAAAACTTGCGCGGTATTATTAAATGGTGCTTCAAACACCAAGGATCCGTTTCCACAGTTTGCATAGCTTCTCTGAAGCTTCCTACATCCCATCTCTTGAACTATGCACAAGAAAAGTTGTTGAAAGTCTGAGAGACAACTTTGGAGAAATCGTTTTTGTCTGGACTCTACTGGGAACAGTGAAGATTTCAACCTGGATTCTGATCTTATTTGGCCAACACTGGGGTGGTGGGAGGACTCTTATGGAAAATTTATGCTTCAGAATTTATACCTTCAGACTTATGCCCCCCCCCGCCCCTCCAATGCTACTCTCGCCTCAAGGATACAATCATATGTCAGGGGATCAAACAGGCCACCCCACCCCACCCCAAAATCACCACCTCAACATTCCATGGCTCAGCTTCCCTCCGCACAGGTACAAAAAGCTACTGCATGCAAGACCCTGGAGGGGTGTTTTGAATAAATCTTATTTTTAATCAATCTTATTTTTGTGCTTTCAAATTGAGAGGTGCCAGGGCCAGCCAGGTTTGGTTTTAGATGATGATGATGATCTACTGTTAGTATAACAGAATCTGACAAAAGAAATAATATTAATCTTCATTTTCTCTGTATTTTTACCTTCCCCCCACCCATTTCTTCTAAAGTAAATAATCCACCTCCTTTTCAAACTGTTTGCCCAACTGCACAAAGCTTAGTTCCCAGCGCACATATTTTCCCACTGCACAAAATGTTTCTGGCCCTGCAGCAGAACAAATCCTGAGGGGGCCAGGTTGCCTGCCTTTGCTTTCCTGCAGCCCGTCTCCTTTAACCTGCACTACTTGGGCCTGCAAAAAAAGAGGAGCACTGAGCATATGGCTGAGAGCTCAGCTTGAGAGATCACCAGCTGTGCACCTTTATCTCAACCCACCTGCACGTTCTGCATGCCTTCGTTTGCATTACTGTTTGCTGAGCTGTCAAAATGCACCATGGTCAGAGGCATCCTGGCTCTCTCCACGTCTGCCATTCAAACTCCTGCCAGTATCTTCCTTACCTGCACCAACAAAGATGAAAAGCAGTCGTACCATGATCGTTAAGACAGGACATCTCCTTGGGTCAGTAACCATCTTCCCTGTTGGGTCCTTCCTGGCTGTAGTAGATGAACGGGTGTGTGAACTAAAGCCCAGTGGGTCAGTCTGGGGTCTTGGTTAATGGTCAACAGGCACTGAGGCTTGGGACACCAGCGGCTCCTTTCCCCTTTGCAACAATCAGTTGAATCCAGGCATCAGCTCAGTAGGAGGAGTTCCAAGTGCTGTTTTCTATGCATTTCAATGACCCCTCTGTTCAGACTGCTGGACAAACACTGGTGAATCAAAGCCACACAACCGTCTGGCAAAGAGTCAAAGCACTGTTTACTAACTCTGTTTCAAAAGATAGGGATGGAATGAAGCTGTTGATTGGCGGCCTCAGATCAATGGCAAGAGGCTGTGCAGAAGACGCTGCAAACAAGACAGGAGAAAGTCTACCTCCAAGGGCACTTTGTGCCCAATGGATTACCGTATTTTTCTCCCCCTAGGACGCACTTTTTCCCCTCCAAAAATGAAGGGGAAATGTGTGTGCATCCAATGGGGCGAATGCAGGCTTTCGCTGAAGCCTGGAGAGCGAGAGGGGTCGGTGCGCACCGACACCTCTCGCTCTCCAGGCTTCACACAGCTCTCCGCAAGGCGCGGGAGCCTGGCGCCGGGCTCCCACGGCTTGTGGAGAGTTGCCTGTTCTCGGGCTTCCCCTGCCCCAGCCCCGCGCCTGGGGGGGAAAAAATATTTTCCCCCCCTTTATTTCCCCCCCAAAAAAACTAGGTACGCCTTATGGGATGGTGCGTCCTATAGGGCGAAAAATACGGTAGTTTCTCAAGCTGATGCAACAACTGCCCAATTTAGGCAAAGGATTGATTGCCCTGAAGGTACACCACCAGAATTTGCCCTGCTAGGATTGTGTCAGGCAATTAGGATTGCCTGGAATGTGTGAAGGACTGCACCTGATGAAATATTAATTTTTCGAACCTTGGATAGGTATCTTGTCTGTCCCCTTGTGTCTGCCTGTGTCATTTATTGGTGGATGGGGATAAATAAAACTAGGGATCATAGGAGCCAACTCTGAGGGGCCGTGGAGGCTTTGGCCCCCTCAATGAAATATTTGAGGGGGCCGGGCCCCCACAAAGATGATGTGCATTCCCATTCAAATGAGGGTGTGTGTACTGCGCCATGTGATCAGTTATGTGGGGACCCCCATGATAATTTATTCAAGTTGGCACCCCTGCTAGGTAGAAGGAGTTTTTGTTTGCCTTAGCAGCTCAAAATTTCATTGCACAACAAGGGGTTCTGTGTATTGGGGACCGCCTTATGTCAAGATGCGCTTCTATACTATTTGCATTTTTAGTGTTTTTGTGATGACCAATGGTTTCTAACAAATAATCTTGGCTAGCTGCTGACTCCCTGCCATCTCTCTCCATGCCATCCTTCCTTTCAGATTTCGGGTGCGCTGGTCTCAGAGCAGGCTGGCAGGGGAAGTGGGAAAACCCAGCTGGGAGATGGAGTTGCAAGAAGCATCGATAACTGGAGAAAGAGTGAAGCCCCCCTGCTGCCGGGGGCCACAGATCCTTCCAGCCCCACTCTTCTCTGAGTCTATGCCCAGCAGGCACATGCTTAACAACCGCTCCCTGCCGACAGCACGTCTGGTGGCTGTTTGGATGGATGCCATGCGCATGCTGGCCCATGGCCGGGGGCTCATCCCTGCAAAGAGGAATTCTCGACCCGCCAGAGTTTCCCTGTGGTGGATTACAGCATGGCAGTGCTCCAGTTTTCTTCGCCTCATCCTGGCCTTGACAGGTACCCATGAAATCATTATCCTCCATTAGTTTGCCAGCACTCCCATCACCTCCATTCAATTAGGGCGTTTCCCAGTATGGGGAGAATCTGCTAAGGGAAGTAAATCCAATCTAAAATCCCATGTTAAGGGAGGCGCCTTGTGCTTCAGTTTCCTTGAAGGCGTGTGGGGATGTTTCACAGGGGCCACCTAGCGCCACACACACCCCCGGCTCCCCTTCACAAGAAGCGTTTCATCTGCTTCAAAGAGCTTTCTGGGGCCAAAGAGTCGCGTCAGGCCCCGTTGTCTCCGCGAATGTGAGGAAGCGAGAGTAAGGGGGGGGCTGGGGGGCTGGGATGGGATTTCCAAGGATTCCATCTGCAAGATCCCAATCTCGAGGAGGATCCTCCCTTCGCTCGGGGCCGGGGGGCCAATGGAATAAAATGCTCGCGAGGCGCGGATCCCCCCCCCCCATGAGTGGCGATGCCCCCTTTTATTTGGGGTCCAGCCCCCCCCCGGCCTTGGCTCCCGCGCCCCCGCCCGCCCGCCCGCCCGCCTCCTGAGGCGGCGCGAGGAGCCTCCTCTCCGGGCCCGGAAGCTTCCCTCGAGGCCGGCGGAGGGCGGTTCCCGGTCGGCCTTCGTCCCCTGGCGGCTCCTCTCATGGCGGGGCCCCGGGGCGGGAGGCGGCTGGCCGTGCTGCTTCTGGCCGCGCTGCTCCGGGCGAGAGGCCTCCTCTGCGCCGCCGCCGCCCCGTCGGGTAAGCGGCTCCTCCGCCCGGCCTCGCGGGGAGACCCAGGGGCAGCCACGGGGCCGCTCTCCAGTCAGGCCGGGCGGGGACGGGGAGCCCAGCTCGGCCTCTCGGCCCCTTCCCCGCCCCCGTCTCCTCCGGGGCTGCCTCCCGCTGCTCTCCCGGGGCCGCGGCGAAAGAGATGGGAGCAGACGGCCACCTTCGCTCCGAGCGAGCGCTCCACTGTTTCTCCCGGGTGGGAAAGGGAAGCGCCATGCCGGTCAGCCCGAGGCCCGAGAGGCCTGCTCTGGACGGGCTTCCTCGGAAGGAGCGGCTTCCCAGCCGGGGCCCTCCTGGATCCGTGGCCTCGGAGGCCCCACCGCGCCCCAGTCTGGACGGGGAACCGAGCTCCTCTTGTGTCTGCTTAAAGAAAGGCCAAGGACCCCCGGCTGTTGGGTCCAGTCGTGGCCGACTCTGGGATTGGGCGCTCATCTCGCTTTAGTGGCCGAGGGAACCAGCGTTTGTCGGCTTCCGCAGACGGTTTTCCCGGGTCCTGTGGCCGGCAGGACTAAGCCGCTTCTGGCAAAACCAGAGCAGCGCACGGAAACGCCCTTTACCTTCCCACCGGAGTGGTACCTCTTTATCTACCGTATTTTTCGCTCTATAAGACGCACCAGACCACAAGACGCACCTAGTTTTTGAGGAGGAAAACAAGAAAAAAAATATTCTGAATCTCAGAAGCCAGAAGAGCAAGAGGGATCGCTGCGCAGTGAAAGCAGCAATCTCTTTTGCTGTTCTGGCTTCTGGGATAGCTGCGCAGCCTGCATTCGCTCCAGAAGACGCACACACATTTCCCCTTACTTTTTAGGAGGGGAAAAGGGAGTCTTATAGAGCAAAAAATACGGTACTTGCACTTTTTGGCGTGCTTTCAAACTGCTCGGTTGGAGGGAGTTGGGACTGAGCAACTGGAGCTCACCCTGTCCTGTCGGGATTCAGACCACTGATCTTCTGACTGGCAAGCTCGAGACATAGCTGTCAACTTTCAGATTTGAAAATAAGGGATCAGCAGCCTCACCTGTCCCGGGGACAGTCTACAGGATATCTAACAATCCGGGATAGCAGTGGGAAAGAGCACTGGAATAAGGGAATTTCCCACAAAAAAAAGGGAAGCTGTGGCTCGAGAGGGTCAGTGGTTTAGACCACAGTGCCACCCGCGTCCCCACCCTATGCTCTGGTTAGATTACTGCAATGCCTTCTACGAAGGGCTGCCTCTGAAGACAGTTGGGAAACTTTAGTTAGTGCAGAATTCAGTGGCCAGATGGCTCCCCGGAACAAGACGGTTTGAGCACATTACACCAATCCTGGTCCGACTGCACTGGGCCAGGTTGCTCCCTGGATCGGTTTGAGCATCTTACACCGGTCCTGGTGCGACTGCACTGGCTACCAGTTAGTTTCTGTGCGAAGTGCAGTCCGCAATACCTCAAGGATCGCCTCTTTCCGTATGAACCCGCCCAGACCCTGAGAGCATCTTCTAAGGCCCTTCTTTGTGTGCCTCCTCCACGAGAGGTCTAGAGAGTGGCAACACGAGAACAGGCCTTCTCTTCTCTGGATTGAGCTTCAGCTTGTTGGCTCTCATCCAGTCCATTACAGAGGCAAGGCACTGGTCCAGCGCTTCCACTGCCTCGCCTGCAGATGTCAAGGAGAAAGAGAGCGGAGTCTCATCCGTTTACTTCCTCTCTGCAGGAGAGCTACGGTCACCTCTTTTAATCTGCCGTGTTGACAATAACAGCATCCAGGTGTTCTGCATGCCAGGCTTCCAGCATCCACCTGTGACCTACCACTGGGAATTAAAAAATACATTTCTTTCTGACCAGCCTGTGGTCAGCATTAAGGGAAGCCTAAACCCTTCTGAGCAAATCACATGTACCATAACCACCGCCAATTCAAATGCCAGCACATCCATCAGTGTGCAAAAGTGTTACCTGTCAGGTAAGTGTTTATCCCGTTGGCCTTTATCATTGTTTGCTTGTTTCCCACCATTTTCCTTCAGGGTGCATAAGGTGGCACACCAGGCTGTGTCAAGCTGCTATAAGAGGCCCAGGCTAGATATACAATGTGGGGCCCATTTCATTCACCTTTACCAAAGCGCCCCCCTTTGCCACTGCCATGGGGACTTGGAGTTGGCCACCCTCAAAATCGTAGGCCCATGCCAATTGGCCCCCCTGGCTGCCTCCAGGCTCTGGCCCACGATTCTTGCCCTCCACATTTAATTCCCACAACAAACCTGTGAGGTAGATTGGGCTGAGAGGCCATGACTGGTCCAAGGTCAGGGCTGGATGGGGATTTGAATCTGGGTCTCCCAGGTCCTAGTCTAACATTGCTGCACGACACTGGCTCTTTATGGAACTTTTAAACTTCCCTTCATTACTTAGTGAATACAGGTTGCTATTCAGCAAGATATATAAAGATACATTATATATATATATATATATATATATATATATATATATATACACACACACACACACACACACACCACCACCACCACCACCACCACCACCACCACAGGGAAGCACCATCAGTTACCTGCTTCAGACATCTCTTCCCCTAGGCTTTCCCTGCTCATTAAGATGGACCCTGTCTTTTTGTATTTTACAATACTTTATTGCATGTTTACTGCAGTTTTCAATAGTTTATTGTATATTTGTAATGACTTTTTCACATACTGCTTCAGGTTGTGTGTGTGTGTGTATAGGAATGGCCTTAAATAACAATATAAAATCAAACACTAAAAAATATCCAACAATAGTCTGCGCTGGTGGGTCAGAACCCCCAGACTGCAGCCTAACCCAAGATGGGTTACACCAGTAGGGCAACATTTTTTTTTATTTTTAAGTAAGAAAGTTGAGGGGAAAGTCCATAAATGTCATGGTTTCTCCCTCAAATTCCTGGGAATTATAGTTTGGTATCTGCATTAATAATTCTGTTAGAGACTGCTACCCATCCCTCAACCATCAACCTTCCCAGGGGTCATTGGGAAGAAGATATATCCCAAGAGAGAGGGAAAAGGAGCAAAACAGAGTGTGCATGAGACAGATTGAGAAAGAAGTACAAATGCAGTAAAAAAAAATTAAAACTAGGTTGCCTTTTGCATGTAGGGATTAAAGGTGGGTTCTTGGCCTTCAACCTTTATACCAATGTTCGGCAAGAAAGTTCCACTGAACGTTTTTGCATTGAAGGTGTTGAGTGTTTGGGCTTTGTTCTCCTCTGCATCCAAAAACATTGACCTGATCCATGAAATCAATCCAAAAGTATTGATTTGAGATGTCTCTTTTTTAACCTGTCGTTTTCAAATTTTCTTTCTAAGGAATTACTGCTAACGGAAGAAATAGACGCATCACCCGAGTGCTGTTCATAATATGTGTCATCGTGATGGTAGTAGTAAGCTGGTTCCTCCTGTATAGAAAATGTACGTCTATTCTTTATGGACTAACTTCTACATGCTATATAACACTCCTTTTAAAAAGGTCTGTTTGAAGCCCATGGAACGAAACACCTACAAAATATATATGGGGCAATATATTTATTAGCATGGCCAGTGTTAAGCATCCTGTCAGAGAGCTTTTGATTTGCGCGTAATTTCCCTTCTTTTGTGTATATAGGAACGTAAGAGGAGCCCTGCAGGATCAGGCCAATGGCCCATCTAGTCCAGCATCCTGTTCTCACAGTGGCCAACTAGACACCCCGTCTTACATGGGGGTTACGTTCCAGGGATAGTGCATAAAGCCCAAATCACATATAGTCAAAACAACCCCTTGGAATGGCCCTGCGGGAGCAATCTGACCTTCTGGAGCCAGCGCACTGAACTGGCCTTACCCACCACCTCAAGCAAGACCCAGAGCTTAAAAGCTCTTTTTCCGTTGGGAAGACCCTGCACACAAAAAAGCACTTTTAAGCTGTCCGGCTTCCATGCATTTAATTTGTGTGAGTTCAGCCTGCTGGCCATCAACAGCAGAAAGTTGAAATTGCAAAGGTTAAACACACGCAAGTTGCGAGTTGAATGTACTCTTTATAGTCCTTTTTATCAGCAGCCATTTTATCCCCTGCTTCGTTTTTATTTTCTTTTGCCTTGATTTTAAAAGGTGACAGATTATGCTTCCCTTGGCGAGGCAAAATAGTTTGTAGTTGCCTGTTAATATACCGTGGTACCTTGGTTCTCAAATTTAATCTGTTCCGGAAGTCCGTTCCAAAACCAAAGGGACGCGGGTGGCGCTGTGGGTTAAACCACAGAGCCTAGGACCTGCCGATCAGAAGGTCGCAATTGGAATCCCTGCGACGAGGTGAGCTCCCATTGCTCAGTCCTGCCAACCTAGCAGTTCGAAAGCACACCAAAGTGCAAGTAGATAAATAGGTACTGCTCCAGCGGGAAGGTAAAGGGCGTTTCCGTGCACTGCTCTGGTTCGCCAGAAGCGGCTTAGTCATGCTGGCCACATCTCCGTGGGTTGTGAATCCATTCTGTGCTCCGTCTCCCTCGGCCAGTAAAGCAAGATGAGCGCAGCAACCCCAGAGTCGGCCACGACTGGACCTAATGGTCAGGGGTCCCTTTACCTTTACCTTGGTTCTCAAACTTAATCTGTTCCAGAAGTCTGTTCCAAAACCAACGCATTCCAAAACCAAGGCGCGCTTTCCCATAGAAAGTAATGCAAAATGGATTAATCCGTTATAGTCTTTTAAAAACAACCTCTCAAACAGCAATTTAACATGAATTTTACTATCTAACGAGACCATTGATCCATAAAACGAAAGCAATAAACAATGTACTGCAGTCACACAATCAGTCATTCAGTAGCTGAACTGGGTTCCACACAGTCACAAAAACAAAAGAGCCACAAAAACAAAAATGCAAAATAAATAGCAAAACCAGACAGACTTCAGTGTAACACTCAAAACGGAAGTGTGGCACTCAAATCGGAAGTGTAATACTCAAAATGGAGCATGCTCGACTAACGGAAAAAGTTCGCAAACCGGAACACTTACTTCCGGGTTTGCAGTGTTTGGGTTCCAAGGCGTTTGAGTCCCAAGGCGTTTGAGAACTTTGAGAACCAAGGTACCACTGTATCCATTTAGTCATTGCCTTCCACAGCATGAAGACTCAGAATGGGTGACAATTAAAAGAGAATATAATATTCTATCTATCTATCTATCTATCTATCTATCTATCTATCTATCTATCTCAGAACAAAAATAAACCAGATGGGGCCCTGCAATCTAATGTTGCAGCATGCAGCGCTTCGGAGCTTGGCCGCTTTGAGCTTGGTTTTTGTTTGTAAAACTTGGGTTGTGAATCCATGATCCTGCAGATGTTGATGTCAACCCCCATCAGCCCCAGTCAACATGGAGAGTAGTCAGGGGCTGGATCTATACTCGCCTTTTAAACATCATTAAACATCAGTCCCATTTGGTTTCACTTCGTTTCCTTTCCACAACTTCTATCCGGTTTATAATAACTAGTTGCTCTGCAGTGCCCTCTTGTGTCACATTTTAATAACGCATGATTAATGTTCTAAGCTAAATTTAATATGACCCTTACATTTTGAAACATTTTCTTAACCCTTTCCTAACATTATAAACCATGAATGTAGATCCGCCCAGGGAATAAAGGGAGTTGAAATCCAACATTATCTGGAGTGCCACAGTTTCTTCACCTCTGTTTTAAAGCAGGAGACTGAAATGTTCACAGAAGGTTAAAAATAAAAGAATGCTTGAAACTAGGCTTTATTTCACCCATGTCAAAGTCCCAGTTTGGCATAGACACACCCCACACATTTGTGTACAGACAGACACATCTCAACACATTTGTTTGCAAAGGGCATAAAAAGCTGGTTTGAACAGGGACGTAGTCGTTCATATGAACAGGGCAAAACAGCCTTAAATCAAAACGTGTCCAAAGCTGTTTCACTTTTTGCAACTGAGACATACAGCACAATAACTGCAGATAAAATGTGGCCCAGGGGGCCAAAACGACACAGACCACCACCTTGCCAGCTGCACCGACCGGAGAGCCCAAAACCCCATTAGCGTTTTTATTTGAAAAGGTCTTATGCCATGAGCTTGTTGAGGAAAGGCGGACTATAGATCTGTAGTCTATAGGACTATACAGTCAATCTTGGTTGTTGAACGTAATCTGTTCCGGAAGACCATTTGACTTCCGAAATGTTTGACAACCGAAAACTGAAAGCGGAAACCTCATTACAATAGGGAAACTCAAAACGGAAGCTGCATAGGATGTTCGGTTTCCAAAAATTGTTCGAAAACCTGAGCAGTTGCTTCTGGCTTTTTGGCGTTTGGGAGCCAAAACATTCCAAAGCGGAGGCGTTTGGGAACTGAGGTTTGAGTGTATGCACTTATATAAATGCCCTACCGCCTTTTAAAATAATTATTACAGCAAAGCCTAAAAGAGGATTCAGTCTTCAACACTACTTTAATTACAAATGATTTTAATATGTGTTTTAGTAACCTGTCTTTCTTCCAACATCCTTACTGTCATCTTACCCCCCTCTTTATGAGCCTTTTGTTCTTGCTGTGGGGTATTTTTCATGCTCCAAACAGACCTCTCCTGAGAACGTTGGCAAGCTGGAAGATCTGTGGAACCACAGGGAGGATTCAGCTGCTCTGGTTGGGGTTCTGCTTTAAAAATTGCACTTTGAGCCACTTCTTCATGTGTTAGTGGCCCAGAAAAAAGGCAGTTGCACATGCCTAAATGTGCAATTGTACACCTCTCTTTCTGGAACCACCCCCCTCCCAAATGTCCCCCCCCAGCAGGAAATATATGTCAGGCAGTGGTGGTGGTGGGTGATTTTGACTGGGGGAAATGCCCCGAAAGGGAAAGGATCCTCTGCTGCTGCTCCAATCAGATTTGCAGTCTCTTGAGATTGCTTTTCATTAATCTGTTCTGTAACACCAGCCTGGCCTTAAGCATAGTTTCATAAAAATGTATTCTTGTTGCTCTCTGTTTCAGCAGCTCTTGCAGCGGAAAGATGAAAACAACCCTCATTGGAGCAAAGGGGGAGAACCAGTGTGTAGAAGGAGGAATTTGACAGCACAGCTGATTTCTTTGGCTCCTCTGCTTTTGACTCACATCTGGAATAATTATTTCATGAATCCATTGTATGGATTTTGTTTATTATATATTCTCGATCCAGCGGGATCCACTTTCACCTCTTCCAAGGTGTTAATTCTTTTGCGCTGAAATTTCAAAGATGAGAAGACATTCTGTCAAGTGGCTGTTCATATTTGATGCCGTGAGCTGGGTTTTTATTTCATTTTATTGCCAATATTTACTTTTAACAAAGTTGCAGGAAATTGGTAAGCAGGAATGGAGCAAGTTAGAGCTATTGAGATTCTTACAATTACAATTGGCTGTTGTTTAAGGAGAATTAGACGTGCGCTGGTGCATGCTCCTGATTTTCCTTAATTTCCATAAATACGTACAAAATATGCACAATTGCCTTCTTAATGGCGTATATTTTATCCTCTCCTGCATGACTTGGTTGCATCCCTCTCCAGTGTCTTAGGTGATAAGATTTCTTCAAGATTTGTCAAAGCACATTGGAATAGAACTGTTTGCACCCAAAAGCACTGAGAGAGTCTTGCAGCACCTTAAAGGGCATTTATTGTGGCATAGCCTTTGGTGGACTGTAGACCACTTTGTCAGATGTGCATAATGTTATTTAGAGATAGAGATATATATGTTAGGGGTAATGTGCACATTTCCCAGCCGATACCCATACTATCCAGCAGGTCTTGGGGAATAGCTCAGGTGACCTTCATACATTCTGCTTGCTTGGTTTTTTTTTTAATCTCTTAATTCAGAAGTGCAGGCTGCCGTCCCTCAGGCTGCTTTTGACTGCCTAATTCTGCATCGATCACAGCCACTGAGCACTGGAAGAAAGGCTGGAGCATATTTTTATTTATTTACATTTTTAAATTTATATGCTTTATTTAATGACTTACAGGCATTACCGTGTGCCATGCAAACTCTAAAATATAATACAAGTATTAGTAAAAATATCATTGTATTATTAGATATTCCTACAATATCTTTAACACCAGACCTTTCACATCACAGTTGCATTTCATCGGTTGTATGTCATCATCTTTTGAAAAACTTATGTTAAATATCAGTCTGTTTTTCTTAAATATCGGAATTCTCTCTGAGATCTCAATTCCAAATAAGACCTTTTGCTTATGAAAATGTATAAATTTGTTTCCTTTATAGCAGCAAGCAGTCTTCTGGCATTTACGCTGTTATACCTAAGTTTTTAAAAATTATTATTAAAAAACCATATATAAGATTGTTGGATTCTATTGATTCATTTCCTCCCTAATCTTTTTATATGGGTGTATCATCCCAAGATAATGTTACAACTTTCAGCTGTTCTCTTTCTTAATTCTTGCTCTCTTAGAAGCTAACTCTGTTCAAAGATTTGCTGTAATTAATATATACAATATTTGCATTTGATATATTCTGATTTTCAAATAGCATTTCCTCAACAATCGTTATTGCCGTTTGCCAGTACGCTTTAGCCTTCCTACACTTCTATCTCATGTGAAAAAAAATCTACTTTAGGGGACAATTTTCACCAGGATCGTGGAAGGTTTAAAAGTCTTTTGCCTACGATCACCTCCCTGCTGCTCAGCTGAGTGGGGAAAAGGAGTACAGACTGGGGGGGGGGGGAGGGGGAGGGATATTCTTTTGCCACATGAGATTAGGCAGTGAGCCAGAAGTGGCCAGGAGGTCATAGACCTCCCAGTTCTGAACTAGAAATTGAAAAGAAGGGCACGTTTTCAATGCATACCAACCAGAGAATGTGCTGAATGCCCTGCGCAAGAGCTGAGATAGGCACATTTCCCAAAGCCTGTTGGTGATTATGCATATTGGCTGAAGAGTGTCCAGAATGCCGAGATACGTACTCAACAACCCTCCCAAACTTCCTGGGGATTATTATCCATGGATGCTTTAGTCGAGGTTCCTGCATTGCAGGGGGTTGGACTAGATGACCCTCAGGGTCCCTTCCAACTTTGCGTTCATGATTCTATCTATGTATCCAGGAAATGTGCAGAATTTCTTACGTAAGCCTCCTGGTCAAAGAGATAAAATGTTTATGTTTCTTAGATATACCAGTTCTTAACGTTTTTAACTAAAGCTGGAGTGCTGGTGTGGCTTAGATTTATTCAAAACATCTCTTTCTCTGGGTGGCTTGGAGTAAGGCCTTTCTCTCTGAGCCCCATTCCAGCTCCACTGCAGGCACCTGACTCCTGAGATGTGTTTTAAGTTTTGAAAAGCTGATTTAATTTGTATTTATACTTCTTGTCACCTGCTCAGGAGATGAAGGGCAAGATATAAGTCTGAAAAATAAAATGCCTTATATTTTTAAGGTATGTAACAACACAATGTATGTAAATGCTTTGAACACTCAAAAGGTGCAACTAAAATCTACAGTGGTACCTCTAGATGCGAACGGGATCTGTTCCGGAGCCCTGTTCGCATCTAGAAGCAAATGTAACTAGCGATGGCACGTCTGCGCATGCGCGCGCCGCTTTTCACCGCTTCTGCGCATGCGCGTGACGTCATTTTGATCGTATGCACATGCGCAAGCGGCGAAACCCGGAAGTAACGCGCTCCATTATTTCCGGGTTGCCGCGGAGCGCAACTCCAACACACTCATCCCGAAGCACATTCAACCCGAGGTATGACTGTACAGTAATACCTTGGTTCTCGAACTTAATCCATTCCGGGAGTCTGTTTGACTCCTGAAACCTTGGTTCGAAAACCAAGGCGCAGCTTCCAAATGGCTGCAGGAGCTTCTTGCACTCCAGCAGAAGCCGCGTCAGACATTTAGCTTCCAAAAAACGTTTGCAAACTAGAACACTTACTTCTAGGTTTGTGGCGTTGGGGAGCCAATTTGTTTGGCATCTGAGCCGTTCGAGAACCAAGGTATTACTGTACTAAGTTTGCGGGGGGGTGGGTTGTTTGTTTTCATCTTCTTAAATTTTAATCAAAGCTGTTTTGTACCAAACGCTAAAATAAACTCCTACAGTCATTTTCGAAGTAGTTCTCTTACTCACACTTGTTCTTGTGGCAACAACGCTTCATTCTGGGAAATGAAACCAAAGAGCAAGACTGTGAAACCCCAGGACTGCTGGCAGGGCAAGAGATCACACTAAGAATGTGCCAGGCCAACAAGAGGGTTAAACTGCTCTTGAGTCTTAAAGCTTGACAAGAGGGAGCATGTGCTCTTCATTTAAGAAAAAAACATTTAAGAACAGAATATGCGCAAGAGGGACCCAAAACAAATGTTGCAGCATATCTGCAGCCCCTAACGCGAACGCTCCTGTGGCGGAAATGAAGTTTTTCTTTAAAGAAAAGAAAGGAAAAAGAACATGCATGACATGGCGGGATTTTTAATCTCACAGCCCAAGATGCCCCCCCCCCCAGTGCTCCACGAGACAAGAAGCTATTATATTAAGGGCTCAAGAAGTCATTTCCTCCCCCTGTTCAGTCTCCTCTTTTAAAAGCAAAACTTTCAGTGTTCCATGACTTGGGCATCGTAATTACAGGCTTAAAACTCAGCTCGGTTATTCCCAGGACTTGTTTTTTTCCAGCCGGAACTTGTTTCCAGCACATCTTTTTCTAGAAAAAATAGCTCTGCTTGTTCCTTTTCTCAATTCAGAGTGAAGCTGTTGGGGGGGGGTGTGCATCAAAATACAGCATTTCATAAAACAGCAAAAAAAATGAACAGTTAAGCGATTTACACCCAGGCTCTGTTTCCAGTGGCCAAATCCTGGCTATGTTCGGGAAATTCTGGATGTATGGCAGCCCTGTCATAGGACATGGCAAGAGAAATGCAGGATAGATGTCGTCTGATGTCTCTACACTGTTTCCCAGTGCTGTGGAGACCAGGAGCTTGCAGGCTGCTGCTTATTAAAAAGTGTAGGAACTCAGACAGTCCTTAGTGGGGGAAGAAAACTACCGTTATCTAGTTTTGTTTTGCGTTTACATGGCAGGCAGGAGCCAGAAAGACGCCTGAGGAGGTTGAGCAAAATCCTCACTTGGTTATACCAGATGTGAAATCTTGATTTTGAATGATCTCTATAATTTAACATCTCACTAGGGGTCCCTCTAGTATATAGCATGATACAAGGAGTGGCACAACAGACCCGAAACTTTAAACCCAACAAGGCCCACCTTGGTCAACTGGTGTCACTGTTTCCTCATTGCTTGGAAACCAATGCTATTTTCCCATTACAGTACTAAGGACAAACAGTAGCACTAGGTTATGGTCTGTCTAATGTAACTGGACAAATATTTGTCAGCCTGACACAAAAACAAGTGTCCTTTGGCACTAGTATAGTAATTATTCTATATTTATTTATACCACTGCCTTTTTCCCTGATGGGGACTCAAAGCAGCTTACAGGTAAAAATAAAACACTGGTTTCATAATTTGTTGGAAGTCGCCCAGAGTGGCTGGGGCAACCCGGTCAGATGGGCAACATATAAATAACAACAGGATAAAAAGAATTGTTTAAAAGCATTAAGAGAATTAAAACTGCATCTACGATATATTAAAAACAAATTATTATGGATAATAATATTATACAATCACACCGAAAACAGCACAGCGCTAGCCCTTTTATTATGTCCTCTCAAGGCAAATCTAAAAAAAAGTAGTATAAACACCGACAACTGGGAAACACTGGCCTGCGAGAACAGCCATTACCAAAGGTATCCTGGGCTTTGAAGACACTCGAACTCAGGACGCAAGGGAGAAACGTGCTAAGAGGAAGGCACGCTTGGCAAACCCTCCCCAGGATCAACTCCCGCCCAGAAACCTACGTCCCCACTGCGGAAGGACGTGTGGATCCAGAATTGGCCTCCACAATTGCAGAGTCACTTTTAGAACCATGTTTATGGAAGACGATCTTACACAGTTAAGTGGGATTGCCAAAGAAGAAGAATGAAAAGTAATCAGTTCCCAAAAGCCTTTTGGAACAAGAAGGTCTTTGCCTGCCCAGCAAGGAGGAAGCTAGTCTAGCTTCTCTAGGGAATAAGTTCTGAAGTCTGGGAGCAGCCACCGGTGGAAGGCCCCACGCCCCACTTTTTAGACAATGCTCAACTGCCCTCAACCTTCTGTAGGTCCAGAACTCGTGGAAGGAAAGGTCTCCAAGGGAGCAGGCATGGCACATAGCATTCACCAGGTGGCTCCCTCTGCAAAGAATTGCAGCACTGGCACCATTCTCAGATCAGAGTCATCGTGAGCACACACCCTAGAACTCTGCCAGCTTCAATGGGGCTGAGAAACCTGAAGAACTTGGAAAGCGCGACACGAAATTTCACCAGGCTGAGGGTCCCATGCCTTCTTTGCCAAGCCAGAATGAAGTACATCAATAGTTTCCACCAAAATTGGAAAGAAATACGCAAATTAACAAAAGGGAGTAGAAGGGCATATGGGTGGCAATTTTTATTGTGCTGCAGGCATATTTATAGACCTTATCAGGTAGCCAAGTTATTAAATCAACAGGTGTCCTTTTTAGAAGCAATGGAGATCTGGCACTTATCATGAGAGAAGCCTTCTTGCTGTTTGCCTTAAATAATTTTATTTTTTCCTTAATAAATAAACTTTCATTTATTCTATCTGCTCAGCTGCTCTCAGTGTTCTCTATATCATAAAAACCCACACAGGTAGTTTTCAAAAACCTTACATTTCTCTTTGTTACGAATATATTTCTATTTACATAGGTATTCCCTTGAGAATGTAGAAATCACAATGTGCTTTTGGTGGTTCTGTTGAACTTTGGAACTCATGAGGTTCTATTAGAAGGAGAAACTGGGAACTCAGAACAAAATAATGCAGAATTTACCTGGTCATTTCAGGACTTGGGCCAACCCGAATTGTGAGTTTTGTAGCGTTTGGTGCTTGCATAAGACAATTTCTCCCCCTTTCTCACTGTCACACAGTGCTAAAGGGCTTGGGTTTGGGGCTGAATATTCACACTTTATTACTACATAGCTGGAGAGATTCTTAATCTCGCGGCATGCATCCCCTGAACCCACCTGCAGGATACTTGCCCCCAAGCTGTTGGGGGATCAAGCACACTAATTCCCTTTCTATCTCCCTCTATCTTTCATCGGTAAGCTGACATTGTTGGCATTCCTGGGCTCAACTGCCCTCAGCCATCCATCCCCTCGGTTGCAACACTCACAAGTGCCTTCTTTGAGAATCTGCTTAAAAGCCTCTTGGCTAAACGTGGGGTGTGCGCAGATCTGAAAGGGCCACAAAGGGTAAACCAACCAAAAGGTATGCTGAAGAGTTTGCTAAAACAGTAAAAGCACCTACAGCTTATCAAGTAGTGGGTTGACAAAGCAGACGACACAGAGATTTCTCCAAGTGGTTCTTTATAGTAAGCTGGAACTGAACTGAACAGCTCAGCCGGCCGGCTTTTATAGGCAGCCGCCTGTCAACACTGTAACAACGACACCCCAGGGTTTCCCGCCTAAAGTAACTGAGGTGGACCTGAGTGAAAACCATATACAGTGGTACCTCGGGTTAAGAACGTAATTCATTCCGGAGGTCCGTTCTTAACCTGAAACTGTTCTTAACCTGAAGCACCACTTTAGCTAATGGGGCCTTCTGCTGCTGCCGCGCCGCCAGAGCCCAATTTCTGTTCTCCTCCTGAAGCAAAGTTCCTAACCCGAAGTACTATTTCTGGGTTAGCGGAGTCTGTAACCTGAAGCGTATGTAACCTGAAGTGTATGTAACCCGAGGTACCATTGTACACCATACCCCTGGTGGGCAGGGTGAGCACTTCAAGACATAACACAGCTGTTGTTCGTAACTCAGAGAAGGTTTGGGAACCTTCAAGCTTCCAAGAGGTCCACAGTTGAACCTCAGAGGATGCTGAGCCATGGTTCAATTCCATGAAGGCTGAACTTGATTCCTTAGAGAGGATCAAGACATGGGAACTAGTTCCAGGCCACAAAAGGTTTACAAAGTTCAGTTATTGCAAAAGTTTTTCAGTGTTAGTTTTATTCATTTTTTAAAAATCACCATGGTATTTAACAATAATATCTTATGTCCTTTAGAAGAGAAATTGTGAATTGTAGAATTTTAATTACCTGTCATCATCCTTGGCTTCACTCAATTTTATTTATAACACTTTTCCACTTTCTTCTACTTGTGAGGGTGGGAGATGGGGAGGAGCCTCACAAGTGGAGGAGCCGAGGGCCGCTCTTCATCGAAATCCGGCCCTGCCCACCCCAATACCTGGCAACTGTATGTTGGAGAGTCTAACACACCTGGAATCGCCATGAGCCAGAATCCCGCCAAAAAGGCTTCCTGCTCATGGGGAGCAATTCTAAGCAGCTTGTAAGCTAAGGACAAATCTCTATTGGTTTGCTGGTGCTGTTTGATGAAGGCTAGTTAGGTCTGAAATAAGTCATGAGCTCGGACAGTTGAGCACTGGACTCCGGGTTGTGTGGGTTCAAGGCCCACGTTGCAGGGAAAAGATCACCCAAGGGAGTTCATGGCTGAGCGGGGATTTTTGGGGTATGTACTGGAATCTGGGTTTTCATAATGTATGGGGTGTGGGTCTCGAAGAGAAGAGAAAAGAAGAGAATAAGTATATTAGCAGATGAATAATGAGGTGAATTATGTAGGTTTCAGTAGAAGTCAAATTGTAGCAGAATGGAAACAGTGCTTCTTGCAACGAATACGAGACAGGATGGAAATTGCTGCCTTCTTACATCTCTTGTGCAGATACATGGCAAGATTGTCTTGCCGGTGCCTCTGCTCCAAGCCTAACATTGCACCAGCCCTCAAATATACCAACATAGGATGTTAGTATTTGCTGTTGATACAATGCCACAATGTTTGCAGAGTAAAGCAAACACAATGATAGGCCTCTGTTTCAAGGAACCTGCCTTCTTAAAACCAGACGGCAGGAGGAGGTAGCCACAGAAGGAGGGGTTAGAAGCACAAGACACAAATAACTACTCCAAATCGTAGGAGCAGGCAAGCAAGCTGCACAATTTCCTCTGCTACACAAA